CTCTGTTAGTGAGACTTTTTACTGACTGTCTCCCTTCTCACCACAACCTCTTAGACTTCACTTGAGACCAGTCAAATCCTGACTCTACTAGTTCCATGGCTTGGGCAAATTAATTCATCTCTCTGGCTTTCCTTTCTCCCTGTGAAGAACAGGGATTAAAGGAGTAACTAAGGCACCTGGCACAGACTGTATTCAATGTTAATACATGGCAGCAATTAATATTATACACACCTACTTCACAGATGAGAAAACTGAGTCCTAAAGGTGAGGTGGCATGACCAGGACAGGTTCAGAATTTGGGATCCCGGAGTGAAATGAGGCACAGAGCCCTGCCTTCCTATAAGCCAACGGCAGTATCCATATGCCAGCCCTGGAGCCTCAACCCTGATAGTCCCTGCAGTGAGCAGGTGACCAGAGTTCCTGGTGCTGGGGACTAGCATGAGCCAAGAGAAGCACAGCCCAGAACCCAGACTCATTTATGCTGAGTGTCTGGCTGAGTGTTCCTGCCTCAGGAGAAGATGCTGTGCAGCCCTGTGGCACAGATCTGCAACCTTGGGCAGGTCCTGCCTCAGAACCCGATTCCTTTTCCGAAGCAGGAAGGCAGCCTGGGGCTGCCCTACACTCCCTGTGCCTGTCTGTCTCAGAAGCACATGACATTACTCATTTTTGGGAATGAGGAGGCCCTAAACCCAGTGCTGAGAGGCAGCTTCGTTTTATTTAACCCGTGGAGTGAGACACTCCTCCTCCAGCCTGTGCTCCCGCTGCCCCCTCCCCTGACCTCCCGTCAGCCCCTCTATTCCCTTCTCCCTCCTTCTGCCCTGCCCTGGCACTCAACCTAGCTCAGCCTGGATTCCACTTTAGCTAGCCAGCCCCCTGGAGCCACCCAGAAAGAGCGGCTAGTGTGCTTCGAGTGTCACATGAGGGTGGTGGCCTGGACTGGGATCTGAGCCAGCTCCTGGAAGGCCTGCTACCGCAGCGAAGCATTCCAGTCCTTCCCTCCTCTGCTCTGCCTCCACTGGGACTGGGACCACCCTCCCACTTTCCTCTGCAGGGCCAGGAGGTGGGCTGAAGAAGAGGGCCGGTTAAAGAGACCCGGGGGTAGAGGGCTCAAGTCAAGTGCAAGTCAAATACTGACGCAAAAGCTTTTCTGGTGTTTGAGAAATGGTGAGGGGGCTGGTATTCCTGGAGTGAGAATCCTAAAAACACCTGGGCCGCTAGGTATCGACCTTGCCAGGCCTGTACTCAGTTCCTGTTTTGAATTCATTTAGTTTTTAGTACTTTTGTTTTTTGTCTTTGAGATAGGGACTCTACGTAGTTCGGGCTGGCCTTGAGCTCACTTTGTAGCCTAGGCTGGCCTTGAACTCACAAGGGTCCTCCTGCCTCAGCTTCCGGAGTGCTGGGATTTACAGGCATGAGCCACCACACCCGGCTAGTTCTTAGTACATTTTACAGATGAGAAAACTGAAGCCCAGAGTGGATTAATGTGTTAGCTGAGTTCACCCAGCTAGCAAAGGATATCTTGAGATTTGACTCAAGACCTGGGTCCCACCCCAGAGGCAGGCGAGAGTCCTAGGGTAGCCTAGAATGAAGGGTAAGGGTTTACCCCAAACAGGAAATCTGAGGAGGCGGAAGCCTGCCCTTCCTGATGGACTGATGCCACTGGAAGCTGGGAAGCTTCCCTGCCCATGTGCTGACCTGCTTCATTTTCATAGCCCTAACTTCTCCTTCTCCTTGCTTCACCAGCTCCCAGTGGGTGTACGGGCACCTGCAATGCCCAGGGCCCAGCACTCAGTCCTCGCCTGGGCTTCTCTGCAGCTCAGGTCCTGCCGGGCCTCTCGGGCCTTTCCTTTAGGTTGCTGTAGTGATCACAGGCCGTGGCTTCTTGGGCTCACAGGGGAGCCAATAAACAGTCATTAGTGTTCCAGCCTCTCCCTCCCCAGTGTCCTCTCTGACCCCTGCCCAGCTGTGAGAACAGGCTAGGCTTTCCTTCCGGGCCTCAGTTTACCCTTTTGTATCTCAGTGTACCTGTTTAACCCCTTCACCTCCTGCCCTTGAAGCTGGTAGGGTTATACTAAGATAAGGGATGGCTTAAAACCTATATTCTGGGCTGGATGTGGTGGCGCACACCTGGAGTCCCAGCACTTGGGAGAGAGGCTGAGGCAGGAGGATCACCGTGAATTCAAGGTCAGTCTAGGCTACGTAGCCAGACCATGTCTCAAAAATAAATAAATAGAGCCGGGCGTGGTGGTGCACTCCTGTAATCCCAGCACTCAGGAGGCTGAGGTGGGAGGATTGTTGCAAGTTCGAGACCAGCCTGGGCTACAAAGTGAGCTCAAGGCCAGCCTGAACTGCATAGTGAGACCCTGTCTCAAAAAGACAAAAAAAAAAAAAAAAAAAAAAGTCAAAAATTCATGTTTTGAGTCTGTATTCCACAAGCATTCACATGTTGGTGACCTAGAGTCTGCATAGGCAGGGTAGAGAGCTCCTCACATTTTCAGGTCCCCCGCCAGTCCTGGAACCCTTCCCTATGTCCTCCAGCCCACCCCTCCCCGCCACTTGGTAACCTCATCCATTATAGCTCATTATCAGCTGGCCTGTCTTTCAGGACACCTCGCTTGAGTTATATCTCCTTTCTAAGTAGGCATACCCCCTGTGTGTCCCCCATCACAGCATGGGGAACTGGTAGTGGTCATGGTCTCTTTTTAGCTCTGCTCTCTGGAGCCCTACGCGCTGTGAGTTGGGGATCAAGTGAGTATGGGTAATGACCTAATCCCAAGTCCCATTTCAAAATGGAGACCAAGGAAGGACCAAGACTTGCCTAGAGTGAGAAGGAAGTGATCAAAGAGCAGTTAACTAGAAACCATGATAATAACAGCTCACTTGTCCATGCCTGCTCCTATGTACCCAGTATATTCCAAGGACTTGACAAGTATTCCTTCATTTAATATTTACAACACTGTAAGTACTAGGATTGGCAGCATTTTTACAGATGGAAAAACCAAAGCACAGAGCATTTAAAGTAACTTTTTCTTTCTTTTTTTTTTTTTGTCTTTTTCATTTTTATCGTTACCAGGGATTGAACTCACCACCGCCTGCTTGCAAGGCAGGTGCTTATGCCGCTGAGCTAAATCCCCAGCCCCTAAAGTAACTTTTTCAAGGACACCCAGCATCTGGGTGGCAAAGTTGGGGTGTGCATTAACACTTTCTGCTATAAGGTCCACTAGCTGGCAGGACCCAAACCCCAGGCGTCTGAGCACTAGGCAATGGCCAGCCAGGCCTGCTCTTCCTCAGGGCAGGCAACTCTGCCCAGCTGCCGACCCTCTTGCTTCTGTGCATTTGTTTGTGCATTTGTAAACTGGGACGGTGTCCTCATCCTCATGGAACTGAGAAACCTTTTCCCGGTACTGGATATTGAACTCAAGGGTCTTCACAGCGAGCCTGTGTTTTATTTACTTTTGTGATAGAGTCTCCTTAATTTACTAAGTTGTCAGCTAGGCTCTATCTTGCAGTCCTCCTGCCTTAGCCCCCCAGAGTGCCGGGAATACAAGTGTGCCCACTGCCGCCTGAGCCTGTTTTTTTTTTTTTTTTTAAAGTGGCGTTGGCAAGGGAACTCAAGGCCTTCCCTCCAACTAGGCACTCCCGGCCTAAGAGTGTGACTGAGTAGTAGCTGCCACCCAGCGGGCACTCAGGAGCGCTGCGGGGTATCACTTCTCACCAGCGCCCCCACCGGCCTCAGAGGATGCCTCAGCAAGCCTGAATGTGGGCGGAGGGGAAACCCTGTTTCTGTTGCTTGGCAGCTGCATTAGAGACAGAGTTCAGCCTGTCCTCCCGATACAGCTGATGGGCCGGGCCCTGGCCCACTGGCTTCACCTAAACTTCTGGAACCTCACCCAGCACTGAGCAGGGTGGCTTATACTCCGCCTGGAAGGAAAGGTCAGCCTGGAGGCCAAAAGAGAAAAAAAAGAAGGGTTGGGGCTGGGGATATGGCTTAGCAGCATAAACGCTCGCCTGGCCAGCACGAGGTTGAGTTCGATCCCCGGCACCAAAAAAAAAAAAAAAAAAAAAAAAAGAGCAAAGGAGGGTTTGGGAGGTGGGTGGGGACAGGAGTGGGCGCAGTTTTGTTTATCTACTATTGCCTGTGGAGGAAGTTTCTTTCCCCTTATCAGACAGGCTCAAAATCCACTCTCGGAACTGCAAAATGCCTGTCTTTCTTTGGATGATGCCACAAATCCCCTGTGTCAATGATACAGAGCCTTTTTTTTTTTTTTTTTTTTTTGAGACAGGATCTCACCATGTAGTTCAGGCTGGCCTTGAACTCATGACAATCCTCCTGCCTCAGCCTCCTGAGTGCTGGGATTACAGGCATGCGCTACCACGCCTTGCTGATATGGTTCCTTTTGCGTTGGGTCCTGGAGCATGTGTAGGAGTTCCACAGGGTCTGAGGAAGGAATTTCCAACTGATCACACAGCAGAGGCAAAAGTATGCTGCTGGGAAGCGCTGGCACAGTGGGAAACAAAATTTCCCACGAACTGGTAAAATATTAACTTGGTCAACCATTGGGTCCACGGCATTCTGGTAAATGGGAAAAAACTGAGGCTCCCAGGGCCAGGGACTTGTCTCAGTCACAGGCTCCCTAGTTTTTGGGGCAGGATTGTTCCAGCACGCTAATGTGCACATCGCTCGTCGGTCAGGAGTCGGAAAAAGCACCTGGCAAACCAGAAAACGAGCGCCACACTCTTAGAACACAGCGCCTCCCCACCCACCCGCCCACCCTGATACCGCAGCTTGCGGACTACAAATCCCAGCATGACCCACATCAGGACACATGCGCAGCGGGTATCCTTCGCGAGCCCGGTCGAGTCGGGGCCCTATCCTCGCCCATTGTCTGGCCCTCAGGGGCGGGGCCCAGCGCGAGGCGGGCGCGCTTATTGATCGGGCGGGACGTCCGTCGCGCACTGCGCCCGCCCCCTCCAGGCCCCGCCTCGTGCGCCCGCGCCCGGGCCGCCTGGCGCCCTGCCCGCGCCTCAGGACCGGCGGGGCGGCGCGGCGCATCCTGCGGGCGGCGGCGGCGGAGGCGCCGGCAGCCGGGCGCAAGATGATGAAGTTTCGGTTCCGGCGCCAGGGCGCCGACCCGCAGCGCGAGAAACTCAAGCAGGAGCTCTTCGCCTTCAACAAGGTGCAGCAGCGGCCCGGGCTGGGGCGCGGGGGCCGGGCTGGGGCCCGGGCTGGGGGCCGGGGGCCGAGCCACGTCGGGCCGGGGGGAGGGGGCGCCCGGCTGGCGCGGGGCCGGCGGAGCCGCGCGTCCCTCGCGGGCCCGCCGCCTGCGTCCTGTCCTCCCCTCGGACTCTGGGTGGGTCCGGGGCTCGCGGACTTTCGTGCCTGCCTCTCTGGCGCTCCGTGGGCCTCACTGGCCCTGCCCTGCCAGTCTCTGGCTGTGTGTGTCTGAGTCTAACTCTTTGCCACTTTTTGCGGCTCTCTGGGTCCCTGCCCCTCCCTCTCCATCTGTGACCGTCCCTCTTGAGTCTGTGCCCGTGTATGTGCCGGGGTGGGGTGGGGCGGAGTGGGGTCAGGAGGTTCTGCCTCTGTCTCTGTGCACCCCTCTGAGTCTCTTCTCCGTCTCCCTTTAGCTCTCTGCCTCTCATTTCTTTCTGTCTTTGCTTTTGCATCTCCGAGTTTTTGCCTGTCTCTTCCTACGTCTCTCCGTTTCTGTGTGTGTGTGGATCTCTACCTTGTGTTGCCTAGTTCTCTGCCTTGAGTTGTTTTTTCTTGGTGGCCTCTGGGCGGCCCTTAGGATAACCCAGAGCTGGCTTTTGTTTTGTTTTGGTACCCAGGCCGCAGGGAGAGGTGAGAGGTGGAGGCAGAGGCAGAATTGGAGGGTAGGGCAGGGAAATCCCTTGCCGAATCCTCCCCTCCCACTACCCTAGCCTCTATCTTGCCTTGTTCTGCCTTGCAAGGTATTGTGTGTCCAGGGGACATGGCCAGCTGTGTACCGACTGTATCTCAAATCGCGATGCCTCTGTTTCCCCAGCTGTGAATAAGGTCACTTTCCTCCTAGCTGTGGGCTCTGGCCTCCTAAGCTACAGGAGGCAGCTGACCTGACGCTTTGCACCAACTCTAGAGTGGAGGTGCAGGGCTGTTTCTTTCCCTGGGTGGGGAAGGAGAGGCCCTGGGAAGGCCTTAGCCCCTGTCTAGCAGGCACTGAAGGAAGGTAAAGTAAGGCTCAGCCTCTCCCTTGCTACTTCCTCTCGGCTGTGGAGGATTGGTTTGGACCTCAGTTTTACCCCAGAGCCTTCGTCCCCCTTATGCTTGGAATGAGTTACCTGCATCACACACATGAGAAAACTGAAGTGAAGAGAGGGTGGGTGCATTTGCTCAAAGTCACAGGGCAAGCTGGACCACTGTGTTGAGCTCCTGTGGTGGGCTGGCACTTCAGCCTTGAGAAAGTTTGGAGGGGCTGCTGTGATTTGGAGCTGAGGCCAGGTGCCTTGGGCTGCCCAGAGGAGACTTTCTCGGGGGAAAATGGGATGTGTCAGGCTGAGGTCCCAGGTGCCAGAGGTGGTGTGGCTGCCAGGACCCTCAAACTTAATGACTGAGAAACCGAGAAGGGAGGCTGGTGCTGAGGAATCCCCCGATGGTGGGTTTGTTTTTTGTTGTTGTTATGTTTCCTAGTGCTGGGGTGGCTATAAGAGTGATCTCCCCAAAGTGAGAGCTTGTCCCTTCCCCGAAAGCAGGGATAGGCACTGGCTTTAATGTCACTTCCTCAGCTGAGGGACCTGCAGCTCTGAGGCTTGGCTCCCCCGGGTTGACCCTAAGGGTGGCAGAAGGTGAAGAGTTAGGCAGTGTTACTTTTTTACCCCAGTACTGAGGATTGAACCCAGGGCCTGTCACATACTAGACAACGCGTTGCCACTGAGTTACCTTCCTGTCCCCTTCTTATTTTTAGACAGGGTCTCAATAAGTTGAGGATGAGACTGTATTCACAGAGAACAGTGTTGGTAGGAGGGAGAGGTCTTGGAGAAGAGGTTTGGTTGACAAAGAGAACGGTAGGTGATCCGTAGGGAATAAGCATAGCTTCCCGGTGCCCCCCACCTCAGGAGTGCATGCGGATTTTGGACTCTGGAACTCAGGTTCATATCCTACCTCCAAGCCATACAGTTGCCTGTGAAATGTGCACTTCGTGTTAGTCTAATTCTGAGCTCTTACATCTTGATGCTGAGGACATAGTGAAGACCAAAAGGGACAAATGCAGCTAGAGGCTGATGTACTCACTGGGAGGATAGTAAAAACTAAAACAATAAAGTACACAGTAGTTCAGATAATGGCCAGCGCTGTGAATAAAATAAAGCAGGGTGAAAGTGTGGCAGCGTGGGCAGGGGCACTGCTATAGTGAGGACAGTTTAGGGAGCCTCTTGGAGCAGGTGCTCAGGAGAGTGATGAAGTGCGTAGGGTCAGAAAGGAAATCCGGAATCCCGCCTTATGAATTGGAAGAGACCTTTGAAAGAGCTTTGGGCTTGTAATCAGGTGAGCCAGGGGAGAGTAGAAGGTGCTAACAGAGAGGAGCCAGACAATGAGGACTTGGCTCTGACTGCGTATGAACCAGGAGCCCTCGGAGGAGGAGCTTAAATAGAAAGGGTATGGGGAGTGGACTGTGGTTTTCACACTTTCTGGCCTCTGTCTGAGGAACAGACTGAAGCATGTGGTGAGTGGTTGTGGAGCCTTGCAAGATGGAGTGGGATGTTTGGGGAAGTGTTGGGGTTGGTGACTGTAGGATGTGAGCAGAGTGACTTTTGTGTATCTTGAAGCTGACCTAATGGGGCTCGGGAATGGATTGGACTTGGGGTATGAAGGACAAAGATGTTAGACAAATGACCTAGCTTCTTCTGTAAAGTGGGAGCCTGATGGGGTTCATTCAAGGCTGTGGGGATTTGCAACTCAGAAGTTGCTATGTGCCTGACCAAGCAGACACTGGACTGTAGCCTGGGACTGGCTAGTTAAGATCAGGACATGGGAGCCCTCCATGAGTCCCTAGGTAGATGGACAACTCTGTCCTCGGGTAGGCTCACTGGTTCCAGTGCCCAGTAGAGAACAAGAGAGCAAGCAGTGCAAAACAGGTATAGAGAGTACTGGGATTAGCACAAGGCCAAACACAGGAGAATCGAGCTATCCCCACCTCAACAGGCTGGGACTGCTATGTGCCGTTTCCCCAGGGAGCTTCCCCAGCCAGGACTATAATGTGCAAGTCCTCATAGTACCTTTCCTATTCCTGATAGGCTGGGACTCAGTTACCTGGCAGTTTTTGGGTGAGGAGGTGGGTGACACCTTCAGGGTCAGACAGAAGGCTGTCTCTCTCTGGGTCTCCGTCTGCCTGTGTCTACCTGATCCTGGATGTTAACCTAGACCTCGCGTCTCCCTGTGGGGTACATGTTTGAGGAGTAACATGGACTTCACATAGGACTCCAGCACTGCGATTCTTTGCCGAGTTTCAGTCTGTACCTCTCAGAATAGGATACGGGACACCATGGGCAGTTGGGGTCCCCTTCAGTGCTTTTACCTTTTTGAACCTCATTCTGTTTATTACTAGAGCCTTGTGCAAAGGGAACTTGGGGCTCTTGAGAGTAGGGCCTATGTGAGCCACACACAGGAGAATCAGTGGAGCCCAGGGACTCAGCCATGTCCCCACTGACTTGGGGCACAGTCACCCATTTAACAGTTGAAGACCTTGAGGCACTGAAAGCAGGTGGACCTGGCTTTTTTCCCCAGTACATCAGCAGCAGAGGCTGGAGACTGCCTTGGGTAGGCACTGGGTGGACGGGACTACATTGCCCAGGTGTATGTGTCCCCAGCAGCCTCCCTCCCCACAGACCGTGGAGCATGGATTCCCTAATCAACCCAGCGCCCTGGCCTTCGACCCTGAACTTCGAATCATGGCCATTGGCACCAGGTCTGGGGCCGTCAAGATGTATCCTTTGCAGCTGTGGCACTGGGGGCTTGTTTGGGCCACCCTGTGTGCTGGGGTCCCAGCCCTGGCAGGTACTCTGTGGAAGCTGTAGTGAGTACTGGGATCTTGGAGGAGGCTGGCATTGCCTGTGTGCCTGACAAGCCTGGGATGACACTTTTGAGGGACCATGGGATCCTTTGCTGGGCTACTGGTAATGAGGGAGCTCAATTTGCAGTGGCCACAGCTGTCCCTCACTGTTTCAGCCAACCAGTTTCCTAGGCGACCCTACCATTGTCACAGCAACTGTGACTGGGGAGGCTGGGCCCGGGGGCTGGGCCATGAACCCATTGAGAGTGGTGGGTGGGCTGGGGGCCCTGGTGTGTTGGGTGCACACACATGTGAATGTGAAGACACGTGTGTTCAGCCAAGGGGGCGGGGCAGTGCCAGGCTCGGCGTGGTGAGTGCAGCTCGGCCCCCACCTGGATCCTGGCGACTGTACAATAGGCTGTGTGAGCTGCACAAAGCGGGCATTTTCCCTGAAGGCCTAGGGTGGGGGTGGGGGGCTGGCAGGCAGCTGAATGCCTCTTGCCCATCCTAGAGAATCCCACCCCAACTGCTCTGAGGGAAACTGAGGTGCAGAATCTGGCTAGCAGCTGCTTGGTGAGAGTGCCAGCTCCTCCTCCTTCCCTGTGTAGTGTTGTGGGTCTCCATACCCTGGTTAGGGACATCAGATGGTAGAAAATAAATCACTGCCTGGAATATCATATTGGGTTGGGTGGAGTCTTCTCATCTCGAGGCTGGGAGCATTAGACAGCAGGTAGATTGGAAGGCCTATGGTTGTGAGCTCCTTGCCTGTTCTGTGGTGGGCAGAGATGTTCTCTCATCTCCTGTGGGTCCTGACCCTCTACCTGGCCTGCTGTTAACTGCCCCTCATGGACACTGTGCTGCCTTCATGCACATTTCTATGCAGCTGTTTCTCCATGTCACAAGTGTCCACATCTCACAGTGCCGGCACAGCTTTGCTATCAGGCACTCAGAGCTGCCTCTCCTGCAGTGCGTGTCTTTTTTTTTTTTTTTTTTAATTATTTTTTTTTTGTCTTTTTCCTTTTTATTGGTACCGGGGATTGAACTCACGACTGCCTGCTTACAAGGCAGGCACTTACGCCACTGAGCTAAATCCCCAGGCCCCCCCTCCCCACTTTTTTTTTGTCTTTTTCCTTTTTATCAGTACCGGGGATTGAACTCACGACTGCCTGCTTGCAAGGCAGGCGCTTATGCCGCTGAGCTAAATCTCCAGCCCCTGCAGTGCGTGTCTTATGTGAGGCTTTTCATACTCACAGAGAACCTAAAGTACAGATGAGTGCCCTGAGCCTCAAAGGGGAGGACACAGCTCTGGATCCCTTTTGCGTCTCTTTTCCTTTAAATCCCCACAACCTGGTAGAGCCCCTGGGATTGGGAAACTGAGGCTGGAGAGGCTAGCCTTGGTCTCAAACGCTGCTTCTCCCTATCTCCTTGGTGACCCTGCTTTCTACTCAGCTGCTCCTGCATCCACCCCCTCTTTTGTCCCCTCCTCTGTCCCCACCAGACTCTTACAGGGAATCTCATTTCTGGCCCCAGGCAACAAATCTTGCCTTGTCACTATGGCAGTGTCCCTAAACCCTGTCTCCTGGGCTCCCTCATCCCTGTTGTCCACCATCAGCAGTCCTGGAGTTGCTAGGACTCTGGGCACTGGCACTGGGCACTTCACCATGTCATCTGCCCTCTGCAAATCCCTGTGTACTCATCTGTAAAATGGGCAGACTGCCCCTTTGCAGTGGGGACCTGCCTAGAGGGAGGCTGATTTCCTGGACCTGAAGCTATAGTAAGAGGCAGCCTGGAGTCTTCTTACTTTGGGGTTTGCCATTCAAGCCTGGCCTGGTGTCTCTGGCCTTCTTGATCCCAAACTGCTGGGCTTGTAGCTCACATAGGCATACACAAAGCTGAAGTGCCTCAGCTTTGCGCCAGGTCTAGGGTGCTAGTGCTGGGCAAGTTTTTATTCTTACTTCGTCTGCAGTAGGCTGAAGTCACTAGGCCATTTTACAGATAAGGAAGTAAAGGTCCTATAACAGCGCCCCAGCTGCTGCAAATCTGGGGAGTCTGCATTTAGCTTGGGTACCTCGGGAAAAGCACCACTGGGTCTCGGAGATCTGGACATGCAGGTTGCAGCAGGATTTGTCAGAATAATCCCGGGGTAGGGGGGGATAATCCCAGCGAAAGAGACTTGTACATCTCTCACACTAGTTTTCTGGCCCATGCCTGAGTGTTTTTGTCTTTAACCAGTTACCTTCAGCTATGGCGCACCTGGTGTGGAGTTCACAGGCCTACACCGAGATGCAGCCACTGTTACCCTGATGCATTTCCTGCCTGGCCAGGTGAGCTTCTGGCCTCCACTGGCCAGATCCTTGTTGTCCTCACATCCTACCACTCATCCAGACCAGCCCAGTTTTGGTCTCTGCTCATCTCCTAGGGCCGCCTCCTGACTCTGTTGGATGACAGTAGTCTGCATCTGTGGGAGATCACCCATCATAATGGCTGTGCCCACTTGGAGGAGGTGCTCAGTTTCCAGCCACCCAGCCGGCCCAGCTTTGAAGGTGTCAGGTACTGGAGAAGTTGGTGGGAGCTAGTTTGATGGTTGATGGGCAGGAGCTCCCAGGGAGGCCATGGGGGCCAGCTGTGCCAAGGTGCCATGGTGTCTGGCAACTGCCAGTCAGCTGGGTTCAGGATGAGTGGTGTCTTGAGCACAGCCTAGGAGGACCCTGCTTAGCTGAGAGTACGCTGGTCTTTTTGCAGTAGACAGGAGGTTCTAGCTGAGGTAAGATGAGTAGGTTGGGCTGTGCCACCTGACTATGGGAGCTTTTGGTGATGTGAACCCCAGGAGACACATGTGGTACATGCTAAACCCCTTGGATCTGTAGCCTCCCACTGTCTGCCCTATAGTGATGAGGCAGTCTGGGGCTTGGCATGGTTTGAACCAAGCTGACATCAGCAGAGGTCCTTGGCCCTTTGAATCGGGTTGGGAGATGGGCCATTATGTGCATGGCTAAGTGAACAGGCAGGTTTGGGGGGCAAGGAGGGTGCTACAGGCTGTCTTTGGTGAGGTGCAGGCAGGGTGCTCAGATGTAACTGAGTGGCTTGGCCCTAGGTAAGAATATAAGGTCTTTTCCCCCAGCCTGGCCTGCAGTGACTGTAACTGGGGGAGTCCTGATCCAGGGGCAGGCTCCCTGGTAGTCCCAGCCTCTATTGGCTGGGGCTCTTTGGCACCCCCTTGTAGTCAGGAGGTTGTCCGGAGGGCTGCAGCAGGATTCCTGCACGGGACTCCTCGAGGCTGTGTCTACCCTAGAGCTCTAGTCTCAGATAGGGCAGTGCCCTAATTCCTGCCTTTCCTTCCTGGTGTTGGAAAAAGTGGAGAGTTCGTCTCGAAGACCTAGGAAACTATTTTTATCCTTCCCTCTGCCAACATCCTTATGAATAATTGAGTGTGCTAATTACACCACATTGTCGCCTTCCTGCAGTGCCCGCCTGCTCTATAAGCAGGCCCCCTCTGGGCTGGGAATGAGCCAGCACTGAGAACCCAGCCTCCAGCACACTTTCCTCTGATCCCTCATCCCTTGCAGTGTGCCTGCCAGCCTCACCCGCATCACGGTGGTCTTGCTGGTGGCTGCTGATGACATGGCTGCCCTGGGCACTGAGGGCGGCAGTGTCTTCTTCCTGGATGTTACCACCTTGACGTTGCTGGAAGGAAAGACTCTTAGCCCAGATGAAGTTCTGCGCAGGTGAGAGTCAGGGGGCTTCCTAGCACCCACTATGCCTGGGAAATTGTCCCAACTTACCGAGGCTCCCTCTGTAGTGTACCAGATGACTACAGGTGTGGAAAGACTCTAGGCCCTGTGGAGTCGCTCCAGGGACACCTCATGGACCCTACCAAGATCCTCATTGGGTATAGCCGAGGCCTGCTGGTCATTTGGAATCATCCTGCTCGGTGTGTGGATCATATCTTCTTGGGGAACCAAGTAAGTGGGTGAGGCCTGCATCCCTTTAGCCTGGGCCCCTGCCCATACCTGCCACTCACACCTGCCTGCTCCTCTCTGCAGCAATTGGAGAGCCTGTGTTGGGGGCGGGACGGTGGCACCATCATCAGCTCGCACAGCGATGGCAGCTATGCCATCTGGTCTGTGGAAACTGACAGGTCCCTGACGCTGCAGCCCACTGTGGCCACTATACCCTATGGTGAGTGTTGAGGAAGCCTGATTTGAGGGCGGTGACTGGAGGGCTGTATGGTCTTGGTGGGGGCATGGTCAGGGTAGTGGGCCTTCTCGTGGGAAGAGGCAAGAGACAGCTGCAAGGCAGGCCAGGAATGGGAGGTCTGACGCTGTCCCACCCCCCAGGCCCCTTTCCCTGCAAGGCCATCAACAAGATTCTGTGGCGGAACTGTGAATCAGGGTAGGTTGAGGGAGGGGAATGGGTTGGGGGTTATATCTGGTGGGAGTGGGCTGGAAGGGTGGGCTCTGGACACACAGGGGTGAAGCCCTTGCTGCATCATGCAGTGTGTACTCCGGGCTCAGGGAGCTGTGGGCTCATATGACTCCTCCTTGCAGGGGCCACTTCATCATCTTCAGTGGTGGCATGCCTCGTGCCAGCTATGGTGACCGCCACTGTGTGAGTGTGCTTCGAGCTGAGACACTGGTGACGTTGGACTTTACCTCCCGCATCATTGACTTCTTCACGGTGCACAGCACAGGGCTAGAGGATGGTGTGTGCCTGCCCTTCCCTCCCCTACCCCGTGCTGCCTGTGGCTCAGCTCACCCTGCCCCATCCTGTAGACTTCGACAACCCACGGGCCCTAGCCGTGCTGCTAGAGGAGGAGCTGGTGGTGCTTGATCTGAAGACACCTGGCTGGCCGGCTCTGCCTGCCCCCTACCTGGCCCCGCTGCACTCATCTGCCATCACCTGCTCTGCCCATGTTGCTAATGTCCCTGCCAAGCTGTGGGCCCGAATCGTGAGCGCCGGCGAGCAGCAGAGCCCCCAGCCTGCCTCCAGTGCCTCGGTATGGAGTGGGGCGCCCTGTAGGGTGAGGCTTTGGGGAGCAGTTTGTTCTTGGTGGAAGGTAGTACCTGCCAAGGACTGGAAGTGGGAATGTATTGATATATGTAGGAAGCTCTGAGTACCAAGCTCAGGGTGAAAGCTAAGAGAACTTTTTCTTGACCTTATGCTCACATCTCCTATCTTTCCCAGAGTTGGCCCATCACCGGGGGCCGGAACCTGGCTCAAGAGCCATCACAACGAGGGCTGCTGCTGACAGGGTAGGTTAGAGGGGATTGATACCCTTCACATACCAGGCCTACTGTGTCCCTGGCCCATCCCAGGTCCTGCAGACACTGAGGTGCCAAGTGACTCAGGCCTGGCCCTGGCAGTCCCCTTGCCCAGAGTAGATCGGATGGAACTTCCCTAGATCCTGTGTAAAGCCCTGCCCTGCTCTGCATTTAGCCACGAACTGAGTTTCAGCAGACCCCAGAGCTCCACCCACTTGGCCTGCCTGTCCTCAGACCGGAAAATCTGGGCTGGCCCACGCAGAGCTGCCCAAGGCAGGTGCTAGAGAACCCGACTGGGCCTGGCGGGTGCTGACGTGCCTAGTGACTCAGGCTCTACTTCCTGCCTTGCCTTACCTCCTGCCCTGTGCTGGGCCTTTGATGCGGCAGTTTGCCCTCTTTGGTTATGAATTGGCTCTCAGGGCTGCTGGAGTGAGTCCCAGCCTGCCCTGTTCACATACCCTCATTGCATGACTCCAGGCTCCCCCTCCCACCAAGGGCCTCATTGGGGTTCTACAGTTGTGTCCTGATGCTGCATCCTAGTTCGTGTGCTCCTTCCTCTTCCCCTCCCTGCTTCCTCCCCTCCAGTCTTCCTGCTTTCCCACATATGCAGCCGCCTTAGACCTCATCTGGTCCCCGAAGGGATTCATTGTACTGCTGTGTAACTGTCTGTATCCAGCCTGCTCTGATTGCTGGGTACCCTCGGTAGGGCAGAACTGCCCCTGTCTTTCCTGTGTTTTCCCCTTCTGAAATTTCCTAATAATAGGGGAAGTCATTTCCATACCTTCCCACCCTGTTGCAAGGGCCTAGCTGAAAATAATGAATGTGATCTAGCAGATAGTAGGGACCGAATATGTGTTTGTCCTATAGAGTAGGTACTTACTGTGGTGGCAGTAAGTTCTGGCCAGGTAGCTTATGCAGTAGGTACTCAGTGGGTGGCCACTGAACAAATGGCACAACAGGGTGTATGGGTCTCTGATGGACAATCTGATGCCCACCCCCTCTGCAGCCATGAGGATGGTACCGTGCGATTCTGGGATGCCTCAGGTGTGGCGCTGCGGCCACTCTACAAGCTGAGCACAGCTGGCCTCTTTCAGACAGACTGTGAGCATATGGACAGCCTGGGCCAGGCTGCTGAAGATGACTGGCCACCCTTCCGCAAGGTGGGCCCCCTTCCCTGACCTTAACGAGCTGTTTCTGGCTCTGTCTGGTGTTGCAACTTTGTCCTTGCCCCACAGGTGGGCTGCTTTGACCCCTACAGCGATGATCCCCGGCTTGGTGTGCAGAAGGTGGCTCTCTGCAAGTACACAGCTCAGATGGTGGTGGCTGGCACTGCAGGCCAGGTAGGGCTGATGTCCCTGAGTTGGGGATGTCAGGGAGAGCTTTGTGGAAAGATAGGTCTGAAATGAAGGATCTGGTAGAGAGGCAGTGGGACAAGCCCAAGCAGAAGCCCAGAGGTGGAAGTGGGGCTCCAGGTAGAGCTGCCTGAGGGAGCATAAGTGGGCCTATCACAGGGGCTGAGTCAGGCTCTGGTGGAGGGTTGGGGCAAAGCTGGGAACAGTGTCAGATAAGCTCTGGAGAGCAATTACCGCCATGCCTCTGGCAGTTTTACACAGTATACAGAGGTGCCCAATGTGTGCTTATTGCTAAGTGGGAGACAGAGACTAAAGGGAGAGGGCATGGCATTTCATTCTAAGAGGATGGAACTAGTAGGGACTTGGACTCTGCTGTGTCCTTGCACAGAGTAGAGAACATGCTGTGTGGGCTTATTGGTAGGTGGCAGGAGGATCAGGTAATGGGAGTCTTTCCTGTGAAGGATGAGAGTGCGGAGGCAGGGACCGACAGGTTTAGCCCTCTTACTGTTCCCTAGTGGTCACTGAGGGCCTTGGTATATAATAGTTATTCAAAAAGTGCTTATTTGGTGGATGAACAGAAGACAGTTCTGGCCACCAAGCACGCTGACTGGTCAGCACGTGTATTCGAGGTCTCCGTGGCTGACTGGAGCCCAGGAGTGGCCCCTCCTCCATGCTAACACTGCTCCCCTGCCGGTGGTCTCAGGTGCTGGTGCTGGAGCTCAGTGACATGCCAGTGGAGCAGGCAGTCAGCGTGGCCAGTGTAGACCTCCTCCAGGACCGTGAGGGCTTCACGTGGAAGGGCCATGAGCGGCTGAGTCCACGTACGGGGCCACTCCTGTGGCCTGCTGGCTTCCAGCCCCGTGTGCTGGTGCAATGCCTGCCCCCAGCTGCTGTCACCGCTGTCACACTTCATGCAGAGTGGAGCCTTGTGGCCTTTGGCACTAGTCATGGCTTTGGCCTTTTTGACTATCGGCGCAAGAGCCCAGTGCTGGCCAGGTATGTGGGATAGGGGTAAAGATGATGGGGTGAGCAGCTGGAGTCCCAGTGAAATGGGGTCTGGGCCTCAGTCCTTTCTGAGATGTGGCAGAGGCAGGCTGATTTAAAAGCCCCTGTAGCCTCTGTGGTTTGAGGAACATCCTGAGTACCATCTGCTGCTGAGACCGAAGGGCAGCCTTGGAGAGCTTTGGCCCTGTGACTTGGCCTCATAATGCTCAGCTTTTGGGATCAGTAGGTGCAGGGTGGTGGTTCCATAGGTCAACTGGCGTCTGCCTGCCCTTAGGTGCACCCTTCACCCAAACGATTCCCTGGCTATGGAGGGGCCTCTGTCTCGAGTGAAGTCCCTCAAGAAGTCACTGCGCCAGTCTTTCCGGCGTATCCGCAAGAGCCGAGTCTCAGGCAAGAAGCGAGCTGCTAATGCCAACAGCAAGGTGAGCTGCTCAGGCTGTCTGGGAGCTGAGCTCTGCCCCTAGTCCCCGAGGTTGGCATGCTTTGCCCTGCTCCTCCTGGACCCCAGAACGAGCTGGCAAGCTGGGAGTGTGGTGGATGGATAAGGGCAAATGTCAGATGCAAGGTAGCAGGGCTCAGGGAAGACATGTTCAGGAGCCCTGCTCCTTCCAGTTGCAGGAGGCCAACGCCCAACTGGCAGAGCAAGCCTGTCCCCATGATGTGGAGATGACACCTGTGCAGCGCCGCATCGAGCCTCGCTCTGCTGACGACTCCCTCTCAGGTGTTGTTCGATGCCTGTACTTCGCTGACACGTTCCTTCGAGATGGTGAGGCTGGGCAGGGAGAGGGACTGGATGGCTCAGTTGGACATCTAGATATGGGGGAGGTGGTGGCAGCATACTTCCAGGAGGTTCCAAAGTGTTACCAAGTGTCTGCTGTATGCTAGTAACAGGGATGTCCTGGCTACCCATAAGCCACCCCCTGGGGTACAAATGATGGGGCTGCTGAGTGTGCCTGCAGGACTGGAAGATCTGAGCAGGAAGAAGGGAGCCTGATGGTGGGTGGGCCTTGCAGGTAGGGGAGGAATTGCTGGGCCGTGTGCTTGGAGTAAGAGGGGCAAGGAAAGAGAGGCTCAGGCAGGCCTGGTGCTGGTGGTCATGCTGGGGGCCCAGCTTTGGCACTTGGTCCTGGGTGTACTGATTACCTAATTGATTACCTTGTATAGTGACACAAACATAGAAAGGTGTACAGTCGTTGTACAGATTTACTTTACCTTACCCCTTCATCCCTCACTGTGCTGTTGTATTCTGCTGGACTATTCTAGAAGAAAACCCAGGCATATTACCTTAGTGAGCATGTATCGGATGGGTGTCCCTGATACTGGAATGGAGGCTGATTCCTAATGTCTCGGCTCATGCTTGGTCTGTGGTAGTCTGTGGATACTCTTTTCTGACATGATTTGTCAAGGATCTTTGTCTGGTAGATTTTATTTTCTGGATTTGGCTGGTGCAGCCTGGGTTTTTTGTTTTTTTTCTTCTTCTAGCACTAGGGATTGAATTGTTGGGCCTTTGGACTGAATTACATCCCTCATTTGTTCATTCAAGACAGGGTCTTGCTTTGTAGTTCAGACTGGTCTTGAACTTATTGTGAACCCCAGGCTGGCCTTGAACCTGTGGCCCATCATAGTTTTAGGCCAGTCTGGGCTACATAGTGAGTTCAAGGCCAATTTGAACTACAAAGTGAGACCCTGTCTCAAAAACAAACAAACAAATTTATTTTGAGACAGTCTTACTGAGTTGGCCGTGTTGGGCCTAAACTTGAGATCTTCCTGTCTCAGTCTCCCAGAGTGCTTGGATTACAGGTGTGCACCACCATGCCTGGTTTTGTTTTGTTTTTTTCTTTGAAATAGAGTCTAAATTGCCAAGTTTGCCCTTGAACTTTTAATCCTCTTGCCTCAGCTTTGCTGTAGCTCATCAGCTTTCCAGAGTGTAGAGTGATAAATGTTCACTGCACAGCTCAGCTGATTCCACTGATGCTCTGTCCCACAAGGCCAGGTGGACAGTGTGCTGGGTGGGTCTTGGTTCACTTTATTCTAGGCTGGAGCTTCCCCCTGGCTACCTGTAGGGAGTAAGCTGCAGAGGGTGGGTGCAGCGCTAGTTGTTGGGCTGTTGAGGAAGGAGTCAGTATGGGGGCCTGGAGCCTGAGGGTACAGCAGGTTGGTGGGATGGGGGATGTCTGGGGCCCCTGACTTCCTGTACAGACATCCCTGAGGTGACTGGTGGCTCTGCAGAGGGCTGTTTTCCAGAACGCAACTGGAAGCAGGAGCTCAGCCGAGCCATGAAGTGGGTCAAGGTCACTGGGGAGATGTGGGACAAGGTGTCCACCATGAGTCCCAGGCACCATAGTTATGGAGGTGCAGGAGATATGGAAGAGGACCTACAGAATACAGGAGACTGCGGTGAGCACCCTCTCACTATGCCTGTGTCCTTGCAGCGGCCCACCATGGGCCCACAATGTGGGCCGGCACCAACTCGGGCTCTGTGTTTGCCTATGCACTGGAGGTGCCAGCATCCATGGCAGGCAGTGAGAAGCGGCCCGAGCGGGCAGTGGAGGCTGTGCTGGGCAAGGAGGTACAGTTGATGCATCGGGCACCAGTAGTGGCCATCGCTGTGTTGGACGGACGCGGCCGCCCACTGCCTGAGCCCTATGAGGCCTCTCGGGACTTGGCACAAGCGCCAGACATGCAGGGTGGGCATGCCGTGCTCATCGCATCTGAGGAACAGTTCAAGGTGAGCTGGTGTGGGTTCCTGCTGTTGGTCCCCTTAAAGCCCTTTCTCTGCCTGTGCCCTTCTGATGAGCTTTCCAAGTCCTTCCTACCCTATCACAATGTCCCCAGCCAGCAGAGATCTCCCCAGGAGATTCCTGATGCCTGTTGAATTCCCAAGTGCCTGGTGGGAATTCTCTGTCCCTCCCTCAGGCTCTGGCCTTTGCAAGACCTTGAGTCTAGTCCCTAGAGTCTTAGGTTTGGTGGGAATGCCAGAGACAGCCTCAGGGCCTGCCTGTTTTAGTGTTCACCTGTGGTCAGGGTGAAGACTGGCTTGACAGTGTGGTCCAGGGCATAGCCCTGCAGAGAAAGCTGGGCTCTGGGGTGGGGCTCAGGTTCTGCTCATTACCCATCTTCCACCAGGTGTTCACACTGCCCAAGGTGAGCGCCAAGACCAAGTTCAAGCTGACAGCCCATGAGGGCTGTCGTGTGCGCAAGGTAGCCCTGGCCACGTTTGCTAGTGTGGCCTGTGAGGACTATGCTGAGACCTGCCTGGCCTGCCTCACTAACCTGGGAGACGTGCATGTCTTCTCCGTGCCTGGCCTGCGGCCCCAGGTGCACTATTCCTGTATCCGAAAGGAGGACATCAGTGGCATCGCCTCGTGTGTGTTCACACGCCACGGCCAGGGTGAGGCGGGTGGAGTGGTTGGGAGGGAGAGGGACATGAATGGGACTAGAATGGTCATTCCAGGGGTGGCACAATCCCTGTGAGCACATGTTGGCAGGGACCTACTGAGCACTTGCACTGCCGTCGCTTCTCTTGACTGCACTTCTCCTGTCTTCCCAGGCTTTTACCTGATTTCTCCATCAGAGTTTGAACGCTTCTCTCTGAGTGCCCGAAACATCACAGAGCCACTCTGCTCTCTGGACATCCGCTGGCCCCGTGATGCCACCCAGACCAGGTTTGTGGAGCGCCCACCTCTGGCCAAGGCCTGTAATCCGGGTCAGGTCTCATCCCCCCCAGGCTCTGCCCTCCCTGGACTGGCTGGGCTGTAGGAGGGAGAGGAGGTAACACCTGGCATGTCCCCCTGCACCCACAGGGTCCGAGAGTCACCCAAGCTGAGCCAGGCTAACGGGACCCCAAGCATCATCCTGGCCCCACAGAGCCATGATGGAAGCCCTGATCCTGCCCACAGCAAGAGCGCTGGTGAGGGGGCTTACAGAATGGGGTTATGGGGGAGGAATGAGGACACTGCTGGGTGGGGCGGGCTTCTGCAGGGGCAGCAGCTGAGCCAGGGCTGGATGCCGCACAGAGCACTGGCAGGTATGTGCCTGTTAGGTTCTGTATCCCCAGGTGTTGAGGGGTCCCAGCAAGAGCTGGTCACTTCCTCCCTATAGATACCCCAGAGCTGCCTGAGGCCACACTCTCACCCATGTCCATTGACTCAGCTACCAGCGCTGACACTACTCTGGACACGACAGGGGATGTCACAGTGGAGGATGTGAAGGATTTCCTGGGGTGAGGCCAGCTTTCCTGTCTGTAAAGCTCCCCTCCCAGGACCAGCAGGGCATCCCCCAATACAGACTTTCTGTTCACCGCCCCAGCTCTGAGGAGTCAGAGAAGAATCTGAAGAACCTTGCAGAAGATGAGCCTCATGCGTGTACCATCCTGATCAAATGAGGTACCACAGGATGGGGCCCTACGTCTACCTTGTCAGCCTGCTGGGCTTCACAGGGCACACCCTCCAGTGACCACTCTCAGAGGCCTAGCTGTCTCCCATGGGGTGTCTCAACGGTCTTAGGTGCCCATGCTGCATGATTTTCAGTTAGATGGCAGCAGAGAGGCCCTGCCTGTTAAGCTCTTGGCTGTCTTGCGAATTTTGGAGTGCAGAGGCTGGGGTTAGTTTGGCTAGGCCTTTTCACAGACCACTCAGGTGTAAAGGCTGGTCCTATGGATTGAGCCTGGCACTTCAAGCCTAGCCATAGGCTCACCTGGCTCTGTCCCGGTCTCAATGTGGGCCCTACTTAGCTTGAGCCTGGAGAGCTGCCTGGCCCACTTGCTACCTGGTGCTGGGTGCTATGTGGCAGTAGTTGTGTACGTAACAGAGTCCCACCACGCTTGTCATGGAAGGACCCTGTCTGCCCTAGATAGGTGGCATGGGGACACGTGTGTGACCAGGTCTGACTGTGGGGACACCTTAGATAGGCCATCTGCCCTTTTGAGTCTCCTTTGCTCTGATACCCTTGTCTTCCTCCACCAGGAAGGTCAGCATGATCCCAGCCATCTCTTGCCTTGCTCGGAGCTGGTGTCCTGGATCCCTGGCTTCTGCCTGGTTCCTTAACATAGACCCGTATCTGCTAACCTGTGAACTCCAGTGGACCTGCCATCCTGTCCCCACCCAGCTGGGCCACGGAGAGTCGTGGGCCTCTCCCTGGAGCCTCTTGACCAGGCTTGCTCAACCTTCCCAGGGCAAGTGGCTGCCCTAGGGCTGCTGCCTAGGGAGGGCAGATAGGGCTGAACGTCAGGCACCTCGCATCCCACACACACCCGTTTCTCTCCCTTTGCAAAGAGTATTTTTCTAATGCCTGTGCTGGGCTGGACAGTCGTTTCTAAAACTATTTTGGTACTTGCCACTGAGCCAGCCCTCAGCCTATGTGTGTATGATGGGGAGCCCTGCTGGGCATCTCAGCTGTGATATATGTGTGTTGGGGGGTCAGGATGGGCTTTCCTGTAGATCATACCTTGAATTTTTTTCTGGCCTTTTTTTAAAGTTAGTGTTGTTTTAATATTAAGAATACTGATTTTTAATATTGAAAATAAAAGCATTTAATATCTCTTAAAGGGCAATCACATCTGCTTTGTCCCGAGGAGGGGGTTTCATATGTGTGCTTCCTGTGGGGGAGGCTGGTTTTCCAGACCCCCATTAGTGCTGCTAGGGCTAGGGCTGTGGCAAGTGGCCAGGGCAGGGGCTATCACCTGGGTACACTCTCAGTGGTCAGGAGGCCCCTGGCCCAGGCCACATGCATGGTCTAGGCCGGAGCCTGGCGGAAGTTGCTCCAGGCATGGAAGCAGCGAGTGAAAGCATGTTGCTCATTACCCTTGCGGACCAGGCGCAGGCGTCGTGGTCGCTCATGCTCTTTGGAGCGCATGTGCTGGATATACACCTGGAAGGAGGCGGCAGTGGGCCTTGTGGTCTCAGAGACCCCACGCCTGGTGGGCCAGCCTCAGACACCTCACCTCACCCCACCGTTCCCCTCTCCTGCTCACCTGGCAGGCCTTCAGACTCAGTTTGATCTCCACCTGGCTCGTCTGGGTCCCAACCCACATGTAGACCTGGGAGGATAGGGTAGGTCATTGCCCGGTGATTTGGGAATACTCCCCTTCTGGTCCCACATCTCCTATTTACAAATGGACGGGCTGCTCCTTGGATAGGCAGGGTCAGTGCATGTGTATGGGTCTCACCTCTTGGCCATTGTCCAACAACATGATATCATCATCTGCCAAGTCATCTTGGCAAAAGTCAGAGCATTTCTCAGTGACTGCAAAGTACCCCTTCTCATTGGAGCACCTGGAGTACAAGGGCCAAAGTGAGGCCAAGTGCTAGGACTGAGAAGGAAGTGGGGGAGGGAAGGCCAGGAGCCTCACCGGAAGAGTCTTGTGTACTTCATGTACTCAGCATCATCGTCATAGGGCTTCTTGGCCCCAATGCCCACCCAGAAGAAGTTCTCAGGCTCCTCACCTTCATTGATGACCTATGGGAAGAGGGTCATCAGTCCAACCCAAGGCCTTCGCCTGCTCCGCCTACCCAACCCACCTGAGTCACCTGTTTGCTGTAGGAAACATCAAACATGGTGTTGAGGATATCTTCTGCCAGCTTGGCTTCATCTGGATCTGATGCCCGGCCCACCCAGGCATACACAATGCCCTGGTTGTCCTCACTCTCGAAAGGGACCTGTGGAATATGTGGGGGGAACAGGTCAGCTCCAGCCCCACACCTGCCACCCTGACCTGGTGTCCTGGCTCACAGGTACCGAACCTTGAGGATGAAGCAGAACTCGGAGTTGAGAAGGCTGCAGTCAGTGTTGATCTGGATGCACCTGGGAAGCAGTGGGGTATCAGCAAGAAGTCAGGCCCTGCTCCCAAACCCCACCAGCCACCGTGCTCCTTCCTGCCAGGCACCGGGTACAAAGGGCGCTGCCGTTCGTGCGGATCTGATAGAGGCTTGGCTGGAGGGTACCCTGGTCCACCTTCCTCTTGCCTCGGTGGATGATGAACTTCCTCTTGAAATGGGACAGGAATTTGGGGTTTTCCTGCTGCTGTGTCATCCGCACCACCTGGAAGAGTACACGTGTCAGGGGAGGCTCCAGGAACCCTCAGCCCCTCACTCTGCCATCTCTCCCCCTCCGTAGGCCCAAGTTCTTGGGGCACCATGCCTCCAGCTTGCCAGGGAAGAGGCTCTCAAACTTCTTCTGCAGACTGAAGGTGAACGTGAGCCAGCCCATGTTGGAGGCCTCCCGGCCCTGCCAGAAGTACACAATGCACTGGAAGTCCTCCTCGGGCTGCTTCTCTTCCACCTCAGCTGGTGCCTCCTCGCCCTCTTTGCCCTCTGCTGCAGTCTTTCCTTCCTCCTTGTCCTCCTTCTTTTCCTCCTCGTACTCTATGGGAACCCAGTACCTGCACAGATGCGGAGGTAAGCAGGGGCCAGAGCCCCAAGGGAGGAGCAGGAAAGGGGCCCGTGCTGCTGCACCTGCAAAGGAAGACGTAGCAGTCCTGCGTGTAGAAGTGGCCAAACTCCTCCTCCGGTAGCCGTGCAAACTTCTTGCCCTCCAGCACGAAGCCCTCCATGCCATCCAGGTCCTCGTTCCACTCCTCCATCAGCTGCTCTGCCTGCGGGTGAAGCCCCGCCCTGCAGGTCAGAGGACCGCAAAGGCCCGGCCTCCAGCCCACCCCCAGCCTCAGCCTCCCTAACCTCAGCCAGGGCCGTGGTGGGCTGTCGGGGTAGGAAGAGTGCAGTGAGGTCTGCCTTCATCTGGTCTTTTTTCTCGGCGTCACGCTTCACCTTCCCGGACAGGCCCTGGCCCTGCAACACGGCCTCGGCGTTGCGCGTGTAGTCCACCGTCAACACGTCATCCCAGTTCTTGAACTTGGCTTTGAACACCTGCATGGCGGAGAGGGCAAGGAGAGGCCATGAACCGGAGTTTGGTGGGTCTGAGGAGACTTGGTTTGAGGCCATCAGGAGGGCCCATGCGGTGGGGCCCAAGGAGAGCTTCAGAGGGGCTGGGGAAACAGCCTAGGAGAGAAATGGACTAGGTTGTGAAGAGGTGGTTCTACGGGCAGTGTTTGGGCCCAGCTCTGCAGGACAGTAATACAACCCGCAGTCAGGGCAAGACATGGTCTTCAGGGCTGTGGGGAGCAGCGTCCCGGGGTGGGAGCACACCTGGGCCTCAGTACCCTCAAGACTGCGGCTGACGGTGGCATGGCGCGGCCGGTGCAGCATCCCGCACAGCTCCTGGCCCAGTTTGAGGGCAGCAGCGCGCACCAGGCGCGGGGACTTGCGGCCCAGCCAGATGAACACATCTGACCAACAGTCCAGGATGTACACACAGCGCGTATCCAGCAGGCTCTGCAGCTGCAGAAGCAGAGGCCAGAGTCAACACTCAGCAGGCATCTGGACAAGCTCGGCCCCCACACCCTCCTGCTCGTCTTACCAGCCGCATCCTTGGCATCAGCTCCACCTTGGGCCGTTTCTTATGTTCCACAGAGAGCTTGTAGTTGATCTGTGGCAGCTCTAAGTAGCCCAGGCCCAGGCCCACCTGGCAGGAGAAAAGAACAGACATGGCAGCCTCCTGAGTTCCCTTGCTGTCTAGCTCAAATCCTCTGCCTCTCCCTTGCTTGACCTGTTTCCCCTTCTACCACAGTCAAAGAATATTCTTGGCCCTTTTTATATTGAGACAGAATATCTCCCTAAACTACCCATTTCTCAGCCCAAAGTAGCCTTGAACTTGTGATGCTCCTGCCTTGGCCCACCTAGTAACTGGGATTTCAGAGGTGTGCCACCTGGCCTAGACTGTTTGTTTGTTACCTGTGGTGCTAGAGATTGAAACCAGAGCCTCATGCCTGCTGAGCAAGAGCTCAACCGCTGTGCTGTTAGTGGAAGAGCCTTGAACAGGTGCTCTGTCATGTTCCCTTTCCAGGTCCCTCATCATTTCTAATTCCTAAATTGTCCCATTTCTCCTCAGGAAACCCGTTTCCCAACAACCACAAAATTAAAGCTAGGTCCCAGCCACAGCACCTCGGCACCTTCCCCGAGCTCCCACCTTCCAGAAACAAGCACTCTCACTGTGCTCAGGGCTGACGTTCCGGCTGCTCCTCATCCAAATGTGGCACCTTCTCCCAAGTAAAGTTTACCTGGCCCTCCTGGCAACACCTGGCCAGACCCGTACCCCACCGGCCAGTGTACCTTGTACAGCTTAGGCTGAGGTGGCCAGAAGTTGTCAGGCACGTGCTTCTTGATCTCAGAGGGTTCCCCACCTAGTGCCTCCCAGAATTCTGGGGCCTCCTGGCCCTGCACCAGCAGTGTGATCTCTGCCTTCCCCTTTCGTTCATTCTTGTTAATTTTCTCTGCAAAAAGCCTGAGGATGAAACACAAAATCCTTGATGACCATGTCCCTTTTTGGGACCATGGTCACCTTTCCTTTGCACAAAGCATCCCACAGTCCCCTTGTACCTGGCTTTGGTGGTGCCACTCAGTGTGGCTTGAGCCCCCCGCCACACATAGATATCCAGGCCTCGGTCCAGCAGGAACACAAACCTGGAGCAGAGGGGCAGGAGAGAGTGATGGGGCATCGTACAATGATGTTCCCATGCCCCTGATTAAAAACAACAACAAAAAACACTGTACGGGCTTTAGCCCCTCTTCCTGGGTGACCCTCCTGCTAGCTCCGTGGGACGAGGGTTAAAACCACCGCTCCGCTTTAGGAGGCCTGAATATGTTCTCTACAAGTGGGAAGGAGGTTGACAATCAAGACCCCCACCTCACACAGGGGCTCACCTTGGGTCCAGGGAAGTCCCCTTGAGGGGCACAGACTCCAACTTAATGTTCTTTTTCCCATACACACGGTACATCCTGGGAACAGGACAAGAGCAGCTCATTATGGGCACCAAGGGGCCAATTTACCCCCAAATCTTCACCTCCAACCCTTCCCAGCCAAGTCCAGATCAGTACTCATCTCCACTTGTCCTCACCTGGTGATGTAGTGTGTGTCCTCGACAGTGTAGAACCCACTGGCTGTTCCACCCTCAATATAGGAGATGTCGTTGTCAAACACCTGCGCGTGTGAGGTAGGGTTCCTCGTCACTGAGCTGCCCCCACCCATATACCTCAGGAGGCTCGGGAGGCTCGGCAGAGGCATATACAAATTTATGATGTTACTACAAATCTATGCTTTAAAAAATAAGGTGTCCATACTGAGCTGTGTGCAGGGAGGTACAGAGGTGGGCTGGGTTATGGAAGCAGGCAGACCTGGCTGAACCTGAGTAAAATCATGAAGTGTGTCTGCAGTAACCAGCTGGTGAGGTGGCGTGGGGGAGGGCGGGCACAGGGACCTGCTGACCTGCTCTGCAGTTTACTCCAGCCTGGCCGCCGTGGCACCCAGTTGTCACAGCTACTGGCTCCAGCCTCCGTCTCTCTTTGCCACATGTTTCCCCAGCTCCTTCTGTCAGCCACAGCCTCCAACCTCAGGCCCTGCTAAGCTAGCCTTCAGCCACCTCTGGTCTCTCTGGTCTCCCGAGCTTGCTGCTTTCGGGGTGGCTACACACCCCTCACACTCTACCCAGGAAGCCTCTGGCACCCCGTACTCCTGCCTGCCCCTTACCTGCAGGAACTCCTCACTCTCATCGCCCATTTCCTCCCGCACTGTGCGGCACTCAGCACCCAGGTAGTTCCGCAGGTTGACAGCATGAATGGCAGAGCAGGCTTTCTTGTCAAGCGTGGCCTCCCCGCCAATCCAGTAGTAGATCTCCCAGGTTAGGGAGCCGCTATCGTCCAGAAAGGTCTGGGAACACAGGTACCACCATAAGAAACTTCCTCTGGCCACTCTAGTGTCGCAGCCCCAGGATGGATGCACTGTCCTCACTCCCTAGACCATCTCCACCTGGCCTGCCCACCTCCCACCCCATCTCACTGACCCACTGCGAGGAGGTGAACCATCTAAGGTGACGCCCTGCGAGCCAGGCCCCACCTTGAGCACAATGTAGCAGTCGGCCTCATAGAACTTGCCGTGGAAGGCTTCCTCCACCAGCACAGGCACGAAGTTCTCAATCTGCCAGATGGTCAAGCCTGGCAGCTGGCCCACATCTTCTGTAAAGAATTCCGAGTAGTCAAGGCGTGGCTTCTCCAGGCCCTGGTCCCAGCGCCGCACCTTACCCCCGGAGGCCCGGGTGTCCACGATCTCCTGGGGACACAATCACAGTGCATGGCTTGATTATGAAGCCACGCAAACTGGCCTACACTTGCTCTCCACTGCGGGGCTTTTGCACAGCCATCCTCTGCTCAGGGTCCCTGTCCCTCTTGACTTAGGTCAGACAGTTGGCCTTGAGCAGGGTCCAGTTGGCCTGTCCCATACCAGCCCTGGTCTGGCTCACCTCCTGCTTTTTGTTCTTCTCCTGGGCTACATCTGACATGCCCTTCAACACCTGCTTGGCCTGGTCATCCTGGGCTGAGTCCTTGCGTCTTCGAAGCCGCATCTTGCGAGCCAAGGGGTCCTTGGGCCCACTCCCTGCTTGGGAGCGTGGGGGACAAGCCTTTGAACCCTGGCTGGACTGTGCTTTTGGGCATCCAGCCAGCTTCAGGCCAACTGCATCCTCCATGGCCAAAAAGCCATACCCCACCTGGTTTACAGATAAGAAAGTTGATGCCCAGACAGTCCCACTCTCAGGCCAGATCTATCACTCACCAGCTGCTGCCGCTGCAGCCACTGTGGCAGGGGAGGCGCCTGCCAGCCGCAGCTGGTTCTGCAGCGAGAAGTCGATGTTGTACCACTCGGCAGCATGGTCAGCAGGTTTCGGGGGCATGACCAGGCTGGGATTCTCCCGCACATCCAGAACCTGTCCCAGACAATCAGAACACAATCAGAGCACACATAGGGACACACACACATTACCCCACAGGCCAGGTGTGCATCCTGACCACCTCAGGTTGGCTGGGGTGCGTCAAAGACATGGTTCGCCGTCTCCCCACTGGTATCCAGCACTGCCCCCAGGAGGCCTCTGCAGAGTCCCCTCACTCCAGGGCACACCCCACTGCTCGGTCTTTCCTGAGCCCTCCCTACCCTCAACGGCCCGAGCCCACTCGACCTCGATCTCTGTCAGGAAGTGGATGGCCTCCGGGAGGGTCACCAGCCGGTTCTTGTTCAGGACAAGTTTCCTCAGCTTTGGGCATCTATAACAAGAGGGCCACAGCAGGACAAGGGGTTACAGGGGGGCAAACTTCCGAACCTGAGGAACGGGAGAGTGGCAGATAGGGCCAGGGGAACAGGGCGAGCAGTGTGCTCTGTAACAGGACACTACGGGGCCCTGTATCCCACAGCCGTGCATGGGAGCAGTGCTACGGCCATTGTTTACATAGCACTGGGATTGTTCCGGCCTTAAAACAGTGTCTTTCAAAGGCTATTCTGGAGAGCCTACGTCAGGAATGGCTGCATGGAACCACAGGGTCCTCACAAAGGCCAGTTAACCCATCTCCAAAGATGCAGACTGGGTTCTGGCTCTAGTTCTGAGTTCTCTGCCCAACTCGCCCAGCACCTGCAAAGACTTTCAGGAATCAGCTCCAGGTTGTTGTTGGCAGCCATAAACTCTTCCAGGCTGGTCAGCTTGCCGATGCCAGAGGGCAGCCCATCAAAGTCCAGCTTGTTAGAGTTCAGGTACAGCTTCTTCAGCTTGGTGAGCTTGCAAATGGCTGACTGAAGAGAGCCGGGCAGTACAGTGGTCAGGTCCAAGCCCCACAGCACCCCCCACCCCTCCAGGTCCCACACGCACAGGCAGTGAGGTGAGCTGGTTGCGGGAGAGGTTCAGTGTCTCCACATGAACCCACTGGTCGATGCACAGGGACAGCTCCATGATCTGGTTGCTGCTAAGGTTGAGGCGACGAAGGCTGGGGAGAGTGTACAGGCACTCGGGCACCCGTGTCAGGTCATTGCATGACAGGTCCACATCTAGCATGACAGGCACAGCACATTAGCTAGGGCCTGCCCAGCAGATGCTGGGGCAACCAGCTTTACCATGAACCCCAGTTCTGCCACCGTCAGGCTGTGGCAATGTCTATGAGCTACAGTTTCCCCATCCAAGGAGAAATTTCCCAGTGCCAAGTGGGTCTGCTCACAATACAGTGTCACACTAATGGTCATCATGATGACAACTGAAATAATCTTAACTACCGAAAAAGGCTGGGAAAGCAGTTTAGCCTCTTTTTTCATGAGCAAGTGAGGGAGGATCCAGATCCTAGAAGGGCCCCCTAGGATGGTCCTACCTGCAAGGTTGTTCAGGCCCTCCAGGCTGGTGGGGAGATTGCTTTGGGTGCGCTGTGTGTTCCGCAGATGTAGGGTCTGCAAGGCTGTCATGGCTGGAAGCTGCCTGCCAGGGGGACAGGAGTCATGAGGGCTAGAGACAGGGTGGCCTGGGCAGGGGCTGGAGGGGCAGGTCAAGGCCAGCTGCAGGTTAGACATGCAAAAGGACAGAGGAGAGTGTGCACCCTCGGGAAGGATAGGCTGGGGTGGACAGGAAGGGGAGCAGGCCGACGGGGCCCACCGGAGCTGTGCATGCAGCAGTGGGTTCCCGCTGAGCACCAGCGTCTGCAGGTGCACAAGGCGGCGCATCTGCGGTGGTAAACTCTCCAGGCGGTTCTCACTGAGGTCCAAGTACAGCAGGTCGGTGAGGTTGATGAACAGCTGGTTGGGGATGCTGTCAATGCTGCAGGTGGCAGGGAAGAAGACCACCTGAGTCAGCTTCATACAGCACCCGCCCTGGGCTCAGCCCCTGGCACACCTTGAGGCCAGTACCTGTTATGGCTAAGGTTCAGCACCAGCATGTTCTTGGCATTCTCCAACTCCCGTGGGCACTCTGTCAGCTGATTGTAGCTCAAGTCCTGGGTGTGAAGGGCATAGCCCAGGTCAGGGGTGTCCCCACCCTGCCAGGCCTCTGCGATCTTGGGGATTATGCAGGACACTGCTGCAAGGAAGTGGGCATGGGGGTTTACGGGCCAGTGGGAGATAGGGGACTGAATGACTGGGCTAGCAAAGGGACCAGGTAGACAGGTGGGTCGCCACTAACCAGGACAGAGAGGTCATCCAGCTTGAAGATGTCATCAGGGACTCCGGAATTCTTCAGGCTATTGGCTCGAGCTACAATGGCCTAGAGATGAATCATAAGAATCCACAATTTCTCACTTCCCCACATAGAAAGAAGAGAGGTCAAGGTAGGATGTTTCCTCAGGAAATCTACTGGAGGCCAGGCCTGAGTGCCCTCCCACATCTGGTCTTTGCTCACACAGTTCCACCATTTGGTAGAATTTTCTTTTTCTTTCTTTTTTTTTGCAGGGGGCAGGAATCAAACTTGGGACCTCACACTTGCCAGGCAAGTGCTCACCACTGAGCTAAATTCTCAGCCCCTGGTGGGATTTTAATATCCTCCTGTCAAATTTCTTTTTAATTTTTTTTATTTTTAGTGTTTTTGTTTGCTTGTTTGTTTTTGTTTTACAGACAGGGTCTTGGCATGTAATTCAGGCTAACCTTGGACTTACTATTTAGCCCAAGCTAATCTCAGACTCGCAGCAGTGCTCCTGCATCGGCCTTCTGAGTGCTGGGCTCATAGGCCGTGCCACTATGCCTCGCTCCTCCTGGTGAACTTTATTCAAATCTCACAGCCCAACTCAAATGTGCCCCAGAGTTTAGAACAGGGCCCTCACGGAATCTTTTCTGGTCAAACAATTCCTATTCTTAATTCCAGAAGGCAAATTAGGGTGTTGTTCTGAATTAGTTTTTCTTTAAGACAAGGAAAATACTGCACCAAAGAGAAGTCAGAGTGTAGACTTCAAGGAATTCTGCTTAAAGGACAGACGCACAGAGTTCAGGAGCAGCGGAGGACAGGGCCAGGGAATGGTACTGTAGTTACAAGTGACAAAAGAGGTAACAGGAACTGCCCCGGTCTGCCTCCCACTTTCCCTTCCTTTCTTCCTTCCTTCCTTGGCACTGGGGACTGAGCCTAGGGCTTTCTCACTGAGCTACCTCTCCAGCCCTTTTTAATTTTTTTTTTTTTTTGAGAGTATCTCACTAAGTTGCCCAAGATAGGGTCACACTTGTGATTTTTCAGCTTTAGCCCCAAATAACACCACACCCCACACCCCTGTGATACTGAAGATTGAACCTGGGGCCTTCACACTGAGTTACATTTCCAGCCTTGAGCGCTAGGATTGCAGGTATGTCCTACCATGCTTAGCCAGCCCCTGAAAATCCTGCAGCCCTACTGTCTGTACAGTGCAGGTTACAGGACGCCCCTCACCCAGAGAATGGCAGGGACCTGTCTAAGGCTGTGTAGCTAGGAATCGGCAGACTCCAGTTTCCAACTTAGGGAGCCCAAATCCTGAGGCTGTGCCCTAAGCATTTAGGGCTCTGGCTTGGGACCAGAAAATCCTACCTCAGGCCTGTAGAGGTGGCCAGCAGCCTCATGTTCAGGAATGTCAGACTATCTTTCTCTGGCTCACCAAACCCAGTCCCAACTATAGTACTTTTCGGCCAATGTGCCTTTAGGCAAGTAACCCGTGTCAGTGGCCAAGTGGCGATGAGGTGGGGCTGCACTGTATCGTTCACATGTCTATCCAGAATGATGGTGGGAGACGTGAGGGTGATCTGGCTGTCCCATCTGTTACCCCACTGATCACCAGTGTTGATCTGGCTGATCTGACTGGCTACTAGATGTCCCCTTCCTCCCTCACTGCTCCACGTGCATCCTTCCTGAAGCCATGCTTGGTTAAAGAGCATAGGCACCTTCAGGAAAGAGAGGAGGACTGTCCCTCAGTCAAAGGTATACAAGTAGATGTACTCCGCTGCCAGCACTTTCAAACAAGTTCTCAAAAAGGGGGTGGGACTGGGATTGTTTTACCTTTCCCCCGCGGAATTCTCTGATCCATATGAATTTTTTTCTTTTTTTTATCGGTACCGGGGATCGAACTCACGATCACGTGCTTGCAAGTCAGGTGCTTATGCCGCTGAGCTAAATCCCCAGCCCCCACATGAATTTCTTTACACAGGACATAACTGTATACTCTTGAACTAACAGGGGCACATCTGGGATACCTGGCACCTTAACCGGACATGAAGGTGGACAGAAACACGGGGCGAACCTGGGGTTCCAGCTCTGACCTCAGGTCCCTAAGCCAGAGGCCTACTGGCCAGCACTCACCCGAAGCGAAGGCAGGCTGGACAGCTCTCCGTGAAGTGTGGTCAGGTTGTTGTGGCTCACAGACAAGTGCTCCTGGGTCAGGACAGGGGAGCAGAGGTGCAGAGCAGCGGGTAGGTGGGGTGTCCACAGTCCCCATCTGCCCTCAAACTGTGCACTATCCAGGAGGGTCCACCAGCCCAAACCACTTCTGCAGCCTCCCCCCCTCGCACACCCAGCTCCTTTTTGCACACTTCCCAGTTTTACTTTGCACACTTTACAGTTTTACTCACAGCTGTGTTCTTCCTCCAAGTACTTTATCTTCCCTGCAGGCCCTGCCCACCTAGCCCCATCCAGAGGGACCCTCCTGAATGCCCAAGGCTGCTTACCAGCTTCTGCAGGGCAGCCAGCTCTTCCGGCAGGTAGCAGAGGCCTGTACGGTTCAGTTTTAGCCATCGCAGGCTGGTCATGGCTTTGACATTCTCAGGGAAGTAGCCACCCTGGTGGGGGCATGTCACAATGAGGCTCATTTTAATAAAGGACACCCCTAACCCCCTCTGGTCCCTCCCCTCTACCTGTGAGAATCTTTGGGGGAAGAAATAGAGCCAACTCACCAACTCTGAGGCCCTGGACAAGACACTTGTCACTCTGTGTCTCAAATGGGGCTAATAGGGGCTGGGGATTTAGCTCAGCGGCATAAGCGCCTGCCTTGCAAGCAGGCAGTCGTGAGTTCGATCCCTGGTACCAATAAAAACGAAAAAGACCAAAAAAAAAAAAAAAAATGGGGCTAATAAAAGCCTCCATGTGACAAAATGTTGATCCAAGGTTTATCTCTGCGACTGGCCTGAGCCCCAGGAAGGCCAGGGTGAAGCTGGCTTATTTCACAGGACATCCCAGCACCTACTTTGCGTTCAACTTTGCTATGTTCCTGATTGGGCCACTTGGGGTCCCAGCAATTGCCAAGGCTCTTACTGTCCGGCCATGGAAAGCACCATTAGCATATCAGCCGTTTCTGACAAGGCCTAAACTGCAACTGAGTTAAGGGCCTAGCGCCCCACCCTGTACAGGTACCACCTCATTCATTCATTCATTCATTCATTCATTCTTCATATTTCAAAGCCTCCACATCACCCCAGGCTGTGTGGCACTGAGTCCAGTCTAGGGCAGCATGTGCCTTCTGTGCCTTTGGTTCTGTCCCTTACCCCTGCAGCCACATTCCTAGCTGGTGACTCAGACTTTCCAGGTCCAGAAAAGATGCAGGGAGACCCCAAATAAGGATAGTGGGGAGGGGTCAGAGAGAAGGCAGTGTGGCTGCCTATGCATGGAATCAAAGGCGCACACAAACGCAACTAAAAGCAGATGAGCTCACTTTCTTCCCAGCCCCAGGCTGATACCTAAACAGACTGGTCACCTGTCAGCCCCCTGGGCCCTTCCAGGCCCTCCAGGTCAGCTCCCCTTCCCTTCCCCACTGTCCCTCGGTACTGACGCTGACCCCACCTCATGCTTCACTCTCTAGAACCACCTCTTTTCCCCACCAACTGGCTCAGGCAGGGGCTGGGCTCCTTGTTTCCAGATCTCTCAGCCCATGAGCTGCTCGGAAAACTGTCACTCCGGACCTTGCACACCTGCCTAACACTCTCCATACCAACAGATCTCATCACGTTCCAGGCATTCAGACGGTCTACTTTCAAGCCTTTCACCGGATGAGAAAACCCAAGTTCTAAGAGGGGAAGTGACTTGCCCAAGACCACACGGGGTGGGGGTGGGGTGGGGGTGAGTGTAGGGGTGGAGGCGGGGTAGGGGGTGGCGACAGCGCAGGGAAGAATTGGCTCCAGATCCGCCCCGGGTAGCCTGGGCCGCGGGGCCGGCCTGAGTTAGGGCTGGCTCGGGCGTGTGACCTCAGAGCAGCGGGAGCACAGGGGCGTCGATGCCCCGCCCCGGGAGAACAGGGACGCAGGGTCGTACTCCAGCCGGCCCCCCGCGAGGCGCGGAACTCAGGCCTGGGTGGGTTCCGGGCGGGGAGGCAGGCGGCGAGCCGCACCCGGACGGCCCGCAGTCCCGGCAGCGGCGGCGGGACAGGAAGCAGCGCGCGGCGTGGCCTCTCGCAGCGGGAGGCCCCGCTCACCCCTGCCGCCCGGCCCCGCTCACCTTGAAGTCGTTGCCGCTGAGGTCCACGCCACGCACGAACGGCAGCACCCCGGTAGCCTCCATGGCGGCGCCGCTCTAGCTGCCGGGCCGGCGGAGGGGCGGCCCGGGAGCGGGGGCTGGGCGTTGCCGGCCCCGCCCCTTAACCCGCCAGCGCCCGGAGCCTGGAAGGCGTGGGGCCTCTCTAGGCCGCCGAGTGCCTCCTGCTTCCGGACTGGAGCGGCCTCCGGAGTCGGGGCGCTGCTGTGCGCGAGCTGGAGGTACCCACAGCCTCAGTCGCAGCGTCCAGGGGAGAGGATGTTGGCCCTGCAGGACCAGGCAGGCACTGTCCATTGAGCTGCAGCACAAGTTGGCCTTGACCCTAGCAAAGATTCTGGACTCGGCCTCATTTCCTGGCAGTCTCTGTGTAGGACCGCAGGGGGACATCTGTATCTTCGGCCCCCGCTGTCCTTCTTCGTCCGCATATCGTAGTCAGAAGTGAAAATGCAAAGCACGCACGAGCAATTCACAGTATTTAGCAGGCCCTAGGTGGCAGGTTATTATTCCTGCTTAGTGTCAAGACTCCTCCGCTATTTACTGATTGAATTGTATTAAGCTCTGGTATAGAGGCGTCCCGCATAATTAGAACCTGCTTTCGCGGCTTTCGCAGTGACTTGCATAACCACTCTTTTCGGCGGTGGGTGTAAGCGTCTAGCGTCTCGTCTAATAAGACAGAAAACTGAATTCTGGTTGTTGAATGGCTCATACGTGTCACACGGACTGGTTGTTGGAAACTGAACCACACTCAGTGCCTGGCGATCCAGTAGGTAATAGGAAACCAGCAGGGACTTTCACAGAGGTGACCTGAGACAAAATGGGGGCCTTCGGGCCAAGTGCCATTTGTCTGCTTGGCCCCTGGAAGGAACGTGGGTGCAGACAACTTTGTGCAGACGGATGCTCCCATTACAATCACATGCGAGTCATATGGGCTCAAGACTATAGCATTCACATGTCTCGTCGCGGGCTCGAAATGCAGTCTTGCGCCTTTAAATTCAGAGAGCTTCAGCGAGTCCCGCCCCGGAGGGAACGCACCTGACGGCGGAGGGGCGTGGGCTCCCCCTCATTGGCTGAGCCTCTCAGTGTTTTGGAACGTGTCTGCAGGAATGGAACGCTCCGATTGGAGCGAGGGCCTGCTTGTCTGCGTGCCTCCAGGGCCAGCGGCCGCTCGCTGGGCCTGGGCATTCTGTTCCTAGGTCTTCCACGTTCTACTTCCAGGAGGGTCTGAGGTTTAGGTCCTAGAGGAGCAGAGCGTCCCCGAGTTGGTGCGCTGACACAGAGACGGAGGTATGGCCTGGAGGGTGATGAGGCGGTTCTCTAGGTCACCCATCTCCGGGCGTGGCCCGCGTTCAGGGCACAGTTCGGGGGCGTGGCCCTTGGTCAACCCCTCTGGGAGGGGAGGACTTTGGGTCCCAAAGCCTCAAAGCTCGAGTTCGAATCCATCCAGGCCCTTCCAGTTTGGGGTACTGCCCTTGGTTCCCAGGGCGTTAGTGATCTTTCCATGAATGCGGCTAATAACAGGTTCATCTAGGGGCTGCTGCGTGGCCTGCTCACCCTTTCTCTAGGACAGGCGGGTTTGGCCCTGGAGAGCAAGGACAGGTGGTATCCAGGGACTGGTTGTGTAGTCCGGTTATTTTTAAACACCCCTGCCCTCTCCATCCTCCCAGAGTTAGAAGGCTTGTGGTTGGGGCCTGTGCGACCCCGTCAGGGTCCAGGCTGAGTCCTCTTCAGACAGGTGTTGGAATTAAAAGCGCTTTATAGTTTGCAAAATGGATTCCTGGTCCGTCTGGAAGTGTTGTCAGTATTGGTCCCCGTGCTACGGATGAGGAAGCAGACAGTGGCTCCGGGGCCATGGTGGGTCAACTGGCTGGCGTCTAACCTCGAAGGCCCCGAGCTGTATCTTATTTTTAGTTTGCCCCCTCCAGACAGGTGTCCAAGCTTAGTCACACAGTGCCTCAGGCTTCAGCTACTCCAGGCATCTTGTCATCTGGCAGCTGGGTTCCAGATACCCAGAGTCCAGCAGGAAGGGAGAAGTCCTTGATCCCAGCAGGCTGTGACCTTGTAGTTTGGTGGACTGGGCCCTGGGAGATTTCCTCCCTTCTTCCCAAGTGCCTGGCCCCACCCAGTCACAAACTTTTAAGCCTTCCTCACTGTGACCAGGGCCCTTTTACAGGTGAGCAAACAGGCCCTGACTTCAGGTCTTCGCCTCACTTTTTCTGTTGCTTGGGCTTCCGGCAGCTGAGGACAACATGTTTTTCCATCTCTAGCGCTGTCCCAGGCCCAACAGGCCTGGAAAGCCCTGTCTCCAGAGGTCCTAGGAAGCCTTCTAGGACTGCATTTGTAGCGGTGCTGTGCTTACAACCCCAACAGTGGGGTCTTCAGCCTTGACTTGCATATATCCATGGCAGGAGGCTTTTAGCCTTGGGAAAAGTCTGAGCCATCTCACTCCACACGTCCTCTGACTTTTCCTGTCTAGATTGGGGGGGGGGGTGTAACTGAGTTTCACTGTGGTTCCTACCAAAGATCTGATAGCCTCCCCTCAAACGGACTGGGATCCCAAATTGAGGTCTTCTATGGCTTTTGGGTTTTCCTGACAGAATATCAGAGAGGGTTCCTGTGCCCCAAGTTGGTTAGGAATCTGAGGGCCTGGCCATGTGAGGGCCTGGGAAGTATAGCTGGATTCTGAGGATGGTGAGAGTCTGGAGGCTTTGTAGTCACTGCTCTGAGATCTCACCACTGACTTAGGGACTTCACAGCTTCCATCTCTGGGGTGATGATGATAAGACCAACCTCATGAATTGATCTGGTGATATCAGAGGTCTTGTGCAGGTCTTGAAATGTGACCCCTGCCACAGGCCTAGTGCCTTTCTCTATGCAGCCCCTTTTGCAGGGGTGGGTTGTTCGCAGGTTTCAAGGAAAGAGCTCACCTCAGTCTCACCGGGAAGGAAATCCTTTGAGTGCTCTCTTACTAGAAATTTCCAGGAAGTCAACTAAGGCCCACCCCTCACTTATCCTAGAGCACCTGCCCATACCAGCCCTCTGCCAGCCTGGCTATCCCCCCCCCACCCTCACCCTCACTTGCCCTGCTCTCCTTCTGTTGCAGGAAGACCATGGCTGAGTTCTCCCAGAAGAGGGGAAAGCAGCGTGGTGAGGAAGGCCTGGGCAGCGCTGTGGACTTCCTCTTGGCCAACGCCCGTCTGGTGCTGGGCGTGGGTGGGGCTGCAGTGCTGGGCATTGCCACCCTGGCTGTGAAGCGGGTAAGACCAGGCTGGGTGGGACCTGCCTTAGGCTTCCAGAATAGGAGGATAGGGCTGGGCCCCAGAGAGGCAGTGAGACTTCCTAAGGCTGCCACTAGAGCCTAGGACTCCTGTTCTACCCCATCATTCTGGTTTGCTTTGCTCCCAGGCTTCGCTATGGCTGCCTAGGCATCAGATGCTCTGATTTGTGTTACTTTGCCTGCAGCTTATTGACAGGGCCACTAGCCCTCAGGATGAGGATGATGCCAAGGGAGACAGCTGGAAGGAACTGAGTCTGCTCAAGGCCACGCCACACCAACAGCCCCGGCCCCCACCTGCTGCCCTCAGTCATCCCATATCACCGCTGGCCCCCTCACTCTCTGGTCCAGGTGAGAAGCACTCTTTCCCTTCTGTTGTAGGTGGGGCAGTCCACATTTGGGAGGGGCATTCCAGGCTCTGCCACTGACTTTTTGCAGCCCTGCATGAGCCCCTGCTCCTCTCTGGGCTGTGGGCTCCTTAGATGTTTAATGGGTGTTGTATTTTGCTTTGCCTTGGTGCTGATGATGATACTGAGAGTCTCACCTCTACTACTGAGCTATAGCACCCGCTCTAGCATCATGTTTTTGTCCTTTTCTTCTTACCCAAGTAAGATAGATAACCTCAGGTGGGAAACCTGAGGCCTGGACAGGGGCAAGACTTCCCAGTCTGCATGGAGCTGTTTACATGTAGGGCCAGGATGCTGGGACTTTAAGCAAGGGAGATTTTTGTCGTCAAGCACCCACTGTCCCGAGGACCTGGACTCAGTGCTCATTTCAGGTGTGGAACAAGGACAGGTTATTGCTCAGTGAGTCGTTGCTTAGTTATTGCTCTGAACTTGTTGGGGAGCATTCTGTCACATTCCTCTGGCCCCTTCATTCTGCAGAAGAACCTACAGATACGGAGCCTCAGATGTTACCTCAACTCATCTCCCCAGTGCCACTGTGTCTGACGTTCCAGGAGAAGCTGCTGGCATTTGAGCGGGACCATGTGGTTATCCCAGCGGCTAATGTAGCTTTGGCCAAACAGCTGGCTGGTGACATTGCCCTGGAGCTACAGGCCTACTTGAGGAACAAATTCCCAGAACTGCCTTTTGGGGCACTCGTGCCTGGAGGCCCCCTGTACGAGGGGCTGCAGGCTGGGACCACAGAGCATGTGCGCCTCCTGGCACCGCTGGTACTGGAGCCAGGGCTGTGGAATCTGGTGCCTGGAGTGGACACTGTGGCCCAGGACCCTTGCTGTTGGGCTGTGCGCAGGACTCAGCTTGAGTTCCACCCACGTGGGAGCAGCCCCTGGGACCGCTTCCTGGTTGGGGGCTACCTCTCCCCTCGAGTCCTGCTAGAGCTGCTCCGCAAAGCCTTGGGTGCCTCAGTCAACTGGCCGGCCATTGGCGGCCTGCTCGGGTGCCTCATCAGGCCCAACATGGCCTCAGAGGAGCTGCTGCTAGAGGTACAGCATGAGCGCCTGGAATTCACCATGATTGTGCTCATGGCAATCACGGGGTCCAACCAGGACAACCGTCTCCTTCTGGCCTGGCCCCTGGAGGGGCTGGCAGGGAACCTGTGGCTTCAGGATTTGTATCCGGTGGAGACTGCCAGACTAAAGGCCCTTGATGACCATGATGCTGGCACTCGCAAGAGGCTGCTGCTGCTGCTGTGTGGTGTCTGCCATCGCCACCCAGCCCTGGGGCACCTGGGCCGAGACCATCTGGCCCAGGTGGTGCTGCACCTGGGGGAGAAGGAAGTGGACTGGACTGAAGAGGCCTTGGGAGAGCGCTTTCTGCAGGCCCTGGAGTTGCTCATACGCAGCTTGGAGCAGGCCAGCCTGCCTTGCCACTTTGACCCCAGTGTGAACCTCTTGGGTAGCTTGCGGGAGGACGAGATAGATGACATGGGTTATGCACTGTACAGTGGTCTCCAGGCACCTGAGGGGCTGCTCTAGATGGGTGGGAACCCCGTGATCAGCATGTTTTCTGATGCTGGTGAGGGTATCCACCCCACCCCACAGAGACTTGCAGAGTAAGCTTTGCTTGTAGCCTGAACAAAGGAGGGTACCTTGCCTCAGTCCATGGGGAGAGGCACGTGTGTAGGCTATAGTCTCTTGGATCCTTGATCTTGGAGAGCCTGGGTTGCTGTCACCTGAGCACGGCTGGTCCGCCCTTTGCAGCTTGAAACACCAGCTACTCAGTCAGGTGCCTCCTCAGCAACTAGGGCCAACCTGGGACTTGGGCTCAGTTCATCATCACCAGCAATGAGTCTACTGAGAACATGGCTTCTCCTGTCCCAGGCCAGGTGGATGATGCTCCATTTTTCTGCCAGAGAGAAATTTACTACTTTTTTGGGCATTAGCTCAGTGGAGGTGCAGAGTGCCTGATCTTTTAAATATTGCTTTCTTCCATTCTCGGGGGCTGGTATCACCCGAGACCTGGGAGGACAGTGTTTTGCTATTGAAGTGTTTTCCTGAGGTCTTCTGTGTGTGTGAATTCTGCAGCTCTGCAGCAGAAGCTTGCTTTGAACTGCTGCCCACCTTATACCTCAGGGAAGGCCCCTTTTCCTCTAGCTGGGTGAGTTTTCTCTTCAGGCCGCAGGGGCCCCAGGGAGAGCCCTTTCCCCAGGGCTTGTTTCCGCTGTGGGCTCCCTGAAGAGGAGAGCGTGTTTCCTACCTGATTCCTGGAGGTCTCGGCCTCCTCCCCCTGCAGAGTGCCACAATGAACTGTGAGTGTCCTTTACTCTACTCTGTACCTGCCTGAAGTGGAAGGGATTGGAGGAGGGACAATCTCCTTCCTCTCCCAAGGTTACCGCCTGTTCCTGTATTGTTCCTGCTGAAATAAAGCTATGTATGCCTTGAATGTGAACAAGAATAAAAGGAAAAAATTCGCTCACCTGTGTGACCTGCTGGGAAGGGTATGCTGGTACTCACAGGCTGCTGTTTGGAGCTGAGTCCAGTGGTTTGGCCTTGAGTTCAATCCTAAGGTGACAGGGTTTATTTTAAAAAGTAGTGCTTAGAGCCAGCCATGGTGGCTCACTCCTGTAATCCCAGCACTCAGGAGGCTGAGGCAGGATCATTGCAAGTTTGAGACCAACCTGGGCTATAAAGTGAGTTCAAGTCCAGTCTGAACTGCATAGTGAGACCCTGTCTTTTGTTTTTGTTTTTTCCTTTGGTACCAGGGATCAAACTCATGACCTAGCACTTGCCAGGCAGGTGCCTGTGCCGCTAAGCTAAATCCCTAGCCCAAGACCCGTCTTAAGACAAAAAACCAACCAAACAAACAAACCCAAGAAACTAAGGAGCCAAGCATGGTAATCTATGCCTGTAACCCTAGTACTTGGGAGGCTGAGGTAAGAGGATTGCCAAAAGTTCAAGGCCAGCCTGAACTACATAGCAAGACATGTCTCAAAAAACAGCAAAAAGCCAGGTAGGGTGATACATCGCTGTAATTCCAGCAGTTGGGAGACAGAAGCAGGAGGATTACTGTGAATTTGAGGCTAACCTGAACTATATAGTGAGACTGTCTCAAAAAAAAAGTAGTATCAGTTTAGGCCGCTATAACAAAATACCACAGTTGGATGGCTTATACATAACAGAAATTTACTTAATTTTGGAGCTGGAAGTCTGAGTTCAAAGTACCAAGGTGTCTGTCTGGTGAGAGCCTGTGTCCTGCTCCGTGGATGTCAGCCAGTTGTGGCTTCACATGGTGGAAAGGGGTAAGGGATCTCCTCCATGGCTCTTCCTCGAGTGCTAAGCCAGCCATGTAGGTGGTACCCTCATGACCTAGTCAGCTCCCAGAGGCCGCTTCCTAGTTCTTTTCTTCAGGACTTCAGACTTCAGCATCCGCATGCAGGGGGCACAAACATTCAGTCCATAGCAAGTGAGTTGTAGGAAGTGAACATTAAGGAGGTTGTGGTGTGGTCTCCCCGGCAACAGGAACCAAGTACTATAGTTGTATTTCTTCCCTGAAGGCTGAGCAGCTGATCCCCGTGGTGCATTCTGTAGCCCTTAGCCATGACCACAGGTCTTTAGACAACTGTTTCTCCACCTCTCAGCCTCTTACGGCCTCACAGTGAGGCTGAGCAGCTGTGAAGTCGAGTCATCCTGGCGTCCCTAGGAGCTAAGCTGGGCTCACTTCCATCCCCACAGATGACAGCTGAGGCCTGGGGAGGACTTGGACCCTCGGTGTGGGGCCTGCCCTCTCCCCCAGATCCTCGCCATCACGTCTTGCTTCTGTGGTCCTATGGAGCTATTCCTGAGCAGACCTCTCCTGCTAGCTGTGAGTACAGGGCTGCAGGACACAGGGCAGGGGTGAGGGTGGGAGACTGGCTTGGCCAAGCTGCTCTGGTTGTGTGGTTGGGGAGCTGCACTTAGGTCTTGATGTGTGAGGAACTCCAAGCAGGGTTACTCATTATGGAGAGATTGCAAGGGTGCAGCTGGGGGGAAGGCCAGTGTCTCAGTCATCTGTATGCCAGGGAGCAATAAGACCTTCCTGGGCAGCTGTGGGGACCAGCTGGGTGGGCAGCGCTAGACTCCTGCCTGGCATAGGGACAGCCGCGTTGGAGCAGCTTGTTCGTCCTTGCTGCCTCCTGCCCTAGGCCCGCATCACCAACCTCCATGTGGAGGGCCCTCCCAGCTCCCAGGGAGCCCCCTGGCTCACACAGTCCTGACAGAAGATGAGAAGCAGCTCAGTTTGGTTTTTTGTGGTCTAGAATTGAAACCCAGGGCCACACACATGCTAGGCAGGCATTTACTACTGACCCTCACCTGGCTGTGGGCTCTGCTTAGAACTCCGCATGGTGGAGTGGGTGGTGCATGCCTGTAATCCAGGCATTTGGGAGACTGAGAGAGGAGAGTCACAAGTCTGATGTCAGCCTGAATGACATAGTGAAAGAAACCCTGTCTCAAACAAAACAAAAGCACCCCTTTTATAAGACTAGACTCCTGGGCTGGGGATTTAGCTCAGCAGCACAGGTGCCTGCCTGAAAAGTATGAGGTTGTGAGTTTGATTCTCGGTACCAAAAAAACCAACTGAACAAATGATTCTTGTGTGGTCTGATACGCACTGCTCTGTGGAGGCATCCACTTCAGGTAATTCTTGACTTTCCTGTCATAGCATGGATGCAGTGGGGAGAAGAGGCTGAGTTAAAAGGGAGAAGAGTGTGTGTGTGTGTGGGGTGATGGGGGATGGACATAACACTGAACTACAATCTCTGGTCCTTTGTTTTGAGAAAAGGTCTTGCTGAGTTTTCCAGGCTGGACTCAAATATGTGATCCTTCTGCCTCAGCCTCCTAGAGTGCTGTGTTTATTACAGATGTGTGCCACCATGCTTAGCTGGCTTGCAAAATATTATGATTATGTCACCCAGTCAATTGGACTGGGTGGACTTCAGTTTCCAGCCAGAGAACAGGAAGCAAATGGGTATTTCAGTAGGAGCCTTTGCAGGCTCTTGTAGCCTGGGCTGGCTGTGTCTTGGGGCTTTGTAGGATTATTGCCAAATTCACTCATTCCCCTGAATATGAGACAATACAAGACAGCCCCCCAAAACAAAACAAGACAGCCCAAGTCAGCCTGCTGGGGTAAGCCAGGTGTACCTCAGGACGGGGCCTGAGTGTCCTAATACACAGGTCCTTCAGCAAAAGCCAGGCCATAAGAGTTCCTTGAACTTTACCAGGTGACCAGAACCCACAGTTCTGATGACTTGGGCAAGGATCACCCGGGACGATGAAAAAAAAGTATAAAAAATTGTAATTTATGTAATAGAAAACTAGTGTGGTGTCACCAGTGTAACGGCACATGCCGGAAGCTGGGGCAGGAGGATTGTTGCAAGTTCAAAATCAGCCTGGGTTACCACGGGCGCTCCAGGCCAGCCTGAACTCATTGCAAGACCTTACCTCAAAAAAACAAAAAACAAAAACAAGATAAATAAACTAGTCTACACTTCTGTAATCCCAGCAAGTCTGAGAGGCAGAGGCAGGAGAATTAAAAGTTTAAACTCAGCCTGGACAATTCTGCAACTCAAATAAATAAATAAATAAATAAATAAAGGGCTTGGGGGAGCCGGGTGTGGTGGCTCACGCCTACAATCCCAGCACTCAGGAGGCTGAGGCCGGAGGATCATTGCAAGTTCGAGACCAGCCTAGGCTACAAAGTGAGCCCAAGGCCAACCTAAACTGCATAGAGAGACCCTGTCTCAAAAAGAGGGGGAAAAAAAAAAAAGGGTTAAGGGGAAAAAAACTGGGATACTTCCAAAACTGACATGTAGATTTAATGCAATCCCAATCAAAATACCAGTAGCATACCTCACAGAACTCAAGAAAACAACCCTAAAAATCATTTGGAACCAGAAGAGAACTAAAATAGCAAAGCAGTTCTCAGCAAGAAGGGCAAGGCAGGTGGTATCACAATCCCCAACTTGAAATTATACTCCAAAGCTACTATGATACAAACAGCATGGTACTGGTAACAAAGAACAGACCCAAGGATCAGTGGACCAGAAAATAGAACATGTAGAAATGACTCCAAGGCCAGGGATATAGCTCAGTGCCATAGCGCCTGACCAACAAACATGAGGTTTGGCACCAAAACAAAACAAACCAAACAAACCTAACTCCAAACACACGCAGCCACCTTATCTTTGACAAAAAGAAGCCAAACACCTTCAGTAGATGAAAGGTAGCCACTTTAATAAATGGTGCTGGAAAAAGTGGGTTTCTATGTGCTTATGATTAAAACTAAACCCGTATCTCATGCACTAAAATAAAAATAAATCAGAGATTTAAATATAAAAATAGAAACAACCTTCCGCAAGATACAATAGGTAAAGCCCTCAAAGGCATAGAAGTAGGTAAAGACTTCATGAACAAAACCTGTGCCATCAGAGGAAATACTACAAAGAAGCAACTGGGATCACATCAAAGTAAAAAGCTTCTGCATAGTGAAAGAAACCACCAACAGAACAAAGAAACAATCCAGAGGGGAAAAATTTTATCTTAACTAATTTTTAAAATACATATACATACACATATACATGTTTTTTCTTTCAGCTTGTCGCACTAATGAAATACGATGTTTACACTGTTTATTTCACTAATGAGTATGTTCTCAAGTTGCATCCATTTGCCTGTAAGTCTCGTTTATCCTTATGACTGAGTAGTACTCCATTAAGTAGTACTGAGTAGTACTTCATTGTATACAAATATCACATTTTTTTTTATCAGTTCTTCAGTTGATGAGCATTTAGGTTTTTCCAAGATCCGGCTATTATAAACTGCTACTGTAAACATGGGTGCACATGTATCACTGTGGTATGATATTTTTAATTCTTTTGGGAAGATATTCAGAAGAATAGCTGAGTTGAATGGGATTCCAAAGTCTAGTATTTGAGGAATCTCCACACTGATTTCCACAGTGGTTGCACCAGTCTGGATTGCCACCAACAGTGGAGAAGGATTCCTTCCTTTTGTCCCACAACCCCTCCAGCATTTGTTATTGCTTGATTTTTTTTTGATAACAACCATTCTTACAAGGGTGAGGTGGAATTTAACTTTTTTTTTTTTTTTTGTCTTTTTCCTTTTTATCGGTACTGGGGATTGAACTCACGACTGCCTGCTTGCAAGGCAGGCGCTTATGCTGCTGAGCTAAATCCCCAGCCCCTTAACTGTTGTTTTAATTTGTATCTCTCAAATGTCCAAGGATATTGAGCATTTTTTTCACATATTTATTTGCTTTTTGTATTTTTTTATCTGAGAAGTATGTATTCATCTCAGAAGTTCATTTTTGGATTGGGTCTTAAATCTGAGAGGACTGATTTTTTTGAATTCCTTTGTTTGAGGATAGTTGGCAAACATGGGAAAAAATTTTAACAGTTGCTCCTAGAACAAACAAGTGACACCTAGAACATATTTTCCGAAAACAGTTAAAAGCATTTGCACTGCAATATGAATACCAGTTTTGTAGCATCTCATAGCCCATATGACCATCAACAGAATGAACACAGAAAACATGGTATTTATGTACAAGGGAGTAGTACTGTGCCACGAGGTAGGCTAAGCCTGAATCATTTTTAGGTAAATGGATGCACTTCAAGACCATAATGTTAAGTGAAATAAATCAGACACGCAGGTTAAACATCACATTGTTTTTCTTGTGTGAGAAACTCAAAGGATAAATAAGAAAACGGAGAATAGATATCAAGAAGTGGGAAGAACACATTCAAATGGGAAGGGGAGAAAAATGAGAAGGGGAACAGGGCAGGGAGGAAAGAGAAGGAAGGGAAAAGTGATTTAGAAAAATAAAGTGGAGGGGAAAAAGTGGAACAAAGCTTTCTGTAAATGGGGAGGGGACAAAGGGTTGACGGAAGGAGAGGAAAATGCGGAAAAAGAATTAAACTGTGTACAGGTACAAATCCCTATGAGTGCGATCACTATGTATGCAGATATGTACTAATAAAAATTTTAAAAAAGAAAAAGCATTGGGCATGGCGGCAGATGCCTGTAATCCTAGCACTTCAGAGGCCGAGGCAGAAGACACACCACAAGTTCAAGCCCAGCCTGGGCTACATGAGTTCAGAACGGCTTGAACTGCATAGCAAGACCCTGTCTGAAAAAGCCAAAAAAGAAAAGGAAAAACAACAAAAACATGGTAAATGAGCATCCAGGCAATGCCCAGTGTTGCTTGGGTGCAGTAAGGGTTGTTTTCTTCTTGTTCTTGAATTGCACAAACTGCAGGAAATACAGTAAATAAAAGCCTTTCTAATCAGGTAGTAATTCTGTAATCCCAGCACTGCAGGAGGCTGAGGCTAGCCTGAGGTATATGGTTTGAGGCTGGCCTGAGTTGCATAGCAAGACCCTGCCTCAAACAAAACAACCCCCCCCCCAAAGTCCCAACAAAACATGCAAATGAAAACTTTTCCAATTTAAAAAAGGATCCTGCATATCAGCACGGGGCTGGTGAGGCTAAGTTTCTCATCGCACTGAACAGTGTCATCCTGCATGTGCCACCAGGGTACAAAACTCCCCAAAAGGTTCCATTGTGGGGTGTCCCCTGTAATTTGGCTTGCACCAAGCCTGGTGCATGTTGAGCAAGAACCCCCACCAGAGGTACAGAGCGTGTCGGAAAGTCGAGAGGAGCACAGCCCAGACCTAAGACTTCAAATGCCATGCCCTCTCCCTGATGTGAACCAGCCCAGTAGTTTGTGCTATGGACATACACAAGAGGTACCTGTGGAAAGATTTAAAAAGTACAAATATATCTACGGCCCAGAGACTGTAAACTCCTACAATTCAAAAACAAAAGGTAATTCGATTTAAAAGTGAGCAGGGGATGAATGTGTAGCGTTCTTCAGGGTCCAGCCTGACACGACTGTACCACTGCATCCACTACGGGGGTCTGTCCTTTATCCCATGCCTAGTAGGATGATCATTAAGAGTCAGCTGAGGTGGGGCTGGGGATTTAGCTCATAAGCATAAGCGCCTGCCTTGCAAGCAGGCAGTCGTGAGTTTGATCCCCGGTACCAAAAAAAAAGTCAGCTGAGGTAATGTTCTGACAATCGTTGTACCAGGGATTGAGCTCACGACCTTGTGCTTACTAGGCAGGTGCTAACCCCACTGAGTGCATCCCCAGCCCCTTTGACGACAGTTTTTATTTGTGGTAATGCTGGGGTTGAACCCAGAGCCTTTGCACTAAGCTACACCCTCAATTCAGTTTTCCATTTTTCAAAGGAGTCGTAACATTTACCGCTGTGGTGCATCACCCTGCTCCTGTCACTCTTCCTTTACGTTCATGTAGGCCTGGCTCCCCTGGTTCAGTGCTTTGAGGCAATGTCCTGAGGCCATCTGTGATTCGCGTGCTAACTCTCCACGAGGTGTCTCCCTGGCTCCGGGTTCGGCTGTCAAAGCTGTGCTTCTCACCTCCCCGAGTACTGTGGCAAGTCCCTCCAGGAGTTCCGCAGCTTGGATTCCACAGGGTTCTGGAACGACAGGGGTGTGTACTGTAGTGCCTCCATCTCTGGAGCATTTTATTTGCTTCTTGTTGCTTTTCATCAAAATCTCAGGTCAATTTTTCTTTGTGGTCTTGGTGGTCTCTGGTAATTGCTTGGCATCCCAAGGTTCTTCGAAAAGATCTCGTGCAGCTTCTTGAAATGCTCCAGGGGCAGGGCGGGGTGGTACATGGTAGAGGAAGCTAGTGGTACAGCAGGCAAGACGCTGGGCGCCAGAACCCTTCCTCACCCAGTGGTCAGCTGCCCAGCCCCAAAGCCATCATGGCGACTGCCACGTCACTGTTTGGAACTAGCTCATTTTTGAGACAGGGTCATTCTAAGGTAAGTCACCCAGGAAGGGTTTGAATTTGTTGTTTTTCTGCCTGTTTTCCAGAGCAGCAGAATTACAGGTGTGCCAGCACTCCCGCTTGGCTTATTTCTGAGTGCTGGGATTACAGGCAAATGCCACCATGTCTGGCTCCTACACAATTTTTGACTTACCTCTTTGCCCTTCCAGCACTTCCCATCTCTGGTGGCTGCTTCTTGTACGTTGGATTTTCTTGAAAAGGACTCATTGACGCTTTTCCGGAGAATATATACAAAGGGCCAGTAGGCACATGAAAAGCTGTGCCATCAAGAAAATTCAAATCAAATGTTCAAACTGCACCTTCACGATTGGGTATGGTGGTACACACCATCATCCTCGTGCTCTGGGAGGCTGAGTCAGAGACATAGCAAGTTTAAGGCCAGTGGCAGCTACAATTCAAGGCCAGTGTGAGCTACACAGCAAGACCCTGTCTCAAAAGACTCTAGTCATGGCAAGCCCATACACACAGGTATTTTTTTTTTTTTTTTAATGAACACAGGTATTAAGAAAGCTCTTTGTAAAGGGGCATGCCTGTAATTCCACTACTCTTGTTAAAACTGAGACAGGATTTCAAGTCTGAGGTCAGCCTGGGCAACTCAGGAAGACCCTGTTGTGAAACAAATGAAGGAGCAAACAGGGTTGGGGGTGTTGCTCAGCGGCAGAGTGCTCGGAGCAGTATGTTCAAGGCCCTGAGCAACCCCTAGAGCTGTGACACAAAGCAAACGAGCAAAAGCAAAGTAAAAAGTATTGACCAGAAGAGAATAAGTATTGAACAGGGTATGTAGCTGGTGAGACTATAACATGGTGTAGCCACTGTAGAAGCTTGGTGGTTTCTCAAAACAGGGTTGTTACTAAATGATCCTGCAATTTCATTCCTAGTCATATGCACAAAATGACTGAAAACCAAGAACAAATTCATACAAAAATGTCCGTAGCAACACTATTCACAACTGCTAAAATATGGAAATGCAAACATCAATCATGATGCAGTACCAGTCTTTCCTGATCTGTGGTTCCAGCTACCTGTGATCAATTGTGGCTCAAAAATAATGTCTTGGTTCTCTCAAGAGTGACCACATTGGGGGCTGGTGATTTAGCTCAGCGGCATAAGCGCCTGCCTTGCAAGCAGGCGGTCGTGAGTTCGATCCCCGGTACCGATAAAACTGAAAAAGCTGTTAGAATTATTCTGTTTGTGTTAAAATGTTTTTAGTTGACCACACCAACATCCTCCATCTGTTTTTCTCACTGTGCCTAACTGTATAAACTGATGTTAATTCAAAACAGTTTACTGTAAATAGGCTTCAGTATTACCCAAGGTTTCTGACATCTGTTCGGAGTCCTGGAGCACATTCCTCAAAAATAAGGGGGACTCTGCATACGGTGACAAATGATTCAGTCATAAAGTACTGATCCATGCTCTATTGTGGATGAACCTTAAAAACATCATGCTTGTGGAAAAAAAAAACCAAAAAAACAAAACAAAAAAAAACCCCATCATGCTTAGTGAGAGAAGCCAGACACAGGTTATCGATTATATGGATTCTATTTATGCAAAATGTCCAGAACAGTTAAATCTGTAGAAATAAACAGGTAGATGGCTGCCAGGGGCTGGGAAAACCCAGCACTGGAGGTTTGGGGACTCAGTTGCTTACCTCTGACTAGGCCGTGTCAGAACAAGGGCAGGAACCCGTATTTCACAAGCCCTTTGCCCTGACACCCAGCCAGCAGAGCTGGCTTGAGGGCAGAGGCTTACAGTCCCAAATGCTGAGAACAGTTTATTTCTTTGCTTACGGCAACTGTGATCACAAAATTCATACCCTTGAAGAACCATATTCTTGCTTCTCTGTGAACTGTAAAACCATCACACTGACCATGTATTCTTCACAGGGACACATACTATCCTCGCTGCAGCCTTGGCAAGGGCGGAGGGTGCTCAGTGTTCTGAGTCTTGCACTCGCAATTCTGCTCCAATTGATAAATTGGGGAGGTGACAAGTTTGGCTTGACTCTCACCATATGGCAGGGGGGAAGGAGTCACCAGGGTCAGTGTTGGGGAGTACCTCTTCCACTACTGGCTGGCAGACACTGTCACCAGACACTGTGCTGCACTGTCAGTTGTAATAGATTATTTACTAAGGCACATGAGCTAGGGGTGTCTGGGCTTCTGAATGAAATGGAAGTGAGGTGTCCCCTGCAGATCTGGTATTAGGAGAGCCACTTCCCATTATGACACCCTCCACCCCAGCACCGGCATGGAGAGCATGGCCATCAGGGCTGCTCCGAGCCTGTGACAGAAGTGCTGCCTCCTCCCTGGAAAGCTGTAGGTGCTTCTCGGTTTGCTGTGCAGTAGGCCACGGCCGTGAGTTCACAGCCACCACTGGTTATGTCCTCTGCCACCAGCCTTGCCACCATATGGGGGTGGGTAGTGTCATGGGGCAGCAGCATGTCTTTTCAGCAGTGGCTGTGGTGATATCTTGAGCCCTGGGCAAAGTGCCACTATCTAGCACAGCCAACCTTCTTGAGGGAGGTCTGGCTTTTGTGCTCTTTAACGAAAAGCCAAAAGCCAATTCCAAAAGCCATACTCTCCTAGAGCAGTGAACAGCCACCTAGTCCTAGTTAATTCAACTCTCAGTCTGAGGAAGTGACCACTCTACCCTGTACTGCCTTCATCTATTCTGGTGACAGAAGGGGCGGGTGTGTCCAGGCTGGTGGCAAAGACTGCATTTCCGTGATTTCTTTGTTGTGGACCCTGGGTCTGAGGAAGTGGTCCCGGCTCTTTTGCTCCTGGCTTCTGGCCCCTGGGTTTTTCCTCTGCCTCTTGGCCAAGGAAGGGCTGTAAAAGTCCCTGTGGGAAAAGTTAAGAGGCTGAATTTAGAACTGACACCCACTCTAAAGTGGCAAGAGACACAGGTGGTGTTGGAAGGGGTATATGGGTTATACTTCCTCTTCTCTATGAAGGACAGTTCCATGTCAAATAGGATGTATCTACCACCTTATGCTACCTGATGCTTCTAAATGTCCTAGGCTCTTGGGCAGTATCCAAATAAAAGGGGCACTGGTTCACTGTGGGTAGGGGCTACACTGGCCACAGGGAAAGCACCAATTAGTAGTAGTTGTTCTTTAATCTGGAATAAAGATTGTGACTCACTGCTTTGCAGAAAGTGGTCAATGAGGAAAGCGGACCAGGATAGCTGGGAGCCTTTGTACAGCCTTGCCTAATACAAGGCCCTGACGCCTGTCATCCCTGGTCTGTGAGTGGAAACCTAAGCAGGACCTACATGCTCTGCACCTCACCTGGGGCCGTGTTCTCATCAGCCCACTGAAAGAAGCCACACTGCTGCTCCCGTGGCTTGGCACACGTGTGGAACTGGCGCCCCTTGTTGGGACCGTCCTTCTGCACGGTCCTGGTGACGGCAGGGTGGCTGCACAGGCAGAATGTGCCGCTGCCACTGCCCCCACTAGGGTTGCTGCTGAACCCATCAGCGTGGTGGCCTGGGCCTGCTGGATGTCCAAAAGAGCTGCCTGGGAGTCTTGACGCAGAGTCAAGGGCCCCTCCCGCGCCGGGAGGGCTGCTGTCGGCCCAGAGGAAGAAGCTGCAGGCACCAGTGCTGCACTTGTAGAACTGCCGACCCTGGTTGGGGCCGTCCTTGCGCACGGTGAGCAGCACAGCCTCCTGGCCACAGTTGCAAGTCACGGAGTTGCTCTCACCGGTGGCAGCAGCTGGCAGAAGGAGGTTTTGGGCCTGAGCCTGTGAGGGTCTGGTCAGTCTACTGCCGGGAGGGCGGGAGTGGCTGCTGTCCATCCTGTTCACAGACTGGCTAGCCTGCAGGTGGCCAGAGGGCTGGCTGCCTCTAGGAGGACCCCGTGAAAATCGCAGGCCCAGGATTTCCTTCAGCGTCTCATCGCATCCACCAATGCAGCCCACAAACTCCAAGGGCATGGTGGGGGGAAGGCTCCCACGCTTGAATCTGAACTTCAACCTAGTGAGACCAGAAGATGAGATAAAACATTACTAGTTGCTCAGCATCTTCTCCTTGGTTCTCCAGCCACAGGCCAACCCCTCATTCCCTGAGGAAGCCCGTGCAAGGCACCTGTCGGTCCCTGCCCAGCCAACATGAGCCCTGTACCAACATCACAGGAATGCAGAAAGGAAAGCAGAGCATAAACCACCCACACAGACACTGCTGAGAGCTTCCATTTCTCTGTACCAGGACTCCCAAGGTGTGATTCTAAAGCCCTTCCGGTGAGGTGAATCTAAGGATGCTAAGGAGCTGCATCTAGTTTGCTCTCATCCTTCTTTACAACAGTTTTTCAGAGGTAACAGTATACGCAAGGCTGATGGAAAGGGCAGATGGGGATCTAATATTCAAGTGGAAAGCAATGTCATTCTCTTCTTTGGTATTATAGTATTTTTTACTTTGGAAACTAGGTATTTTATCCTGAAAGTCACTGAAAAAGTTTATATTAATAAGTAATGAATTCCTATAAATGAGTAAATATTTTAAAAGATGTCACCACTTTAACTTCAAATATGATATATAATGAAAAACAGTACCCACAAACAAAAGCCCTTTGTGCTTCTCACGGATTTCTTAGTGTGTGAGTGCTCCAGTAACCAAGAAGCTAGAGAACCACTGTCCTGCACTGGGGACCTGGGCTTTTTGGAGGAGCCTGGACACGGTACTTAATATATGAATAATTTCCTGAGTTCAAAGCTGAAAGATCTGTCTGGAGAGATCAGGGGAAGGACACCTCCTGAACTCCACAGGATGCAGGGAGCGCTCCCCAGACTGAGCCACAATGAAAACAGCAGAGCGGGATTAGGCTGGCTCGTAGGCTGCAGCAGGAGAGGCTGAAACCATGCAGTGCTTGAGTATGACATGCCCTGGATGCCCCACACAGACCTCAACAGGAGACAGCTGGTCCAGGGCGCACCCTTGAGAGGCACTCGGCTCACCTGTACACGGGTGCCGGCTGACAGACTGGACACACGCTGCCATCCCTGCTGACTTCCAGAACTGAGTCAGGAAACCACATGGCCAGTCGGCATTCTGGGAAACCTGTGCAGCTAAGGTAGAAACTGGGGAGCAAGTGAGGCTGGGTCAGACCACAGGAATACAGGACACACATGACTTGTCACCTTACTGCCAAAGGAACTTTTCCAGCTGACTGAAGACGACATTGTTTTTGGAGGACACTTAATGGATACAGTCACTGATGCTGCGTGACTTGGACAAACTGGGCTGCATTTATTTTTCACATCCCTGAAAGATAAGGCAGCCACTACTGACCTTGCTTTCTCCCTAAAAAGCCAGCACTCTCCAAGGTCGAGCTATCACTAAGTAACGTGCACATCTTACTTGTCACAATCCAGGGCTGGGATCTGAGGACCCGTTCGTCTGTGAGTAAAATGAAGCCTGGAATGGCATGAAAGTCTCCCCCCACCACACCCAGACACTGAACGGGAGCCAGAAAAGCCACCTTGTCTAGGGAAGGAACCTTTACCCACACATAACCTGCTCAGCTTCCTTGGACATTTCTTGACACTTTCTATTCAGGAAACTTGAGGTTTGACTAGAGAACCTTAGAGAAGGCCTACGTATGATTAGGCGGACAGGAAGCCTAAACGCCAATTATTTAAATGGAAAGTCTACCTACTCAGAAATGGGAATTATTAGATAAACTTGGACATAGTAAACCACGAGAAAATTTCTAGATCTCCCTCCATGCGTCCAGCAAGTATTCTGTTAATAAGCCTGAGATTGGGGCCGGGGATATGCTCAGCAGTACAGCGCCTGCCTGGCAAGCATGAGGTAATGAGTTTGATTTCTGGTGCAAAAAACCCCACAAAAACAAAAATCCGAGACAAAACAAAAGAATTTTCCTCCCTAATATTTCAATGATTACCTATTAGGCAAAGAAAAAGCCCCAACCCTTTTTTTTTGTCTTTTTCCTTTTTATCGGTACCGGGGATCGAACTTACGACTGAGCTAAATCTCTAGCCCCTCCACTAGCCATTTATTAAGTATTAAATTACCTGCCCAGCACTAGGCCAAGCCTTGAGTGGCATCGAGTTCCACCTGCTCCCAGCTCTGTTCCCAAATTTCTAGTGTCTGAGAGCCAGGGAGGACTACCCTTCCCTGGGGTCACCCAAGCCACTGAGAACTCAGTAGGGAGCGGCTGGGAGAAGCATCTTCCTCATTTAACAGCAAGAAAGCAGCGTGCTACAGCCCAAGGTGGGCAATGTGGAGTGGAGGAAAGCACCAGAGACCTGGGTTGAAATTCTGCCTCTACTGTTCACCGCAGCTGCCCACTCAGAACCAGTTCCCCAGCCCTCTGAGTTTCATTTTCACTTTGTTTCACACAGTCATTGGGGCTGAACCCAGGCTCTTCACAGTAGACCACAATATCCAGCCCTTTGTATTTATTTTGGGATAGGGTCTGGCTAAGTCGCTAAACTGCCCAGGCTGAATTTGAATTTGTGATCCAAATTGTGCCTTGGCTTGACAGAGTGCCTAGCTATCATTCTTTAAAATACCTTCCCTGCCTGGCGTGGTAGTGAACATCTATTTGTAATTCCAGCACTTGGGAGGCTGAGGCAAGAGGACTGCCACAAGTCTGAGGCCAGACTGGCCAGTGAGTTCAAAGTTCAAGGCTAGCCTGAACTACAGAGTGAGACCTTGTCTCAAAAAACAACAAATAAATAAACACAAACCAACTAACCAACCAACCTCCCTTGAGGGGAAAGATTATGAAGACCCAATGAAACAATGTCATGTTGGCCAGAAGAAAGGCATAGGAGGCATGGCTGTCTCCACTCTTCAGCACTTCTTCCCCGTGAACTTCCTGCGGTGGCCAGCTGCTGTTCTGAAGTTGGGCCAGAACAGGCAACTTGATTCAGTGGGCTGCCTATCAGTAGGCCCACTCATATACCAGCCAATAAATATCCCATAGTCTTGCCCCTTTTCAAATTCCTATCCAAGCAGATTTGTGAAGTAGACACTACTGCCCTTATTTTAGAAAAACACATAGAATCAGAGTAGTCAAGTAACTTCCTTCAGGTCATATAGCTTACATGTAGCAGACCTGGGATCTGAACTCAAGACATACCTGATCTGAAGCCCAAACTCTAACATTGCTACACACTGGGTAAATGTCATTCCAATGTGGAGGACCAAAAAACTGCACTACTTCTCAGTGTCCCCCTTAGGTTGTACCCACAGTGCTTTACACCCAGAGTCCACCCTGCTCCCTCCTAGCTCTAACACATTGCTCAGGAACCAACAGCAGGCCTGCCTTTAAACCATGACTCGGGACACACAGTGACAGGGTTTTCTAGAGCTCACTGGCGACTACTGCAGGTGCTGGCGAGCAGAGGTGGGGGCAGAAGCTGGACACTGACCCACCACTCTTCTTCGTCTTTAGGACTAGGTCTTTGTTGCACTGTGGGCACTTCAGGATGGGCTCTGGCATGGCTGGGTAGATCTCTTCTTGCTGCAGTGTCTCTGTTCCTTCCCCAAAGTACTGGGACAAGGCCTCATCCAACCTGAAGGAAAAGCAAAGATACACAAAAACCGGTAATCATTGCAAAGGTATGTGTTCATAACATACATGGCAAGCAGCTAGCTGACCTGAGGCAGAGAGGAGAAGGCAGAGGGCAGACTGGGTTTGCAAACCTGGCTCTGCTCAGACTCCTTGCTCCTAAGGAACCCAGCTGCACATACACACATAAGAAATCACCCTGGGCTCGTGTACAAACTCTAGAAGTATTTGTTAGCATTTAATGCTAGCTCATGCATTTCTGTTGAAAATTTGCAGCAGACAGCATGAAGAATAAAAAACCTTGCAAAACTGTCACTTCCCACCACACACACAAAGACGTGTGGGAGTACTTCCCCCATGCACATGCAACTGTCCAGCTGGCTGTTCTCAAATTCAGTTTAAACATGATTTGGAATTCATGTCAGACCTTGTTATGGTTTATAGCTAGATGTTCTCCAAGGCCTCATGTGCTTAGGTGGGTCTTTTGAAAGGGATCAATACAGCTTAGTTGCTGTCAGAAGGTAGGTTCTGGTTGGAAGAGGTAGGTTGACCCAAAAGAGTATATTTTTGCTGGGGATGTAGCTTAGCAACATAAGTGCCTGCCTGGCAAGCGTGAGGTCTTGAGTTCGATTCCCAGTACCCTCGGTGGGGGGGGGTATTTTCATTCCCAGCTCCTCCCTTGACTCTCTCTGCTTCCTGTCTACTGTGCTTTCCTCTCCTGTGCTCTCTTCCATATCCTCCTGTTTTACAGCCAGCTGACTATGGTCTGAAATGTTAGCCAAAAGAAACCAATCCTACTTTAAGTCACAAGTGTTGGATATTTTGCCTCAACAATAAGAAAGTGACTTAAGAACTCAAAGTTTGAGGGCTCAGTTCCCAAGACTGCTTAAATTTCAGAGGCTGGTGGCAAGTTCCAAATTGTGAACTATGTTTCTGACTACCAGGCTATATTTCCTATGAACTCCTTCTCAGGTTCAATTTGCTAGAGGAGCTTCCAGAATTCAGATGAACAGTTAGAGAAAGAGATGCACGGAGCAAGGAACAGAAGACATGTGTGCCAACTTCCAGACTCTTTTACTTAGCTATTGGAAAACTCTCAGAACATTGTGCTTTTTGGGTTTACAGAGCTTTCATTACTTAGATATGATTGATAAATTGTTGACCAAGGTGATCAACTCAAATTTCAGCACTGTCTACCTTCCCTAGAGGTATAAGGGAGAGAGAGGATACAGTGGTGCAGCTGAAAATTCCAATTTCTAATCATACAGTTGGTTTCCCTGGCAACAAGCCCCCAATCCAGGGCTGTCCGGTGTCTGCCTCTCTGCCGGTCATCTGATTAGCAAACAAGACTTTTAGCATTTTGAAGATTCCAAGAGTTTTCAGACCCGTGGTGCCAGAAAATGAAGACTAAATATATATAGATACACACATATATGATACATATATCACATATATATGTACATATTATAAGTATACATATATATGTGCATTCTTTTAAATTGTTAGGTTTTTTTTTTTTTTGTACTAGGACTTGAACTCAGGACTCTGTGCTTGCCAGGTAGGCATCATGCCATTGAGCTATATCCCCGGCCTCAAATATATCTGTCACAAACCACAGTATCACAAGTACAAAACATACTATATTTCTAAGTAATAAAACAGACACATGCTGCTTGCTAAATGGCCAACACTATTCATCTATGCATTCATTTATTTATTTTGAGGTACAGAGATCATACCTAGGGCCTTCATACTGAACTATATCCCCAGTCCTTTTTATTGTGAAACAGGGTCTCAGTAAGTCACTAAAGTGCCAAGACTGGGCTTTATCATCCTGCCTTAGCCTTCCAAAGTATTGGGATTACAGGAATGTTCCACCACACCTGGCTTAAGTGGACGACTCTAAATGCTCCACATAACAAAAAGATAATATACCAGGACTTGGATTCTTGGATTTACTGATTTAAAAGACTGTATGCCTAGGTGTGGTGGCACATGCCTATAATCCCAGCTACTTGTGATGCTGAGGCAAGAGTATGACAAGTTTGAGGGCAGTCTGGAAATTGCCAAGACTTCATCTCAAAAGTGCAGTACCTGCTTAGCTTACACAAGGACCTGGGTTCGATCCCTACCAAGGTCCTTCACATTGAGCTTCACACCTGTAATCCCAGCACTCTGGGAGGCTGAGGCAAGATGACTGCAAGTGTGAGCCTAGCTAGAGGAACTCAGTGAGAGCCTGTCTAAAAATTGGAAAAAAAAAAAAAAAAAAAAGAGTTGAGGATATAACTCAGCCCAAAGACCTTGAAATAATATCCATAACTACAGCTCAAGTTAACTGGGGACAACTGTTTTGATCATTTTCAAGAAAGAAAACCCAAAGAAGCAAAGCCTGTGTGGCCAGTTCCCCAATAGTTAAAGAGGTCACTGGTGAAGATACTCCTGCAGGGCTAGTAGCCCAAAGGGCATGGGTCAGGAGGGGCTGCAACCCTCTTCTTCTGCTGAACTGCCCCCAAGAACTCTCACTTCTCATGGGAACTGCTACACCCGGGCTATAGAACCTCTGGGGCAGAACAGCAGGGTACGACACTCACTTCTTCGCCTTAGCCACTGCTTCAATGAAAACCTGTTTATATTTCTGCACCTGTTGCCTCAGAACTACAGACTTGTCCTTCTTGCCTTCACAGATCAATTTCAGATCAGCTTCCAGCTCAGCCCGGAGGTCAGGCTTAGACATCTCATAGCCCATGGAGTCATAACCTGCAGGAAAGAGCAGTGCTCTGAGAGGTGCCACATGATACCCTCCGGGCTTGGGCAAGGTCTCTCCTCCTTTACCTTCCACTAGTCCCATGCCTAGGTGTCCGGGGAGGAATCGCTTGTCAGACGTGAGCCCAACATACATCCGTGCTTTGATGGTCTCAATGTGCTCCGCGTGAGTGGCATCAGTACCTGGAAACCATTTCCTGGTTACTTTGAGGCAACACAAATAGTTGTATCCACGTGGCTTATGGGTATCTGGATCCCCCTTGGGCGGCCAATGCAGATGAGATGCCTCTATTCACATGGCTTGGCCACAAATTATACTGGTAATCTCAATTTACTGGTTCCTTCTACCCAATGACCTATCCTTATCAATTCCAGCTTTGCAACTCCTATTTTTTTTGTCGTACTAGGGATCAAACTCGTAACTCCTGCTTTAAATCTTTCTTTCCTTCAAATCAGGACCCAAGGCTACAACCCACCTCATTTCAACCGCACACTGCACTATCCTCAAATCTGCCTATTTCTCCACCCAACTTAGTGGCCAAAGGGACCTTTTAAAATGCGGCTATGCTATTAGGAAAATGTGAACAAACCCAATGAAATATTATTTCACACCCATCTGTGGGTATAAGAAAGACAGATAAGAAGTGCTGATATAAGAAAGTGGAATCTTGTACATTGTTGGTGGGAATGTAAAATGGGGAGCCACTTTGGAAAATAGTTTGATGGTTCTTCAAAAAGTTACTCAACAACCTCACACATGGGTGTAGCCAAAGAATACTCAAAACATATAATATAAAAACTTGTACATGACTATTCATCGCAGCATTATTAACAGCTCTGAAGTAGAAACAACCCAAGTATCTACCAAATGACAAATAAATATGGTCAATATACGCAATTAAAAAATAAAATAATAAAGAATAAAATTCTGGAAAGAACTACTATTGTGAACATAACGAGATATACTATGGTACCTATTACTGTTATCCTGGTAACTTGCTGTGAAGTTCTGTACCAATTTCACTGCATTGTCTCAACTGGCTTTGTTCTGTTGTATTTCATTACTAATAAAATTTTTAAAAAAAGAATAAAATTCTAACATGGTTCAACAAAGATGAACCCTGAGAACATGATGCAAAATCAAGGAAATCACTTACATGATGGATGCACTATATTGTAAAGTACACTAAATACTGAACTGGAAGTTGGGTTGTGGGACTCAGTGCTAGTGTGCCTGACTAGGATGTGGGGCATTCTGGATTCCATCTTCAGCACTAAAGAAAAAAACGAAACATCGAACTGCATATTTTATTCTGTATTTGGAGTGCTGAGAATGGAACCCAGGCCCTTGTGCACATCAGGCAAACTCTACTACTGACCCATACCCCCAGCTCTGAATTATATATATAAATTATGTCTCAATAAAACTCTTAAAATTATTTGCTAAGCACTTAGCTCTGTATGACTACTTCAATTATAAATCTTAGCCTGTTCCCTGCTCACCTTGTGCCAACATCTATACCCTTCAGCTGGGCACACAAGGCCCTGGACAACTGGTTTGAACCATCTCTCAGCTTCACCTTCTATGATCACCCCCAATCCTCCACCCTGCCGCTGCAGCCACAGCAGACTTGTGCTTTCCTGTTCTCATGTCCTTCTCAAATTCTGCCAAGGCTGGGCTTGCTTTTGCCTGCCCTTCCTACAGAACCCATCACTCTGTGGTAGTTTGGTTTGGTTTTACTCATAGACTGAGCTCTAAAAGAGAAAGATTAAGTCTTAATCCTCTTTGTGACCCTAGTGCCTGCCACTCACACCTGCTGTCCCATAAGAATTCATGTCTGACCCTTCAAGGGGGTTCCCCTTTGAGCCTTGAGTGTGGGAAACATTAATTTCATTGTAAGGGTGCCTGTGGGGTTTAAGAACACTGGCTGAGACTGCGGTGTAGCTCAGAGGTGGAGTGTTCTGCTAGTATGCACAAGGCCTTCAGTTTGATGCCCATCACTGAAAAGAAAAAAGCTGAAATAAGAACCTCAAAAAACCAACCAAACAGACAAACAAAAACAGTAAACTGGCTATAGTTATTTGGATCAGATCTTTATAATGCACAACCTTTGTAATCTTCACTAAGTTTATAACCTCTCCAGGTTTCACTTCAACTACAAAGTGAGACAGGAATGAGTGCCTGAGGGCTCTTCAGTTGAGCTACTGACCAATGCCATGTTTCTCCATGAGAGCGATGAGGTCGGCCTCGGTGAGCAGCTGTGGAGGGCTGGTCTCCCCATCTAGCATCTCTATAGTGCTGGGCTGAAAGTGGGAGCCTTCCTCATAGACAGGGAGCAGCTACAGGGAGCAGCAGGAGTGGAGATCAGATCATTTTTTTAACAAACCAGGTCCTGCTCCATGAGCCAGCCGTGGGGTTGGAGCACAACTTTGTCTCTTTCTGGGGTCCGCCTCCTTATTACCTTGTCACTCCAGCGATCATACGGATACACATCCAGATAGTTTCGAGCTAGAATCGTGAGGCCATTGGCCACAAAGCGTTCCCGAGCAATGTCAATCTCCACAGTCGTCTCCTGTCCCTGAGCATCTTGGGAGCAGCAAGCTAGGAAATGACGAACAATGAACTCATACAGCCGCCGTTCATCTCCCTAAAGAAAAGGACAAAGCAGATAGCCTACGTATTTCAAAGTCACTTGTTTCCTAATGTCATGGCCCACTGAACAAATTAAAATATGACTACTGACTCCTTGGCTCTGAATTTCAGCAGGCTGCACGCTCAGGGATACCAACCTGCAAGTTGCTGGTATATTTGGTGGGGTGAATGGGAGGGTGAGCTTGGTCGGACTTATTTCCATTGCGTGGGGTGGGACCACCCCGTTCTAGAATGCTCTGCGCAAAGGGTCCCCAGTGTGGATCCTGGGTCTGCTGTTCCACCAACGCCATCAAGTTTAAGTCTTTGGGGAAAATATTTGTCTCTGTTCGGGGATAGCTGATGTACCTAAAAGAAAGAAAACAAAAAGAAAAAGAAATTGCTAAGCTTTTTCACTGGTCTGTAAAAACTGAAATCCTTGGCTGGGGTTTAACTCCGCAGTGTAAGTGCCTGTCTGGCAAGTGTGAGGTCATTAGTTTGATTCCAGTACCAAACAAAAGGAAACAAAAACTGAAATCTTTGGGCTGGAGATTTATGTCAGTGGCATAAGCGCCTGCCTTGCAAGCAGGCAGTTGTGAGTTTGATCCCCGGTACCGATAAAAACGAAAAAGACAAAACAACAACAACAACAGCAAAAAACTGAAATCTTCAGATAACATCTGCAATCATTCATCTGACAGCCAACTAAAAAGAAAAGCACCTAGGTGACCCACACTGACAAAAGGTTTAAGATAGGACCCCCTTAGGAATGAAAAGTATTAAGTTTTCTTACTAGGATACTTCCAGAAGCCAAAGGAGAGAGGAAACAGGCAGCCCAGCAGAAGACAAAGGCAATACTATCACCTCGGACACGTCATGAACCTCTTTTAGGGTTAGTAACAGAATGACCCTGTGCAGTCCATCAGCCTTGCTGGTCCTGACAGTTTCCACAGTGTATACTCCTGTAACTTTTCTTAAAGCATACAAAGAACAATACTGTCCAATCAAACTCTCATTTTAAATTTTCTATTAGTTACTTAAAAACTATTGAAGCGGGGTGCGGTGGTACATGCCTGTAGTCCCAGTGTTCTGGCAAATTTGAGAAGTAAGCTGGGCAACTTAGCAAGACCATGTCCCAAAATGAACAATACGGGCTGGGGAAGCTGCTCAGTCCAAGAGCCCTGGCTTCAATTCTTAGTATTAAAAAGAAGAATCCCTGAGATAGCTTAGCAGGAGAGTGCTGGCTTAGAATATGTGAGGACTTGGGCTTGGTTTCTACTCCTGCAAAAAAAGATGAAACAGTTATTGATAGTTTCTATCTTATTTTCACACGAGTCTTCAAAATTCAGTGTATATTTTATATTTATAATACATGTTAATTATGACAACTGAAATTCAAGGGCTCAACAGTCACATGTTGGACACCACAGTTAGAGAACCTCAGTGTTGAGTACTTATGGCCAGGGTGGGATGATTTTCACAGGCACACAACTTGTAAAGGTGCTATTTGCTGTTGTTTTTCGCTTGCTAGGGATCTAGGGAGAGTTACTAAGGGGTCAAGAGAAGGATTTTGGACTGGGGTATAGCTCAGTGATAGAGTGTTTGCATAGCATGCACAATCTCAAGTGTTGAGAGAATATTTACCCTTGGGTGTAGAGCTTTTCAGCAATTCTCATGGTTTCCTTCGCATTTATTTTCAACTTTCGAGAGGCCAGTTTCTCCAGCTCCTGTTATGAGAGTCAGAAGGTCTGTTTAGGTATAGGTGAGTTGTGGACCACACAACTAACTACACATTCCTCTTCAGCAGGTCTGGCCTGTCATTCCACCTGCTGTCCTCCTGCCAAGGAAGGAGGGGCGTGCTCAAGGAATATTTTTGTGCCTGGTGGGCAAATGCCAACCCGTAGTTCTCAGACCCTGATGTACAGTCCTAAGATTAACCTGAGGAGCCAGCAGACTTGTGGGCCCAGTCACTGGAGAATATGACAGGGTAGGGCTGGGACAGAGGTTGACATCTGCATTATTCATTCATACATTCATTCATTTTTTTGAGAGTCTCACTATGCAATTCAGGCTTGCCCTGGGCTCACTTTGTAGCCCAGGTTGGTCTCAAACTTGCAACAAAACTCCTGCCTCAGCCTCCCGAGTGCTAGGATTACAGAGGTCCTACAAAACTTCCCTAGATGATGAAAAGCATCCTGTGAGGCCTCCTGGGGAATAACCAGTTGCTTTTTCCCCTATGTGACACTGCAACAATGCTGCTGACTACATGTGAAAGCATATTTAACTAGTAAGGAATAAAACACATGCTGTGCTGGAGCATAATAAGCTCAGTAGCAGAGAACTTTCATGGAAAAAACAAGCTACTCTAATTACAATGCTATAAAAATACATATATTAAAAAAAATGAGGAGCCAGGTGTTGTGATGCATGCCTGTTATCCCAGCTGGGAGGCTCAGGTAGGAGGACTGAGAGTTTGAACCCTACTTGGGCCACTTATTGAGTATCCAAATAAAGAAAAATAAACAAATAAAAAGGGCTGAGGATATAGATCAGTGTGGCCTTCAATCCCAGTACTGTGGGAATCAAAAGATCTCAGAATTGTGAGTAAAATGTAAAGTTTTAAGATTATTACAGTGATTATGTACAGGCAGAAAGATTACAGATCATTTGTCTTCTTTTTGTTTCTCAAACCTCACATAATGCAGTTATACTGCATTTGTTAACGTTAATTTTTTTGGCGGTGGTGGTACTAGGGATTGTTAACTTTAAGTTGTACAAAACAAAACAAAATATTGAGAGGTCAAGCAGATCTATGTCTTCCTTGAGTGCTTTGTGTAAGTTAAACTCCGGCCCCAACAAATAGGAAATCGTGCCTGCAACAGTCTGTCCAGAACATACCACAGTATCCAAAGCTTGAGGCCTCCACTTGCTCTTCGGCTTTGACCTGACTTCCACTACAGTTGCCATGGGATCCTACAAGACCAGGAAAGCAAAGACCACGGTGACTTGGGACTGTGTCATCTCCAACCTGGTGTGACAGCCTCTGTTCACTCTTTCAGATCACAGTGACTGCTAACACAGACTGCGCCCTCAGCCCAGCAGAAGTCCTATTTAAAGTCGTTTATTACAGACAGTATGGCACACTCTTAACACCCTCAACACCCTCTTCTCACTCAAACCAAGATTTTGAAGGACAGTCTTTTTTTTTTGTACTGGGGATTGAACTCATGACCTCACACTTGCCAGGCAGGCCCGTATGCCTGCTGAGCTAAATCCCCAGCCCTTGAAAGACAGTTTTATAAACCTTAAGTTGCCCGTCCAGAGCCAATGGAATACCACAATCTCTGCATCTCTTGAGTAGTTTTCTTGAGAACAGTTAAAAATATGAAAAATAATACAAGCTGGAAAAACTAATTTAAAACACATTTTAAAAAAATAGTAAATACTCAAAAAACTCAGCTTAAGTGATTTACTAATCAGAATATTTATATATCATAATCTAAATTTCACCCTTTTGATAGTGGGGAACAAGCCTCTCTTTTTTTCTTTTTGGCTTTTTCCTTTTTATCAGTACCAGGGATCGAACTCACGACTGCCTGCTTGCAAGGCAGGCGCTTATGCTGCTGAGCTAAATCTCCAGCCCAAGCCTCTCTTTTTTTAAGGGGTTAGAAGTATGCCATTTGCCATGTATTCCTGCCCTATATTCTGGTTGTGTTTGTTGGTTGACTGATTGATTTTAAGGTCTTTTTATTTAACAGATAAATACGCAGTGCTCTAGGTCTAGCTAGGATCAGAGGGTGGAATGGCAGACAGATAGGATGACTTCTAGGAAATGACGGACTCCATGACAGGAGCACAGATATTCTGGGATTTATTTAGCTATTTATCTAACTGGGAATTGAACTCATGACCTCCTGCTTGCCAGGCAGCATCTTTGCCGATGAGCTAGATTCCTGGCCCTATATAGGGATTTAATGTAGTGGCCAATGCTCCATCTCCCAATAGCTCTAGAGTATCTGTGAATTACTTCACCTTCTCAGTCTACTCACCTACTCTGAAATGGGGACAGTTATCATTGCCCACATGGGATTTTTAGGATGAAACAAAATAACATTTAATAAAGCGGAACATAGCAGGTGCTTAATAGCTTTTACTTTTTTCCCCAAAGTAATAATAAACCAGAGCGTACCACAACTTATCAAATCTCGAACTCTCAGACACCATTGTGTGCAGCCCCATGTTAGGTGCTGATGTGTGGGAAGTGGTACCACCCAGTGGGCCATCTGCCTGAGAGTCAGACAGGTGAAGTTGGGGTCCCAACCCTGGCACTGACTGGCCTATGGCCTGAGCTGACTGTGGCCCTTTGCATGTGCTACGCTAAGAGCCATGCCTCCCCTGCTCAAATGTCATCCTAAAAGGCCCCATAAAACTACTTCATCTATAAAGTCCACGTCCTGCCCCCATGCTATCCTCTATTCCTTTTTTTGCTTTATTTTCATCCTTGCATTTATCTTGAAATGAACCTACAACCTACAATAACTTGTGAATTAACTTACGAAAGTCATTTGTGATTTTCATCTCTGTAGACTTCCTCATGAGATCACTGGAAGAAGGTTGGACCATGTACTCCTTTGGAGCTTTAGAAGTTCATGGTCTAGATAGGTCTAGCTGACCCTTCCTACTATAGAGCAACAATATATGCTTCAGGAAGGGTTTCTGCTATGAACTTCTCAAACTTTCTGCTTTTACATAAAAGTTCTGCAGATTCTTCCTTTGCATATTTTCAGTGGTATTTTCATGGAGTTCTAGTCTTGTTGGTCCTCATAAAGTGATGCCCTGAGATGCAAACTAAAAACCAATGGACTTCAGTAGCAGAACAAGATAGGATCACCTCTGCCAACAGACAACCTGGCTGGGGAGGTACACAAAGCATTTTCTAGGTCATTAAGCTCTCAAAGGACTCCTTACCTCCATACACAACTGATAGAGGACAAGACAAGCTGTGTGGTTAAAGAGACGATGCCTTTTCCAGTTGAAATCGACAATACCATCTTCGTGGTCATGAGTTACTACATTGGGAAGAGACAAACAGAAAGGCTGTCCCAGAGAGGCCACATGATACATTACATAGAAAAAGACATTACAGTGAAAAGTCAAAGGAATTTAAAATAGGTAAAAGTTCAGCCTAACTAAGAGAAACTTAAATTGATCCTGAGTACTAAAATGGAGAAGGTTGAAGCGGAGAAAGGTGAAAAAACCCCCATACATTTAAATTACTGTTATTAACGCTCAGAGTCTTTGTTATCCTTGGGCCTGGAGGTCCCACATCAATAATCTCCTATCTTATTTTTTTGTGTGTGTGGTGCTGGGAATCAAACTCAGAACTGTGTGTCTCTCAAGCAGGTACTTATGCTGCTGAGCTACATCCCCTCACCGTCCAGCCTCACCTTTGATTCTATGGAAGATTTCAGGCACAAAGGCCTGAATGGCTTTGAACCTTTCCACCACAAAGCCCAGTGTGGGGAACTGGCAGCTGCCATAGCTGATGAGCTGCTCGGCCAGCACTTCAGGAAAAACCTTCTGGAGCCGCAGAGTCTGGAACCGAGTGAAGGCAGCTCCTGGAAAGTAGCGTGGAGAGGGAAAGAATGGGAAAGTGATGAATGACGAAGTCACTTCTGATTCTACCACCCAACACCAACATGCTCTATGGGCCATGGCAGGGCATGTCCAGCTCCTCACCGATCCTCAGGTCCAGTTCCTGCCTCACATCCACAGCATCACTGACTCTCTGATCTGGCTCAGTCAGGTTCTGACAGGCTGTTCTGACAGCGTGGGGAGTGATCTCAGAGAACCGGGCTCTTAACACCTGCAGACTCGGCTTCACTGCAGAACACAAAGGGTCATACTGTACTCTCACCACAATGGCCTTACTTTGCCTAAATTACATCAACATAAAGGCAAACAAGTTAAGAACCTGTGAGGCATCCACCTCCACTGTTCATTTAGATTAATGGAGTGGTGTATAATGTCAAAAAGGAAAACACCATTATAACTTCTAATTTGAGTGTTGTCTGAAATAATGAAGTCAATTTTAGTTATTAAACAAAATTCCCTAAGTGAGCTTTTTAATCTTACTTGCTCTCAACCTTTTAGAAAGAAGAAAAGTCCTGTCAAAGTGTTGTGAGGGAATTTCATGTCCCTTCAGGAAAGAATATAGGACATATATAATGTTATTGAAAGTTAATGCATTTAGCTGGTAGGTGTGGTGGCACATGCCTGTAATCCCAGCACTTGGGAGACAGACAGGAGGACTGCCTTGAGTTCAAGACAAGCTTGGGCTACACAGTGAGTTCAAAGCTAGCCTGAACTTTATAGCAAGATCCTGCCTAAATAAATAAATAAATAAATAAAGTTAATGCATTTCAATTCCTAGAAGCCATTACAGTTTCTCAATACAAAACCACTTAGGAAAACTAGCAACCCTACCACCTGAGCCAGAGAATGTCCTGTTTTCTACTTCCTCTAAGTTACCAGGAAGTATTACATTAAATTTTGGGAGGGGGTACCTGGGATCGAACTCACAACCTTGCACTTGCCAGGAAGGCACTTGTGCTGCTGAGCTAAACTGCTGAGTCATTCAAATTTAAGCCAATATACATTCCCTCATTTATTCATTTACTAAGGTGCTGTGGGTCAAACCCAGGGGCTTGTCTATGGTAGGCAAGTGTTCTACAACTGAGCCACACCTAGTACCCTAGTCCAACATTTTTTTTACCTTTTTCTTTTTTATTGGTGCTGGGGATCAAACTCATGACCACACACTTGCAAGGCAGGCGCTTATGCTGCTGAGCTAAATCCCCAGCTCCTCTCACACATATTTAGCATATAATTTTTTTTTGTGTACCGAGAATCGAGTTCTTTTTTTTTTTTCGGGGTGCTGGGAATCAAACTCAGGACTGTGTGCTTGTCAAGCAGGTGCTTATGCCACTGAGCTAAATACCCAGCCCAAGCCCTGTAATTTAAAAATATACTGCTGACTCCTTTAGCCCTGGTAGTCCCAGGAAGCACATCAAACTGTCCTGACATTTGATGCAGATGAGTTTGTAAAGAAGAACTTGGCCACAGACCACTGTACAGACATGCAGCAGAATGCTCTATTTATGGTTCCCAACAGAGAAGCACACTTACCTGCCTTGCACACATGGATAATCTCAAACCCGATGTTTTCACCTTCTCTGTCACAGTCAGTCCAGATCACCAGGGCTTGGCACTGTCGTGTCTCTCGTTCTAGAGTTTTCTGAAGTCAGTGGAGGGGAGAATGTTGACATTAGAGTTCACAACAATTTTTGGACACTTCCATACAAGAGATTTGACTGAAGACTACTGCTGTTATGCAATGTTCAACTTTGTAAGGGGAAAAGAGAGCAGAGGAAATCATTCATACCCGCACCAGTGATGGTGTGGTTACTAATGCAATCTCCAGGCCTGTAAGCAGGCTTCGAAAAGACTGGGCGGTTAAGACAAGTTCACCAATATGATGAAACTGTGGTTCACCTCTAACACACACTTCTGCCTCCATTGGTTCTGATTATTTGTTGCTTAAAATCCAACCTTCCCACCCAAAAACAACTTCATTGTGTTTCAACTCAAGAAGGGTTCCCAGTTAGCAGTGAACTAACCACCAGTACCTTGTAATGATTTACTGTCAAACCACATGCACTTTAGTATCTCCATCAATCCAGGGGATGGGTGTTAGAATCTACATGTGGTTGTTTCACTTCAATGCCACGTCTTCCAAAAGATCCTACCTTGATGTCTATAAAATTCTCTGGGCAGTATTTTTCAATTCCTGCTTCAAAGAGGACTAGGGGATTGCAGCTGTGCCTAAAAAAGAAAAGCACAAAAATTCTCAGGCCAGCACATGATGGAGTCCTCCACTCTAACAAGAATGCACTGCTCTAGTGAGCTCATAGATGGACCCCTAGCAGAAAATGGCTCAGGTGGAGTGGTGCATGCCTATAATCCCAGCCACCTGGAAGACTGAGATGGAAGACCGAGCCCTGGAGTTCAAGAGCAGCTTGGGTAGCATAGCAAGACACAGTCTCAAAAGGAGGTAGGATGGGCCAGCGATGTAGTTCAGTGGTAAGTTCAATTCCTAGTACCTGCCCCCTCCAACAAAAGAGGCGGATGGGAAAGGTGGGGAAGAGGGTAAAGGGATAGGACATGGAAGCAAGAAGAAAAGGCAAGGGAAGGGAAAAGGGAGCTTAAGGAAGGTGAAAAAGAAAGGGAAAGAAAAGGTCAATGGCCTAGAAGATTAAAAGCAAAGCCATGATCCTCTGCGTAGCACAATATCCTCTCCTGAGTGAAGATTAACAGCAGTTGCTAAGAAAACATCTGGACCCCTTTTATGAACATCTGTAACAGAACAAATGCAATATAAGAGCTGCACAAAAGGGTTCTATTTGGGGGGGAACATTTAAAAGTGGTTGTTTGTTCTAAAGTTATGATAAAAAATTTACAATATATCAGGCAATTATAGGTTATCTTAAGTTACATGGTAACATCAACATGCTTCAAGAGTCCAATAATATTTGTTACAACTTACTGTAATAACCAGTCCTTCCCTTAAGAATTGTACTGACCATTTTCGAAACTGCATCTGGAAATCATGAGCCAGCAAGTGTCCAGAAACTGAAGTCATTATCATGGTAACATTCTGAATGATAACAAAATTAAAATTAGTCTTTTTATAATTATACTTTACTAAGTCATTCAAATGGAAGTGAGGGACTTCTAGTAAAGAAGAAAACCAAAAACCTAACACAGGTTTGGAAATAAACATAAATATAACTCATCAAAGTCAAAATCCACAGGCAATCCAATTGCCACACCAATTCTACTACTATAATGCTGCCTTCTGGATCATTTAAAATTTCTTCAGCTGGGCATGGGGACATGCACCTGTAATCCCGGCACTTGGGAAGTAGAGGCAAGAGGATGCCATGAGTCTAAGGGCAGCCTGGGCTACAGTGTCTGCCTAACATACACAAGGTTCTGGGTTGTAACCACAGCACCACACACATACAAACGAGAGAGAGAGAGAGAGAGAGAGAGAGAGAGAGAGAGAGAGAGAAAGAGAGAGAGAGAGAGAGACAGACAGACAGACAGAGACAGACAGAGAGAGAGAGAGAGAGAGAGAGACAGACAGACAGACAGACAGAGACAGAGAGAGAGAGAGAAAGACAGAAGAGAGAGAGAAAAAAGAGAGAGGTGGGATCATACTTCCTTACAGGTTATAAAATTACCATCTGTAACGAATGGCCTTTGTGTAATAGTTACTAAGACAGTGAGACACATTTTATATAGGATAACGTTGACCAATTGTTCTTAACTCTAAAGCACAGTAATTTACGGTAGATTTATACTAAATGGCTATTCTTTTCATTATGGTTGAAAATTCAAGGACTCTACACCAAAATGGCACATGCATATGGATCTGAAAGATACTTTAGCTTTATGATGGCATTTTTTATCACCTACCTGGCCATACAGATAATAATCAAATTCATAGATCTTGTTGAATTTAGAAAGCCCTTCTCTCTATAAAAGAAAATAAAAATAAGTAAAAAATATGTAAAATACAAAGGACTCTTTAGTATAAAGATCTTTTATATAAAGATTTTATATAAAATCTGGATAAGTAACAATATTTTCTATAGACTAAACAGTATTTCCCACAGATAAAAAGTATGCTAAATTACTAAGACCATCAATTAATATTTAACATCGTTTTATAGATGAAAATGAAATTGTCCAAGACGACATGACAAATTCATGGCATTAAGTGGCCTTATTAGGACATAAATTCTTTGTTTTTCTTTTTGATATCGGAGATCGAACTCACAACCTTACGCTTTCCAGGCAGGCGTGCTTGCGCCACTGAGCTAAATCCTCAGCCCTTGATATAAATTCTGGTTGATTTGCTTCTTTCTCCCCAACATCTCTGTTAGTTCAAAGTCATACAATTATACCAATTAACTGGTGACTACAGCCAAGTCATTCACCTTGAGTTTCAATTTATTCTTGAAAAGTTGTGTCTGTAGTTTTCTCTGGCTTTGAAATCCAATGATGCTGTAAGCAGAGTCAGAACTGAGATCCAGTCATAAAAGCACTTCTTTAGCAGTAATTACCAATGAACAAGACTTTCTGAGTGGGTCACACTTTCCCCCAACCCAGCATACAAAGTAGCTGTGCCTGTGAGTTTCAGACCAGCACTGAAGGCAAGACAGAAGAAGGCTCCATGGCGACTGGGAAACTTTCCTGGAAAGGACAATTTTTCTGTGTGGAACACTGGGTGGTCACTCTGAGGGAAAATGGCTCACTCGAGTGCATGCCTACCCAACCTACCTTCCTTCCTCCCAGTGCTAGGAATTGAACCTAGGAGGGCCTTAACATGCTAGCCAAGTGCTCTACCACTGGGGGCCCCCTGCCCATAATGGCAGTTCAAAGCCAATGGAGGGAAATTACTTTATTACCTGATAAGTAAGCATTCAGTTGGTCTAATGTCACCAAGAGAAAAAAATCTTCCTCTACAAATTCCAACTGCTAGTTAAGCCCCTTCAGTAATAGAGAACAGAAAAATCAGGATGGATGTGGTGACACATGCCTATCATCCAAGCACTTGGAAGGCTGAGGTGCGCTGGGTTTGAAATCATCCTGGGCTACACAGGAAGACCCTATCTTAAAAAAAAAAAAAAATCATCTAATAGTTTTTGACTTCTTTTTATGAAAACTGATAGAGGTGCTATAGGTACAAAAAGGCTGTGTCCTGCCAACTCAATTACTTTGCCATCTGGGCTCAAGCAGTCAAGATATACAATCACAGTCTCATGTTTTATCTTGAGGACACACTGCAGGAACGGCTAGTTCAACATTCTCCAGGTAGATGGCCTGTAGCAGGTCTGTGACACCAGCTGCAGGTCTCCCAAGATAACCTGTTTTACCAAAAGTATTTTCAACTTTTTTTTTTTTTTTTTTGAGACAGTGTCTTGCTATGCAATTCAGGCTGGTCCTGAACTTGCAGTGATCCTCCTGTCTCAGCCTCCCAAGTGCTGGGATTATAGGCATGCACCACCATGACCGGCAGCATTTTAAACTTGACTCCTTGTAGGTCCACCTAGTGAGGACTCACAGACTCACATTCAATTCCATCTCTTGGGTGAGGTGCCCAGGGAAATAAGGATGCTCCTAATTACGGCAGAGTTTGGGAGCCCAGAGAATAAAAACAGCTGATGAACATACCAAGTGTGGAGCTTTTATAATTCTAAGTAAATATATCAACCAAATACTATCTTCTCTAAATGCTCAAATATGAATTGATCATATTACTGCTACTGAATCTACTTCAGAATTCTCTTTAAGATTTCTCTTTCTGAATTGATAGAAAAAAATCCTTGAGGATCTATAAGTTATTAATTGTAGTCACCATGGGTGGTGCTGGAATGACAGTGGGGTCAGTATAATATGCATGTATATTTTTTCAACTATTTGCAATAAATACTAACTTTTGAAAAGACAAAAAAAATTGTCTTGTAATCTTGTGGTGAATTTCTCATTTTCTAATGCTGGATGCTTAAAAAACTATCACAAAGAAGAATCTGTTTTATGATTCTGTTACTATGTACTTATTATCCAATTTTTGCTGTTATAAAGGTAAAATGACTATCACTTCATTCAAGTTGTATTAAATCTTAACGCCTCTATTAGTTCCTTATAGGTAGAAATTATGTCATTCAATGCAGAATGACTGTGTGATTTCCACAGAGCAGGTTCTGTTTTAGAGATAGATAAATGAATAGGACCCAGCCACTTTCTCAGGGATATGATACATTTTAGGGCAGATGGACAACAGCTAAATAACTACACGTGCGATGACTTATCATCAACAGAAGACACAGAAGGAAATGGGAAGGAAAATACCTTAGATCAACTTGACAGAGAAGGTTATATTTATGTTGTCTTTTATTTTTCTTTTATAACATGAAGAGTGACCGAGGAAGAAAAGGAAAACGTTCTAGGGAGAAGGATGGATATTTGCAAAAGTGTGGTGAGTTTTTTATTTTTAAAACTCTGCCTGCTTTTATCATTCTCTTCCTCTCTCCTTGCTTTTATCCAAAGCTATCTAGAGTTCAGGGTCCTGACCACTCACAAGACCTCCAATAGCCATCAACCTGCCTCTAGCCTTTCATTCTTCAAATATACTTCCAGAGTGACTTTATAAAATAAAAAGGACACCTTTATCCTCCGCTCAAAAATCTACATGACTTTTTGCAGCTGATACAGAAAAAGCATACCAAAATTCAGCAAACTTTCCTGATTAAAAAGAAAAAAAAATTAACAAGTTAAGAATAGAAAGGAGGGGCTGGGGATTTAGCTCAGTGGCATAAGTGCCTTGCCTTGCAAGTGTGTGGTCATGAGTTCGATCCCCCATCCCGATAAAAAAGAGACCAAAAAAAAAAAAAAAAAAAAAGAATAGAAAGGAACTTCAACAGAACAAAGAAAGTTTACTAAAAGCCTACAGCTACCATTATACTTAATGATGAAAGGCTGCTTCATCATTTCTTTTTAAAATCAAAAACAATGGTAGGCAAAAAGTATAAATAAAACAGCTGGGAATGGTGGTACACGCCTGTAATCTCAGCGTTTAGGAGAAAGCCAAGGCGGGAGGATTACTGTAAATTCAAGGCTAGCCTGAAGTCCATAGCAAAACCAAACTGAACCAAACCGAAACAAATCACAATAAAAGACAACAACAACAACAGCAAGAAAAACAATACCAGGACGGCCATTCATGTCCCTTCTAGTCAACACTACACCAAAAATACAGTCAGAATATTTAGGGAAGACCTGGTGAGTGCATGGTCGTGAGTTCGATCCCTGATACTAAAAAAATAAATAAATAAATAAAATAAAAATTTAGGAAAGAAAAAGAAAAACTATCTATATTCACAGATATAATTTTTAATATACAGAAAACCTGAAAGAACCCACAAAGAACTTTTAGTGCTAATACATAAATCCAGCAAAATTGCAGAATAAAAGTTCAACACACAAAAATCAGTGATTCTAAAAAAAAAGTAGAGCTTTTATATCCTACCAATGAGCAATCTAAAAAAGAAATTAAGAAAGCAAGTATATTTATGACATTCAGAAGAATAAAATGTTTAGGAATAAACTTTATCAAATAGGTGAAAGACCTGCACATTGAAAACTAAGTAAACTTAAAAGATTGCAATATTCCCGTGAAGTAATTTACAGATTAAATGCAATCCTTATTTAAAACTTCAATAATCTTTTTTACAGAAACGACAAAGCTAATTCTAAAACTCATGGAATCACAAGGGGTCCAAATATACAAAAATGATTCTGATGAAGAACAGAGTGGAGGATTCATACTATTTTTTTTTTTTAAATTTCATTTCATTTGAGCTATGTAGTTCAGGCTGGCCTCAACCTCATGGTGATCCTCCTGCCTCAGCCTCTTGGACTGCTGGGATTACAGGTGTGAATCACTGTGCCCAGCTTACTTATACTTTCCAATTTTAAAACTTACTATGAAGCTTCAAAAATGGAAGCTAGAGGCGTAATTTAGCAGTAACTCACTTGCCTGACACATGCAAGGACCTGGGGTAGATACCCAACACTGCAAAAAAACGCAAACACAAAAACTACAGTAATCAAATGACAACCAACATAAAGACAGACATAATGAATGATGGAATGGAACTGAGAACCCAGAAATAAAACCAAACATCTACACTCAACTGATTTTTTTTTTTTTTAAATGGGTTCTTATGATGTTGTCTAGGATGGCATCAGACTCCTGTGCTCAAGTGATTCTCACACCTCAGCTTCCCCAGTAGCTGGGACCACAGGCATAGTCCTGATATGTCCAAATATAGTCAACTGTTTTTTGGGTTTTTTTGGTTAAGCAACTCCAAGGTCATGTGTGCTACATAAGCTTTCTACCTCAGAGCTCCAGCTCTAGCCTACTCAACTGATTTTTAATAGGGTATCAATTCCATCCAAGGGGCATCCAAAAGACCACCTTTTCAACAAATGTTGCCATGACACCAGGTCTCCACAAACAAAAGTTGGATACAGACATTGCACCAAACAGCAGTATTAACTTTGATCCACTCAAAGTGGATCAAAGACATAAACCTAAGAGCTAAAACTCCAAACCCTCAGAAGAAAATATGCAAATCTTTCTGATCTTGGACTTGGCAGTGATTTCTTGGGGGTAGAGCTCAGCTCAGTGGTAGAGGGCTTGCCTAACTTGTGGGTTTAAATTCCCAGTGCTGTAAGTACAAACAAAAATCACCAAAACAATAAACTTTTTCCCCCAAAAGACATTAAAAAAAATGGCCTACAAGCCCAAAAAAGATGCTTGACATCATTAATGAGTCACTGAGAAAACATAAATTAAAAACTAGTTAGGTGTGGTGGTTTATGGCTGCAATCCCAGCACTGGGAAGGCTGAGGTTGTTGGTCCTCTGAAAGTTCAAGGCCAGTTCAAGGCCTACACAGTTAGTTGAAGGCCAACCTAACCTACATAGCAAGACCCTGTCTCAAAAAACCAAAAGCCAAAACAAAACAAAACATGATCTACTCATGCAATGAAACACTAATCAGCCATAAAAAGGAATAAAAGCACTACAACATGGACAGATTTCAAAAACATTTTGCTAAGTGAAAGAGGTTTGACACAAAATGGCCATATAATATACTATTCCAAGGGCTGGGGATTTAGCTCAGCGGCATAAGCACCTGCCTTGCAAGCAGGCAGTCGTGAGTTCGATCCCCAGTACCGATAAAAAAAGGAGAAAGACAAAAAAAAAAAAAAAAAAAAGTATCTAATATACTATTCCATTTATAGGAAATGTTCAGAATAGGCAAATCAATGGGGATAGAAAGCTGTGGGTGACTGGAAGGAGGATACAAAGAAGAATGGCTGTTTAACAAATATGGAAGTCTCCTTCTGGGATGCTAAAGAATCTTCTAGAACCAGATAATGCTGATGGCTGTCCAATACTATAAATGTAATAAATGATATCAAATCATGCACTTCAAAATAGTTAAAATGGTCAATTTTAAGTATGTTTTACCACACTCAACTGCCCGCATATGACATGGTTTCCTAATGCCCTCATGATCTGCAAGCAATTGCATCTCTTACTGAATCCACTAGTTCCTCCTCAACTCCCTCCTATCTCCTACCCTCTCTCTCTCCTTTTGAGCAAGGCAGTTTCAGCCTAAATTAGGTTGTTCCTCACATACTGGTACTGTATGATACATCTTCCAGACTCATTTACCCAAGCAATAATTACTGAAAGTCCCTTGTATTTCAGACCCGTACTAAACATTAGGATACAGGAATTAATTAATACAGTCTTTATTCTTTTGGCACTTGAGAGTCCAACAAATAACTGACATTGCAGTACTGAACTTGGAAGATAACTTCCAAGTAAGAAAATAAAGTGCCATGACAGCATATGACTAAAGGTCCCTGACCCAGTGGTGGTAGAGGCAGGAATGTAAGGGAAAGTTTCCTTGAAAATGAGACATTTAAGCAGTGTCCACAAGGATAAAGAAGTTAGACTAGAAAGGCCATTTTCCAAAGGCTCAGAGCCCCAGAAATAGGCAAACCCTGGGCTGGTCATGACATTCTGCACTGGAAAAAAAAGGTGGAACTTTCAGCTAGCAGAGGCCTAAGGATCCTGGGATTTGTAAAGAAAAAGAACAGAGAACTAGAAATGTTTTCCAGAAAACCATTTCACGATTCACCTTTGTTATTTAGGCGATTTTCCTGAACAAAGGTCTCCCTGCCCTTGCTCGTTTACCTTCCTTTTCCTTTGTGGCCCCAGCTTACCTAGAAAACATTCGTATCTTTCACTTTTGGCTCTTGGAATCAATCTGTTATCAACAGATACAGGTTGACTTCACCTCTAACTCCCAAAACTTGGTGTTGTCCCATCAAGGTGGGATTAGGGGCCGGTAAATTAGAAGTGCAGAATGGAAGGGATGTGGCTCGGATAGCGGGGGATCATTCTGTGGAGTAGGGGCTTGAATTCCAAGTTAAAGGAGTCCGCCTAGAGGTTTCAAACTGAACTAAAATTTACACGTAAAGAATTGGCAGCGTCCCCAGGTGTTTTGGAGGGTTAGACAAGACTAGGAACGCTCATATGGACAAAAAGATGGACGATTTTCTAGCATGAAAGAGCCTAACTACATTTTAAAATTCCACCAGTCCAAGAGTCTACGGCCTGGGAAGAATCTGCATTGGTGCACTCGAGAAGCAGTGAGGTCTCCGGGGTGAACAAGTCACGTTTATGTGGATTTCTGGAGCCCACCACGCAGTCCCGTTAAATGGGCTTCCCTCAGGGAGCGCAGCTCGTCGCAAACACTTTCTTACCCGTCTCATGCGACCGTTGGACAGCAGATCAGCGATTCCCTTGGCCGCGTCGTTTTTCTCCGCCACACAGAGGACTTTCCGTACGCCTCGGAAGGCCACTTCCATGGTGGCGAGGGACAATGCACGGCCCCTGGGCCGTCCAAGCCACCGGAGTGGGTGACGCAAAACCGAAAAGATCATCTCTAGGGCCTGCGCCCGGAGCTGCTCTCCGGGTGACTGTGCATGTTGCAGAAGACAGACAAGGGATGCCTGATGCACACCCGGGGAACCACAGACTCTGGGAGGCGCCCGCCCTTCGCTGACTTCACCACCAGCCTGCTGGCTTTAGGTGCTGGCTTTAGCTACTGCTGCTTCTCCCGGCCGCCGCGGCTGCCTCTCCACCAAAGCACTCTCTTTACTTCCTCTCGCCTTCTCCCGCCACTTGCTTCAGACTCGCGCCACACAGTGACCCGGAACTACAACTCCCAGACTGCCTCTTGCTCCCACATCTCTCATTCAAACACTTCTCTCCCTACCCCTCCAGCCCCCCTTTGCTTTCTTTCGGTACAGTATTTGGTTAGCCGTACTGGTGCTTAAGAGGCGCAGCTGGAACCCACAGTCCAAGGCGCTTTAATTAGCTCTATTGCTCCTGTCGGAAGTCGGCGCAGACACTTCCGGGTCACCCGACGTTGTTGACCGCGAGTCATGTGATGCTAAAATGGCGACGCAGCAGTAACTGTCTCCGGGTTTTGGCGTCCAAGGAGCCCTGACGGTTTCTGTCTTCGGGCCGTGATGGTGGCAAAGCGTTGCTGACCCCTGCACCCACGTTAGGCACTCACCCAGGTCTGGGAAGTGGAAGTGGGCTCCAGCGAGTAGCAGTGATTTCGCTGCAGGTGCTTTGAGCCGGCGGTGCTTGCCGGGGAAAGAAGAAGAGCGACCATCCTCCGCCGTCTTCTGGGTCTGTACCTTTGCAGTTCATAGGCTTCTGCTGGTTCCGGAGGAGCTGTACCTCTGAGCGAGCTTGGAGAGTTTGAGTTCTGCAGTGTGAGAGGCAGCGTAGGATCCCTGGATCCGCAAAAAAGGCCTCAAGGAGTTCACTTCCTCCTTTAGTGGCCTGGCTTTGCAGCATCGATTGACCCTGTGTTCTTTCCCATTTCCTCTCAATGTTCTCTTTATATATCAGGAAATATGATCAGCGCCCCTGATGTGGTAGCCTTCACTAAAGAAGATGAGTATGAGGAAGAGCCTTACAATGAACCATCCCTGCCTGAGGAGTACTCGGTGCCGCTCTTCCCCTTTGCCAACCAGGGAGCCAACCCGTGGTCTAAGCTCTCCGGGGCCAAGTTTTCAAGGGACTTCATCCTTATTTCTGAGTTCTCTGAGCAGGTGGGACCCCAACCCTTGCTGACCATCCCTAATGACACCAAAGTTTTTGGCACTTTTGATCTCAATTACTTCTCTCTGCGGATCATGTCTGTGGATTACCAGGCTTCCTTTGTGGGCCATCCTCCTGGTTCTGCATACCCTAAGCTGAACTTTGTGGAGGACTCCAAGGTAGTGCTGGGAGACTCCAAGGAAGGGGCCTTTGCATATGTGCATCACCTCACCCTGTATGATCTAGAAGCTCGAGGCTTTGTGCGGCCCTTCTGCATGGCATATATCTCAGCAGACCAGCATAAAATCATGCAGCAGTTCCAGGAGCTTTCAGCTGAATTTTCTAAAGCCTCTGAGTGTTTGAAATCAGGAAACAGGAAGGCATTTGCTGGGGAACTTGAAAAAAAGCTGAAAGACTTGGATTATACTAGGACAGTTCTGCACACAGAAACGGAGATCCAGAAGAAGGCCAACGACAAAGGTTTTTACTCATCTCAGGCAATTGAGAAGGCTAATGAACTGGCCAGTGTGGAGAAGTCCATCATTGAACATCAAGACCTGCTGAAGCAGATCCGATCATACCCTCATAGGAAGGTAAGGGGGTTTGATTTGTGTCCTGGTGAAATGGAGCATACCCAGGATCAGGCTGACCATACATCCACTACCTCTAATCCAGATGAGTCGGCTGACTCAGACATTTATACCTGCAGACCAGCGTACACCCCAAAACTCATCAAAGCAAAGTCTACTAAGTGTTTTGACAAGAAGTTGAAGACCTTGGAGGAGCTCTGTGATACTGAGTATTTCACCCAGACCCTGGCCCATCTCAGCCACATCGAGCACATGTTTAGAGGTGATCTGTGCTACCTCCTGACAAGTCAGATTGACCGAGCACTTCTAAAACAACAACACATAACAAACTTCCTCTTCGAAGACTTTATAGAGGTTGATGATAGGATAGTAGAGAAACAAGAGAGTGTGCCCTCTCAGACCAGTGAAGACAGGCCACCTTCCAGGTCTCTGGAAGAATGCCCAATTCCTAAAGTGTTAATTAGTGTTGGATCCTACAAGTCCAGTGTGGAGTCTGTGTTGATCAAGATGGATCAGGAAGTTGGAAATGAGGAGTACAAAGAAGTAGAAGTAACAGAATCAAGCAGTTTTGACCCCCAGGAAAATCTGGATTACCTGGATATGGACATGAAAGGGAGTATCAGCAGTGGTGAAAGCATTGAAGTATTGGGCACAGAGAAATCCACTTCTGTGCTGTCGAAGTCTGACAGCCAGGCTAGCCTCACTGTGCCATTGAGCCCCCAGGTGGTCCGAAGCAAAGCAGTCAGCCATAGGACCATCAGTGAGGACAGTATTGAAGTCCTGAGCACCTGTCCTTCTGAGGCCCTCATCCCTGATGACTTTAAGGCCAGCTACCCAAGTGCTATTAATGAAGAAGAATCATATGCAGATAATGAGGGGGGCATCCACTTCAAAGCAAACATCAGTCCACTGGAATTGGGTGAGGCCCAGGAGGGTGGCTTGGAAAACACTCCACCCCAGCTAGATTCCTCCTGCTGTATTGGAAAAGAGAACAATGGTCAGCTGGTGCCGCTCCCCACTCCTGCCCACACTCTCTCTGATGAGGATGGTGTGGTGAGCATTCCTCCACAGCGCTACAAGCAGAAAGACCAGGACTTCCATGTGGACTTTGCAGCGGAAAACACCAATCCTTCCCGAGACAACAGTTGTGAGGCATTCCCAGCTTATGAGTTGGATCCAAGCCACCTATTGGCTAGCCGGGATGTCAGCAAGACTAGCCTGGATAATTACTCTGACACTGTCAGTTATGTGAGCAGTGTGGCCTCCACCAGCTTGGACAGGACCCCCTCCTCTGCTCACTCTGTCAACCTGTCTTCTGAGAGGCATAAAAAGAGGGCCGGCCAGAATGCCTTAAGATTCATCCGCCAGTACCCCTTTGCCCACCCGGCCATCTACTCCCTGCTCAGTGGGAGGACCCTTGTGGTTCTAGGAGAAGATGAGACCGTAGTCAGGAAGCTTGTGACAGCACTGTCCATCTTTGTTCCCAACTATGGCTGCTGTTCCAAACCTGTGAAGCACTGGGTCTCTTCGCCTTTGCACATAATGGATTTTCAGAAGTGGAAGCTTATTGGCCTGCGAAGGTAACTGGTTCTAGGTGGTGGGGAGGAGTTCTGGGCAGTTAGTGATGAGAGAGGTTGCTGTCCTGGACCCAGAATTGGTAGACCCAGTTTCTACACAGGGGCCACCACTGTTGTTTTTGGCAAATTATTTTCCTTTCTGGCTTTATTATTTGGGAGAATTTTTATTTTTTGTTTTTTATTTTGGGGGGGGAGTTAAAATCATAGATTTTTGGAGATTTGAATTCAGTTGGTCAGGGTAAGACAACGACTTTATTTGATGTATAGAAGATCTCAGGTCCTTTCTGATTCTTACAATTCACACTGATGACTATGACTGTCATTGGGGGGGGCAGGAGGGCTCCAAGAGGCTTTCACTCAGCTGTTTACTCTTTTTGTTATTTTTGAGACAGAATCTCACTGTATAGTTCAGGCTGGCCTTGAACTCACTGTGTAGCCCAGGCTGGCCTTCAGCTCACAGCAGTCCTCCTGCCTCAGCCTGCGGAGTGCTGAATTACCAGTGTGCACCACTACGCCCTGCTTCTCTTTGCTCTTGAAGCCTAGTGTTTTTTTGTTTTTGCAGTGTGGTTCCTACCCAGAGCCTTTCCCAGGCCCTCTGTATGCAGGAAAGAGCTGAAACTCTGAGCTACATCCCCAGTCTTAAAAAATAAACCTGAGTGCCACTTCTTCTTTCCCTCTGAATACTATTTATTTCATTCCACTACTTGTGCTTTAATAGATTCCTTTCGCTTTGTAAATACTATTTAACAGGTCTAGCTGAGCCTTCCTCTCCCTTTGTTTGCCGTGTTCAGTTTCCTTATTTTGTGACCTGTTGAGTTTTTTCCCTCCATTGGCTTTGTTCATTTGTAAAATAAAGGTGCCCAGCTGGCAATCATCACAGTCCCTTCTGAGGAGGGATCAGTCTATACTTCTCACAGAAGGGGCAAATGAGTTTTTCCACGTGCAATAGCAACTGTTTCTCTTTACATGGTGCCTAGTATCAGTGAGGCTCCCACCTCCATAGTCTTAATGTGTTTGTCCCTTTTGTAGAAGATAGGTAGTGAGACCACACTGTGACTTGCTGTGTTAATGTGATTGGAATAGTACAGTGACAGTTCAGTAAATGCTGCTTCCACATTATGACCTGGGTCACTTGTGGAGAGTCTATTCCAGGCTGTGCTGGCATGTGCTGGGGACCAGGCGGAGGTGCTTGAACAAAGCCACTGCTTTGGAAGAGTTCATAATCCAGGAGAGGAAGGAGACTAGGGACCAGTGCTACATTCATGGAGACAAGAGTTTTAGTAATGGGATACTTCCCATGTCTTAAAAAGGGAGCAGCTTGGTCACATGCTGGAGGTGAGGAATGAGGCTTTGCTTGAGTAAGTACACAGGAGGGTGGGGAGTCAGGAGTCTCCCCTTCATCAGGAGCACTGCTGTGGGCTATGGTAGTTACAGAAGGAACAGTGGGGTTTGGGTCGGGTGCTGGTGCTGCCATCACTTCTGTATGGATCCTTGCTCATTAATTCCTGAGTCAAGCTGAGCCCTTCTGTGTGGGGTTTGTGGATTGGACCTTCCAGGTGCCCACCTTCTAGATCTGTAGGAAGGACTAACATTTAGAATATAGGTCAGGGTCTAGTGTAGCTCCTGACCTCTAGAAGTGTTCTGGAACATGGACATATGGGACAGGCCAGGACTGTGTTGATATTGAGAGGCACACGAGGCCCAGCTTTAAAAATCACATGGAGTGAGAGAGATGCCTTTTGCATTCATGACCTTGTCCATGGAGCTGTTGAACTACATTAGGACTAGGTTAATTTGGACTCCTAAGGTTCTTTGATTTCTCCTAGAATCAACTCAGATAATGAATTGTTTTCCAACTCTGTTTTCCTTGAACCACTAGTCTTACTGGCCTTAGATTCTTTTCACCTACATAGGTCTCCTGCCTGGAAATCCAACCCTTGTTGACTAGCCCAGTGTTGGTGGGAAGAGATTAACATATAGTTGCACTGGTTACCCATCATTTTACATGAATACCAGGGAAAACCGCATGCCTGACTAAGCAGCAAGAGTAGCCCTGGACTAGTGGATAAATACAACTCAATTGTGGGAGAAAGTGCTAGTGAGGATCAGAAGGCTGGGTTGAGTCCTGGCTAGGTGACTGTGAACAAGCCACAGCCCTGCTGGGGCCTCTGTCCCATGGGTTACCATTGTCCCTCCTAACTTTAGCCATAGTATCTTAAGCAGGTGAGGTGGGAAGTGCTCCCTGCAGCAAAGGATAGAGGTCTGGGTCTGACTGTCACCTGAGGAGGAGATTTATGGGAAACAAATGGAAGAGCTAGAAATGCTACCGTAGAGTATGTGAGAAGAGTGCCAGAGTGGCACCCCAGGGTGCTGGATCTGAGCTGGGCATCAGATGGTGAGTCCTGGGTGGAGGGGGTGCTAGACATGTCAGTCTTAGGGAATTGTTACCCGGGTCAGGTAAGGATCCCCAGGAAGCAAAATAAGTGTAGAAAAGCCAATGCAAAGTCTAGAGCCCTCTAAGGCTGACAACCATTGAGGCATGGGGGTTCTAGTAGTGCAGGTTAGGGAGGCCAGCTTATAGGTCCACCCATGCTCTCATAGACTTTCTTTTTTTTTTTTTTTTTTTTTTTTTTTGTCTTTTTTGAGACGGGGTCTCACTATGCAGTTCAGGCTAACTCGCAACATCCTCCCACCTCAGCCTCCCAAGTGCTGGGATTACAGGTGTGAGCCACCATGCCGGCTTGCTCTCATAGACTTTCTGAGTGTTGGCTGCCTGCAAGTTGATTTTCCACTTGCCTGTGGGGTGTGCTGTCTAGGTTTAGCACACAGGGCCTGGGTGGGTCTCACCATCCCATTTTTGTTAATTTGCCTAGTTGTCTTCCTGCAGTCCCCAGGGCCTCCCATAAGGCCTAACTGTGTGGTTGCACCTCCACAAACCTCCCTGGTCTTGCAGCCGTGGGTCTTTCTTGTGGAGACCAAAACCATGTCTCCCTTCACCTCTCTGTGCTTATGTGCAGGCCTTCTCCCAGTCAGTGCCAGCACGTGCAGAACAGGATTCCAGGTCATTCCTCATTACAAACAAATGGTTCCCAGACTAGTCCCTAATAAGTGGTAGATGTTCAATGATTGTTGAGATCAAGTATGTATATGGAATGGAGATGGTCCTTGTCCTATGGGGAGATGATTAAATGGACTGTAGTCACCAGACTGGTTGGTGGTAGGTTCGGAGTAGTAAAGATGATAATGACAGTACCTGCTGAGGGCTAGGCACCATGCTAAAACAACTCATGTTGTTTCTGTAGTAACTGTAACTTCATGTAACAGTAGCAACTATTATCTCCTCTCCTCTAAGAGAGGGTAAATAAAGAGTTAAGTCTAAGGTCTCAGGCATAGACACACAGAAGAGCAGATCAGGGAAGGTTAGATGTGGTTTAAATTGGTGTTAGTCAAGTCCAGGAGGGAGAGAAAGGACTCTAGGCAGAGGAACAGGCAGGTGATTTTGAGCCCCAAAGCCTTGCCTTGCTCCAAGAAGGGTTCATTAAGGTAATAGTCCATTCCTACTTCAGAGGCCAGTAGGAATCAGATTGCACAGGGCCTCATGGAACAAGCCAAAATGTTTGAACTTGGTCACAGGGGTAGTGAGGAGTCCTTCAAAGATTGCCTTCCAAAAGGAGCCAGTACCTGCTGGCTGGGTGGGAACCAACTTGGGGACAAGTGGGCCCCATGCCCTTAGTGTCTGCCTCCATCTTTCTGACCCTTGCCCATCCTCCTGACCTTGGCCTGTCTGTTTCAGAGTGACTTCCCCCGGCAGTGCAGGCACTCTTCATACCTTGAGCCGCTACAGCCGCTACACAAGCATCTTGGACCTGGACAACAAAACCCTGCGCTGTCCTCTGTACAGGGGCACACTGGTGCCCCGCCTAGCAGACCACCGCACTCAGATCAAGCGGGGTGGCACCTATTACCTGCACGTGCAGAGCATGCTCACCCAGCTCTGCTCCAAGGCCTTCCTCTACACTTTCTGCCACCACCTGCACCTGCCTGCCCACGACAGGGAGACGGAGGACGTAGTGGCTAGCCGCCAGCTGAGCTTTCTAAAGCTGAACCTGGGCCTAGTGAATGAGGACATCAGGGTGGTCCAGTACCTGGCTGAGCTGCTGAAGCTGCACTACATGCAGGAATCTCCTGGGACCAGCAACCCCATGCTAAGGTTTGACTATGTACCCAGCTTTTTGTACAAAATCTGAGGTTGGTCCCAGTCATTGTGACCAACACCTGTGACTCAGGGTACAGCGAGGGGAGGGGTTGGCATGACCAAAAGGTTGCCTGAGCTGGGTTGTTGAGATTTCTGGTCTCAGTAGGAAGGGAACACACAGTTGAGAGCCCATTTTTCTAAAAGTGACCAGTGGTACAGTAAGTTTCCTTTGGCTCCCTGGTGAAAAATGGCACCTAGATAAGGGGGTGTCTTTGGCTTTCTGAGGACCAGCAGCCCAAGCAGGAAGAGAAAATCTCAGTCCTTGTGCTGGGAAGAGATAAGGTGTGGAGCAGCTCCAGCCAAAGCACAGTGGCCACATTCAGCATCACTAGACTTGGGTGGCCAGGGAACTAGCCAGGGAAGCAACCTGTTACCTGCTGATTTGGAGGAAAAAGAAATGACATCTGTTGCCTCGTTCAGCCCCAATATGGCCCTTTATTGGCCTCTTGGAGCCCATCATCCCAGGTGAGACTCCTCAATGGGATAGTGGCTAGCTGAGGAGTGGGAAACACAACTTGTAGGCTCCAGAGCTGCAGGGAACATGAGCAGTGCCCTTTCTGTCCTCACCTCCAAAGGGAGGGAAGCACCCAGGAGTGGTTCTTCATCACCAGGCCCAGAGTGAAACAGGAACCAGTGACCACAGCCAGTATGGAGACTGTCCTGGGAACAGCAAGTGGAGTTAGCCATGGGGCTGCAAGGCTGCTCCAGGAGGGAGAGATGCTCCAGTGGCTCCAGCATCTGCCACTGTGCAGATGCTGAGCTGTCAGCTCTTGGGCTGCCCATGGGCTCTTCCGAGTCAGGGAGCACTGATTATCCCCTGTAAGGGTCACATGCTAGGAGTTAGCACAGGTCATAACTTCAGTTGCCACCCACAACAAACCTTTGCAACCATTTCACTACCTCTCATGGGGTTTTATGGGCTTGGTGATTGCGGTTTTCTGTTTAGTCGGCTGGCAGGAACTGAGATGGCAGGGACTTTCAGCTCCCATGTGGCTCTGCCTCTGGGAGGCTATGCTTACCAGTTCCCACAGCTCACAGCTATCCCTATGCAAGTCCCTTTGCAAAGACAGTACTGTCCTTAGGTATCTCCATCACTTTCCCCATTGCTGGTAAGCAGTATGGCCTCCCTAGTGTTGCATACCAGCTGCCATAGGTAAGTAGCTAGTCTCTCACAACTTTGAAAAATAGCATACTTTTTTAAAAATGCTATTTCTCCTCTATAAGTAGGGCCAACTGTGGGTATTACTGCTTCTTTTTAATTTGTTCCATAAAAACTGCTAAAGTAGACCTCAGTCCTGTGTGCACATCTATCAGGCTCTGTGTCCCTTGCACTTGGGTTCTGCTGTTATGGCTTGGTTTCCCCTTCAGCCTGTGCACACCACTGAGACCCCTCACTAAGGGAGCCAGCTTTGCTTCTGAGACTGCAGAGACTTGGTAGAAACCAGGTGACCAAAGACAGCTTGCAACATATCAGTCCTTTAGTCACCTTTGTCCAGGTCCTTGGCACAAAGATATGGCCTGTTGGTTTCAGCCACTGGGTTAGCAGGGACCTTGTTTCTGTCAGAGTGTGACATTTTGATTCTGAGGCTGTGACTGAGAATCTTTTGTACCATGTTCCTGCCTACATCTCATCAGTTCTTTGTCTCTGCCCATTATACTTTACACAGACAGAAGTCAAAGGACACTTTGACAGCTTCTGACTGAAATATCTGTTGCCTGTTTCTCTTTATGGGTTCTTTATCTGTTACTACTTCCCTGTAGTATTTTAGACACCACTTTACTATCCGACGGGGTGGCGAAGTCCTGTCTCCTCATGCCTGCACAGACATGACCCTGCAGTATTCTTGAAGGAAGATCTGTAGAGTCCAGGAGATAGGCTGGAAGTGATTGCTGGCACCAATGCTGTTGCCTTTCTGTGTGTCACAGCATCACAGAAACTCATTGCCAATACTGTGTTTACCTGGGAAACTGACAAAGGTGGACAATGAGCTTCGTGCGGATACTGGACTGCAGCTACAGCCATGCACCACAATGGTTTTAAGTGGAAGTCCACAGGGGTGGGATGGTGGTGGTCGTGTTCCTCAGCGCTTAGCCCCAAGCTGGCTCAGAAATGAAGGCACACATTGGTAAGGAGTGAACAGAACATAGAGTGGTCCTAGAAATGGCAGACAAGAGCCTCACCCTCAAAGTGGTTCTTCATTAAGATGCTTTTCCTGATAAGGGGTTGACTCCTGAAATTTAGATTTTGGTTACAAACAAACTTCTCTGCATGGCAAGTTGAAAGGATTATTTAATGCAAAGCATGCTTCCTTTCAAGAGGGATCTTAGAACAGAGCTGGGACTGAGTCATCACTTGGGCAGGAAAGGTTAATACTGGAAGCTTGTAGATGTCTCACTTTGCCATGTAGAGACCCATTCAGTGGAACCATCTCTTCAAGTTTTCATCTATGGTATTCCTCTAGGATTGGCTTAAGAAATTTCCATCAACATTTAAAGATATTTCCTAGAAAGGAGGTGACACCAGCACTCCTTAGTACTTTTTTACTCCTATCACTGGGGCCCTGCCACTGCAACTGGCTGAGGTTGATTTTAACTTGACCTCCAACCTATTTTCTCTTATTTTGTAACAGTGCAGGTGAAGAAACACCTGATTAGGGTGGCAGTGACACTTGCAGAGACTCCATGGACACCTCTCACATGTGGGGCAGGAGGGGTGTGCTGGCCTCCTGTCTCAGTACTTGCCTAGGAATCTTACTTCTTTGGTGGAATCTTTGGATTTTAGAAAATGTGACTTTTCCCACAATTTACAACAGTGGTTGAAGTTACACTCATTGCTCCTGGGTTTAGAAATGAATGATAGTGGGCCGTCATTCCCCATCTTGCTTTTAACCTCTGTTTCAGATCAATTGCCAGATTCAGAGTACAGATTTCAGGGCCGGGGATTTAGTTCAATGGTGTAAGTGCCTGCCTGGCAAGCTTACGGTCATGAGTTTGATCCCTGGTACCAAAAACAAACAAAAACAACAAAGTACAGATTTCAACCCACACCAATTCAAAAATTCTGCTTCAAATTCCTATGGCCAGTAGGCTTCACCCCAAGTGCCAGAGTTGCTATAGTTGTACCACATGGTCCAGAGACAAAGAGCAGCATCCACTTCTGGATAGCTTGCATGTACACTGCCCGTCTGCCAGTGCTAAGCACATATCCATGCTCAAACCTGAGTGCTGTGGGTCAGTGCCTTGTCCTGTTGTGTTACATTTTTGAATGCAGGGCCAGCAGTATCAGCTGAGCTAACAGGCAGAGGTATTGGCAGGCAAACAAGGCCTCTGGAGGAACTAAGCCATCCTGGCAGGCAAGTAGGCTTCCCCCAGGCTCCTTTGCCCTCTGCCTCCCTAGAAAGCTCAAGAGAAGTGCCTTGGGTTGTGCTTTGAAACAGACTAGCTAGCTTTTGGCTCTGCCCCAAAACTGTGATCAAAAGTAACAGAATTGGAATTAAGACAAACATTAACAGATTGCAAAAAAGGGAAAAAGATCAAATTTTCTACTGGATGGAAAGTGAGACCACTTCCAGGTGATAGGGTGGGCACAGTAAGTTTTCCCCATCTCTTCCTTTAGCCCCTAGTTTTTTTTGGTTAATGCTCTGGGAAGGATGTGACAGAAGTAGATGGGGGAGTGGGGATGAGATGAACTTGCTCCTGCTCACTAACCTGCTCAAATGTGACTCAACTTCTCAGGAGGGTTTGCTCAGCTCCCAACTGGATATTACACATAAAGGGGTCTTGGAGATGTTCCATTGTCTTCAGCTGGGCAGAATTAAGCCTCCAAATTTAAGACTGCTGAGGCAGCGGATCAACTCCCAAATCAGAGGCAGAAATATGAGAACTGATGTCACCCACATCCAATGGGGACTGCTGCAGCTATCTCCACACTGTGATGACCGAAACACCAACAGGATCCCAAGCCTTGAGGTCTTATCACCTATAGAGCAGGATCCCAGGGAGCCTCAGCCAGGCTGTCTGACACTGGATAGTTGGAGCAACAGTTTGGATTGAAATGAATGCCACTCTAGAGGTTGCAGTGAGAAAAAGTGTAGCCTGTGCTGAACTCATAGGTGTTATTTTCTAAAGCTATTTTATTATTGCATGTCTTGTGTCTGCGAATGTTTGTCCTGACCCCATGAGTGAGTCGTCACAGTGGCTAAAGCCAGAGTATGACTGATGTGTGATAGTATCTCACAAGTGTGACTGCACAAGAGTTTAATCAGAGTAAATGCCAAACTGTATGGAGTGTACTTTTTAAGAAATTAATTTATTTGAGTTTAGATATTTTTGAAATATAAAAATTGGTTGTATTTTTTAAAGCTATGATTATTGTAGACATTGTGGTTAAAAATTTGATTGTGCTTATTAAAAATGGTCATGTATGGTTTGCATCTCAGCTATGTGAAAAATAAAAATTCTCTGGGAAGGTAACATTTGAGTTCCTGACTGCTGGAGGGAGTAATCCTGAGAAGAGCAGAAAAGCTTGTATTATAGCTGTCATGCCATGAAGGAACTTGGCACTTTCTTAGATGGAATAAAAGCATATTTTTTTAAGATGTCTCACTCTGTAGTCCAGGCTGGCCTTGAACTCAGGGCAATCCCCTTGCTTCAGTCTTCCCCGAGTACTGGGATTGCAGGCATGCAGCACCACACCCAGCACCACACCCAGCTAATTTCTTTTATAATAGGCTTTTTGGTGTTCAGGACCACAAACATGCTAAGCATATGCTCTATTTATGAGTGACATCCCTAGACCTTCAATATGCTATAAGCTGCTAAATAGCAGCAGGGTACATCTTTTACCCTTATTTATAGTACAAGGCAGGAGACTCAGAATTACTCCCCGCAGTTGTAAACCATTGTAATTCAGTGCTTCTCTGGAATCTTACACATCAATGAAAGAGGAAGAATGGACAGCATATACAATCTTTTTTTTTTGGTCTTTTTCGTTTTTATCGGTACCAGGGATCGAACTCACAACTGCCTGTTTGCAAGGCAGGTGCTTATGCCGCTGAGCTAAATCCCCAGCCCCTAGCATTTACAATCTTGAACCTGGGTATTTCTTACTGTTACAGCAACTCAGGGGAGCCCCATGAGGAATAAAAATAACTGGGATCTTTCTAATAGCTTTGTCCCATACCATTTTATAAATGATTAAAGCCACTTGGCTACACAGTATTTTATTTTTCCAAGATAATTATATATAGCTGTTGAGAAAGTTAGATTCAAATTTGAATTCCTTAATAACCTGCCCCAGAATTACTAACAGTGGAACTTAGATAAATTTTGATTTGTGAAAGCAGAATAGCCTATAAAACTTGCCCCTCAAAAGGGACAGGGCAGCTTAGTGGCCCGTGTGTGGCAGCTCTGTTGTCTCAAGAGGGTACTGGCTCCTTAGAAGGTATCCCTGGGCAGTCAGTGTATATGGCACCAAGGCAGATGCAGAGCAGGCTGGCTCCTTCAGAAGTCAGGTAGGCCAGGCAATGGGAAGAGAGAAGCGAAGCTCTCTACTTCTTCCCGGAGAGCCTGCACAGCCCTCTGGTGCTTCTCATCCCCTGCCAGCTTCTCCTTGAATTCCTTTAGTGTGGCCTTTGAGCCCACGTCGTTCTGAATCTGTAGAGTCAGTTCTATACCTGTGCACAAAACAGTGAGTTCCCTGTGAGCTTGTTTCATGCTGGACACGCTAAGGGAGAGGACAGTTGAGAGCCAGAGTACAACTGCCACAGGAACCCCCGGGCTGGGAGTGACCGAGCATTAAAGCTGTCTGTTCCCCTCAGAAGTGATTCTCATGTGTGGTAACCCTGAACAGGTGACCCTGAGCCTCACACATTTAAAACCTCTCAGACAAGATAGAGTGATTTTGCTGTCCTCTATCCCCAGCAATAAGCTCTGACAGAATTATCCTTTGGTGGTGGTATCTCAGCTATTTTGGTATAATCAGAAACTTCCTACACACAACAAAATGTGGCACATCTCCAAAATCTTATCCTTACCTCTGTGGATAAAGCGTGCTACTTTTCGGAAGTCGTCTTCCAAAAGTCCCCGGCTCGTCAGTGCTGGGGTCCCCAGTCGCAGACCACTGGGCCTCAGTGCGCTTTTGTCACCTTTAAGACAAACAGGTCTCCATCTCTAAGCTGCACCCACAGTTACTCTGCATTTTAAAAGGGACAGTTTGGCAAAAAGAATTGGCCTGAGGATCTTTGCTCTCTCTTGCTAGAATACAGCTGACTTAAAAATTGGAAGAGGAACCGAAGGCACAAGTAGGCAGGGTCGCCTTTGGGTTACTCTGGGTGTTTTTTTTTTTTTTTTTAAAACACTAGCAAGCTTTATTAAAGATAGAAAAGAAACAGGCTCTGCAGAACAAGTCTGGGCCCAGTAAAGGCAGCATACCCTACAGTGTGACCATGGGTCACCACGTGAGAGAACACAGTGGCCTGGATCACTATTTCAATGGAATGCAAAGCTGTCTTCCATGGTGTGGCTGTTTGCAGGTTAACATCTGTCTGGGTCTGAAATGTGTCACTGGCATTTATTAACACACCAAGAAATGCTGCCTGTTTGTAAATGACCTCACCTCCCAACAGCGGTACCACTGAGGGTTCCATAGCCTTTTCCTTCTGCTGCCCACAGGAGAAAGGCTAAGTGCAAAGAAGCCAGGGCCAGAGCTCCACTGCCTGTATCTGTCCTCCCAATCCATTTACCTTTTTAGCTACAACTTTGGCCAGAAGAGATACAGACAGGAAGGGTATAGAACGAAAGACCAAAAAAGAATCTCACCTGGGCATGTATTCTTATTGCAGGCAATAGAACAGGCTTCTAGCACCTTTTCGGCCCTCCCACCATCTGTGCCCTTGGAACTTAGATCCACAAGGATCAAATGGTTGTCCGAGCCACCTGGAAACAGAGTTGGACAGATAGCTGAGCACAGGCCAGGTGAAAGAACCTTTCCTCCTGAGAAATGTGGGTCGGAGTGCTAGTGATAGTGGTGAAAAGTCCAGGGCCAAAGTCAGGAAAGTGAGCACCCATCATGTGACCCAGAATATCAATCACCCACAAGAGAAAAGATGCAATAGGCCCATGAGTTGGAAAAGAAAGAATACAAGTATAAGGAGGTAGCTGGTTACAGCTGGTGAGGATGTGAGGCTGTCAATAAACTGTTGAGCAGCTTTTGTAGCCGATGGCCCATGCCAGGTCCCAGCATAGGCTGCAGTGTGTCTTAGCATTTTTGTAGTTTTTGGTTTCTCTAATGACTTGGAAATTTCTCAAGTGTCCCCTTGACATCAATCTATTTTCAAGCACTGGGGATTGTATTTGGTCTCAGATAAATACTTGAGAGTACTCCATCAGTGAGTCATACCTCTGTCCCAGTCTTAAATGCATGGATGTACTGCCTTGCCACAAGTCTAAAGCAAAGCGGCTGATTATGAACTAGAACCTCCCAAGCTGCAAGCCAAAATCTCTTCCAAGTTGGTTATCTTAGGTGTTGTAATGATGGAAAGCAGACTAACACATGAGGACAGTGAGGCTGACAGATTTCTGGACCTGGCCTAACGTGACAGTAGTCTTTAGTGCCTCTGGATCTTTCCATCAGAACATTCATGAAACCAACGTGTGGACCTGAGATAGCAATGTTTTGGCCTGAATTGCAGGAATGATTTCAAAGATACAAGTGAACGAAGTTAACAACCTAACTTTGGAGTCCCACAATTGAGTCCACTGACTTGCCATGCGGTTGTCAGGCAGTTCACATTTTGGAACTTCAAGTGTCCATTATAAAAAAGTCAATATTCACAACGCAGTTAAAGGTTTATGTAAGATACAGCATATAGCCTGGGCCTGATAGTGCACACCTATAATCCCAGCACTTGGGAGGCTGAGATAGGATGATTGCCATGAGTTCAAGGCCAGCCTGAACTACATAGTGAGACCCTCAAAAAAAAATTCCCCCAAAACAAAAGTTGCACACAGTGCTTGGTATAAGTGAGTATTCACAGCCATTATCTGCTTCATCATCTGCATCATGTCCTCAGAGAACTGTGAACACAGATGGCACCATGGGAAGAAGACAGGCCTGGGGTGTAGAGAGGTGCAGGAAACTGGGGAGCTTCAGTACCCAGGCTGCCTTGTAATGCCTGAGGTGAAAAGGAACAGGGACTAATTCCAGAATCTTCAATGGCAGTTCCCAGACTGACACCACCTAGAAGGAGCTGGTTGTAAGTGTAGACCCCATCCAGAATGTGTATCAGTAGCTGTGTTTCAACAGAATTCCCAGGGAATTCCTGTGCATATCCAAGTCTGAGAAACAGTGACACACGGGATCTTAGAGGTCATGGTCCATACTGGGATTTCTAGAGCTTTAGTCTTCAAACATGTGAAAGATGGAGAAAAGGAAAGGAAGTGAGGCAGAAGAGAGGACCTTTGAGAAGATGGCATTTCCCCAGGCCTTGCCAGCACTACTGCTCTCGGACATGAAGCAGGGTGACAGTACCACTCAACAGGGTGGGGCACTGCCATCTGTGAAGAGGGTGATTTGAAGGGCAGGGTGCTGGGAGAAGCTCTCAAGTGATCCCAGGAGCCCTTTCTGGACTACCTCTGCTATATACTCGGCAGTTGTGGGAAAGTCCATCTTCCTCATCGCCATGCCATCGGCAAGAAAATACTGTCCTCCCTGGAGGTACCTGCAACGCCTAGGAGGCAAATGGCAGCCCTGGAGTGGGGATCTTCCCTGGACAGTGCAGCTCACTCATGGGCAGCAGCTCCAGGATGGTCTGTATGAGAGCCAACAGGACCCTGGCAGCAAGCCAGCTGCCAGGAAAATGCAGCCAACTTCCTCCCATGCCTAGCACCCTGAGCTCAGGCCATACTCTAGAGCAAGGTTCTGGCTCTGTCAACTTCCAGGTGCATTGTGAACGTGGCCTCCCCTCTCAGGTGAGCCCTCGGTACATCCCCACGAAGCTGTTGTGAGGACATGTCATCTTCACACTGGGTGACTAACAGCAGCTACTATGACCAACATGTTTGGCCTACCTGAGGGGCCAGCTGGTATTGGCATGCATGGAGAAGCCACAAAGGAGGCTCCCCAGCGGAAGGCACACTGACTTAAACCAGAGATGGCTTGAGTTGTAGCAGCAATGGCAGTGCCCATAACCACTACCCTCTGGGACACATCCTGACCAGAGGAATTAAGGGTAAGGGTAAGGGTTTAATGTATGTACCCACAAGGAGAGCAGGTATGCCCATCACCACGTGTACTCATACCTGTGACAATTTTATAACCCAGCTCCATAAGGGCCTCAGACAGAGCTCTGCAGTTAGCCACCACCTGGAGCTGATAGATTTTGAATTGTGGAGTCATGGCTTGCTTCAGGGCCACAGCAATTCCTGGACAAGGAGACAAGGGTCAGGGAGGAGACAGTCAGGGAATCAAAAGCACCTATTTCTATCCACTCACGCTTCCTTGCTTTTGCAGTGTCACCCAAGGGGTATAGATTACATTTTCTCCAAAAATAATTTCTTTAGTGGTGCTAGGGATGGAGTTCAAGGTTTTCATGTGCTTAAGCACGTACTTTAACCATGGAACAGTTTCCCTTGAATGTCACCTGGGCAGCATATTTCGTTGCATGTCATTTCAACCAGTTAATTCTTGTATTGAATAAATTTAATAAAATTATGTTTCTTGTTATATCTTATAAAATTAATGAAAAATATACATAATTTTTGGTTATCCTTTATTTAAATAATTGGACTGGTAAGTAGTTAGCCCTACAATTACCTGGCTAAACTTGCAGCTTACCAAAGAGGCCTCTCTCAGGTCTTTTTTGGAGGTCGCCTTTCTTCAGGCATGGAAGTTCAGTGCTACAAGACTACTACAAGAAAATCGACTAAGCAAGATGAACTTTATATTCTATTTCTTTTTAAACTTGGTAAGTGAAAATGGTTACTTGGACGCCCAAAACCCTGTGTTTAGATTTCAAGTCATGCAGATTTCTTAGATCCAAGTCTTGATGAGAGGGGCCCTGTTCTATTCATGCATTTAATCCTGAGGGCTGCTTTCTTAATGAGACATACAAAATGACGGTTTATAGCTGGGTGTGGTTGTGCATGACTATAATCTCAGCACTCTGAGGAAGGAGGATCGCAAGTTCAAGTCCCGCCTGGGCAACTTAGTGAGACCAGTTTAAAATTAAAAAACAAAACAGCCAGGCGTGGTGGTGCACACCTGTAATCCTAACACTTAAGAAGCTGAGGCAGGAGGACTGTTGAGTTCGAGACCAGCCTGGGCTACAAATGAGTTCAAGGCCAGCATGAACTGTATAGTGAGACCCTGTCTCAAACACAAAAAACAAAAAACTGGGGCTGTAGATCAGTATGAAGATCTTGAGCACTGTCCCTAGTATAGGATGGAAGAAGGAGGAAGAAAGGACAAAAAAGAAAAAGAAAAGAAAAAACGGAGGGTCATCCAAAATCCATGCACTTGAGGGCAGGCATTGAGTCCCCAGGTGATGTTTGTGGAAACAACTGGAAAGGCCCATAGAACTTTGCACACGGTGGCTCAGCATTCCAAGTGGAAGGAATTATGGATGCTGAGCATAAGGCATAGTGGGAGAACCTGAAACCTTCCTGAGACCTTCTGGGAACCCTTACGCCCATGACCACCAATGGCCACTTTCTCCTTCTCCTTAGAAACACTAGTGCTCTCCATGAAGAAGCCACATATCATCCTGAGCATTTCAATATGAGTACTACCACTCTGTTGCAAAAGGGCAGTGGATAACTCAGACTATCACAGATATCCTAAACCACTTGTTCAAATATAAGCAATAGGAGTCAGCTGGGAAGCCTGGTGTAGATACCTCCACCTCTACAAATCATCAGGGGCCATCAGACAGCAGCAGCTCATCCTTCAGGATCTGAATCCTATTCTTTCTCACCTTTTGTTATTGCCTTTGTTTATGTAATTTCATCTCTGTTTTTCAAAAAGTTCCTTGGTACTTGCATCCTTTAAAAACCTAGCTTGATCCCTGAGAGTGGTCACACCAGTGAGCAGACACCATTTCCTTCCTGTTCCCACCCTACACCAATTTCAATCACTTTCCTTTTCTTCTGTGTTAGCATCTCCTGGACAGAGATCATCCCTTAAGTTTTTTCCCTAGTAGGACAGTCCTGCATAGGCTTTAAAGGAAATGGAAATTAAGAACCAGGGGATGACCACCAGACTACAAATGGCCACTGTGGCTGATCCTGCAACCTGAGTGCCACCCGAGACCTCTGTGACTCTTTACCAGCAATGGCATGGTTGTGGGGACCTCCCTGGAGGCCTGGGAACACAGCAGAATTGATGAGTGACTCCAGGTTGTACAGAGTCTCTTTACCAGTCTTGGGGTCCACGCTGCGCACTCCTGAGTGAAAAATTAAAAAAAAATCAGAACCCATCAGAATGTGGTTCTGTAGGCTGCCCCGTTTTCTCCCCATTTGGACTTCAACTCTGACTGGCCGTGGAGTGTTGAGCCTTTACTCCTGGAGGTGAGGACAGCTGGTCAATGGTGCTATGCAGCAGAGGGAGCCCTTGCTTCCTGACAGCAGACATCTTGTTTGCAAAAAACAAGGACATCATGGATGAATGATTCTGGCTGGAACACTGATTTCAGCATCTCCACTGTCTACCTGCCCCTGCTGATGGCATCTTTTTTTTTTTTTTTTTTTTTTTTTTTTTTGTAACAACATATAATCACAATATGGCTTTAATGAGGCCTTGAAACTTAAAGGACAGAAATTCCCCTTCATGAGGCTATAATGAATCATATGCCTTGGGAATAGTCCTTACAGAAGTGGCCAGGGTGCTGACTTGATAGAGACCATGCCCAAATAGCTAATTCTGAGGAAGAAGGTTTCTTTCTTTTTTTTTTTTATCGGTACCAGGGATCAAACTCACGACTGCCTGCTTGCAAGGCAGGCGCTTATGCCACTGAGCTAAATCCCCAGCCTCGAAGATGGTTTCTTTCTGAGAAACTGTTTAAATGATCAGTAATGATAACTATGGTTTAATAATAAGCAATACTGGTATCTATAAGGAACTTTTTGTGAGCCAACAACTCTCAGCCCAAGTAACAGTGCAGAGTGCTATTATTACCATAGACCCTACTCTGGAGGTAAGGAAAGGAGGCCCAGAAAAGCTACGCAGAAAAAACAAGATCATGCAGTGAGCAACAGAGATGGTCTCTAATGAGGCTGGCAGCTTTCAATCATTTGGCCCTGGGTCTAGTGAATTCCACCCACACACAATGGGAAACCCAAAATGTCTCCTCCTAGGCAGATAGGTGGTGCCTGACTCAGAAACAACCACCCAGCTAATGAAAGTTCTCCAGAGAGCCTAAAGGCCATAGGTCACTGGGATGCTGCGTAGGCACCTGGCTGGGTTTCGCATTGGCCAGGCCAGGCAAGGAGACCAGCTGAGAGTAATGCTGAGTCAAAGCTGGGGCGTCAGATATCATCATGAGCTTGGCTAAATGAAGACCTGACCACTAATGTGACCTTCCAAGGTGTGGGAATCCCAAAAACAGGTAATGAACACCTATATGTGGGTTTAGAAGGGGTTGGAAAGAGAAATTCCTTATTAAAATGATTATACTTCATTAAGATTTATATGTCAGTGTCTTATGTTTGATCACTGAGCCCTGCTCTTTGAGAAACGTACTATCCCATAGTAAATTCACCAAAATAATGCTGTATCCTGGAGTCTCCTGATAGCCCTTAGCCTACCAGGCACATTTTCCTTTTGTTCAACCATCTATATCTTGTGGAGACCACTAGTTGAGCTAAAGAACATTGGCAACCAGCACTATTGCAACACAATTGTTGCTAATTCTTTGTTTTTTTTAGTATGTGGATATACAGAAATGAGGCCAGAGCTGTGGCTGTCTAGATCTTATCCATGTCCATCATTGCTCCTACCTAAGGAACTCTTTTAAGCCACTGAATCAATATTTTCAAGAAATCCAGGGGCTGGGGGTTTAGCTTAGCGGCATAAGCACCTGCCTTGCAAGCAGGTGGTTGTGAGTTCGATCCCTGGTACTGATAAAAAAAAAGGAAAAAAAAAAAAAGAAATCCCAAGTCAGATTTTGTTTCCTGACTTTCTCAACCAAACCTGAACCCATAGGAGAAATGTCAGCCCCTGCACACGTGTCCTCAGCGCTTGGAAGCTCGCTCACCTTTCCTGTAGAAGATCATGCCAGCACGGCAGCCTCTCAGAGTCTTGTGGGTTGTGGTGGTCACCACATGGCAGTGCTCAAAAGGGGAGGGCACCACACCAGCTGCCACCAGCCCACTGATGTGCGCCATGTCTGCCATGAGATATGCTCCGTTCTCATCTGCAATCTTCCGCAAACGTGCATAGTCCAGGTTTCGAGAGTAGCAGCTGGTTCCTGGAACAGAAGAGGTGGGTGACACAGTAGTCAGAGATGCGCATGAGCAGCTGACTTGGCTTCACTGCAAATCTGCAGATCTGCAGCTCTGGATGTGCAGATCTGAAATTCTGGAGATTTTCCCCCGAAAATGTCTAAAGACAGAAATAGAAGCTGCCTTCAAAAAACAAGTCTGTGCTGCACACAACGCCTCTGATCTGCTTCTTTGGGGTCATGGTGGGTGAGAAGGCTTGTAACCATTATTACCAATCCCAGTGGGTTGGGAGGGATTTATATTTCTAAGTGTTGCTCGGAGGACAGCTTCAGCTTTCATTTTGCTGTGCACTAATGATGGCAAACAGAGCTATGCGTTTTAAGAGCAAAGAACATATTTTGACCTGAGCCCAGCTGTCCATAGCAGAAACTAGCAGGACCACAGGATAGGGAGGGACCATCTTTCCTTTCTCCTCTCTGGGAGGCACAAGTCCTGCTTGCAAACAAGGCTACTTGCTGCCTTTCTCCTCACCAGCGATGATCAGCTTTGGGTGGAATAGGCGGGCGTTCTCCTCCAGCTGGTCATAGTTGATGTAGCCAGTGTCTGGATGCACCTGTGGGGTCAAGGAAACAGATTTAGCAATCTCCTCCTGCCCGCCAGCCCGCTCAGCCACACGAACCTGTTCTACCTACTGTGACAACAGGAGTGATGTCCCAGTCGGGCCCTGAAAGTGAGGTAGGACATAGTGTATTTAGGCTCACTAAAGGGTGTCAGACAACCCACTGATGCTCACATCCTCAGGACAAGCTCTGGGGCTTCAGAGGGAGAAGGGAGCCCTGTCCTTGAATGACACCCCTTCACAAAAGAGGAACCAAAGCCCCTATAGAATAAAAAAGATGCAACCAACTGGCCCCAATATGTTCCAAACATTGTTACCTTCAGAAATGAGACAAAAATGCCTTCTAACATCACTTCTATTCCAAGTACCATGAGGCAGTAAAAAGGAAGAAAAAGAATAAAGATCAGGACAGAAGGAAAAAAGCTGACTATATACAGACAGCATGACTGTACACTTAGAAAATCCAGAATCTAGAGGCAAACTATGAGAATGAACACATGAAATTAGCGAGGTCCCTCAATACAGCATCAAAAGTCAAAAATCCCTAACACTCAGGAGGCTGAGGCAAGAGGAACACTAAGTTTGAGGCCAGCTTAGGTTACAAAGTGAGTTTGAGGTCAGCCTGAACTACCGAGTGAGATCTTGTCTCAAAAAAACAAATGAACTAAAAAACACCAAACCAAACAAAAAACCCAAATAAACAAAAACCCAAATCAAGTAGCTCAGGGTAGAGCAGATGCTTAGCATGTACTAGGTCCACGGTGGCAAATCTATGGTGCACATAGACTGTTTGTATTACTGAAAGCTCTAAAAGATTCACTAAGGCCTTTGATCCTCACCACCAAAACACCCAAGGCCAAATTGTGTATAAAAAAAAGATAACAAAGTTAGACATGGTGGCATATACCCAAAATCCCAATTCTCGGGAGACCAAGGCAGTAGGATCACAAGTTGGAGATGAGCCTGGGCTATATGGTAAGACTAAATTAAGCTAAAAACTAGAAAGAAATGAAAATGAAATTTTAATATGTGTCAAAACCCAAAATATATCTAATACAAGATGTGTAAGACCACTGCATAGAATATTAGAGCACTGTAATAATTAAGGCAGTATATATACAACAGAAGACAATCTGGATGATGGAACAGAAAAAAGCCCAGGAATAGAAGACTGGGTCGGCTGGTGGCAGTCAGGGATAAGCAGCGCTGTGGGGAGAGGATGGCCTTTTTAACAAATGGCTCTAGGTCAACTGGTTATCCGGATGCAAAAATGTTATCTGGATGCCACCTCACACCACACACAGAAATCAGCTCCAGACCTCACGGTCTCACTTCTGAGTGTACATCCTAAGGACATGGAATCAATTTGTCCAAGACACATATGCATTCCCATGGAAACCGCAGCACCGCTCACAGTAGGTGGGATATGGAAGCAGCACAAATGCTCACTAAGCAATAAACGGATTCAAAAAATGGCGCATACCCACAACAGCCAAGGTACCTTAAAGCCTTAAAAAACAAAAAGGAAGTCTTTCATTTGTGACACCACAGATGAGTCTTTAAGGTATTATGATACATGAAATAAGCCAAGCACAGAAAGACAAAAACGACCTTGTCACATGTATGTGGAATCGAAAATAACTGAACTCACAGAAGCAGAGATTGGTGGTATCTCAAAAAGGCTGGGAGGAGAGAAGAATGGGGAGATAACAGTCAAAGGGTACAAATTTGCAGTTAGGAGGAATAAGTGATATTTTAGGAGATGGCTATGATAATTGAAATGACTCAAGTCTTTCTCTGTGTATATATGTATTATAACAGCACCATGTACTTTGTGGTTGTATAATTTGTCAAAAAATTAAATAAAACAAAATTTTTTGATATTAGGAATCGAACTCACAATTACCAGGCAAGTGCTTCAGCCACGGAGCTAACTCCCTGGCCCTAAATAAAATTTTAAAAAAATCAATTGTAGATGGATTATAGATCTAAATGTGAATATAAAACTTGTTTTTTTGGCAGTGTTGGGGGTGGGACCCAGGGTCTCACACAATCTAGGCAAGAACTCTACCGCTAAACTACACTCCCAGCCCTGAATGACATTTCTTTTTTCACAATACATTTCTTGTAAGTTTGGTTTATTAAAATTATGTTAAAGCATATAGGTGAAGGAGAAGCAAACATAACCACGGGGATCACTGCAGAAAAATCTCTGGAATCTGGGATGGAGGAAGCCTCAGAGGAGGAGGCACTGAGAGAACTTCCTGTTCTGTCCCTCTGTTCCGAGTTCCTTCTCATCTGCTTGACTGTACCAAAATTACCAGCACACATGGAGTGAAAGGGATCAGGTTTGACATTCATCATCAAATAAAGCAAGTACTTATAACCCAACATAATCAAAGGGAGGCTATGTGCAAGGTTATAGGCACTGAAACATCTGAAGCGATCTGAAAGACCCTTTTTGGGTTTTGTTCCAAAGGTGCGGCTCTTTCTTGGACATCCAAAACTGGCAAAGAAGTTATCCTGATGAAATGTCAGCACCTGACCCTCAGTTAAAACAACAATATGACATCACCGGGCACAACAGCATATGCCATCTATTAGGGAGGTTGAGGCAGGACTACCCAGAAGTTCAAGGCCAGCCTGGGGAACACAGTGAGACCTGCCTCACCAATACAGAAGGTAGGAGCCGGGATGCAGCTCAGTGGTAGAGTGTCTGCTCAGCAGATGTGAGGACCTGAGTTCTAGCTCCGGTATCACAGAAAGAAAAAAATATCATTCTTTCAATTACAAAAAAATATTTTTTCCTTTTGCCACCTTTGCTTTTTAAACTTGTAAGGTTTTCAAAGTTTTTATTAATTTTTTAAATCTTAAAAATTAGACAAAACAGGTCCTGAGCACTTATTAACAGACTGTGGTAGGCTGGGTGACATGGACAAGCCTAATTCTCAGGTACTTGGAAGGCAGAGGCAGGAGGATCATAAGTTTGAGGCCAGCCTGTGTAACATAGGGAGACACTGTCTCCAAAAAAAAAAAAAAGAAAAAGAAAAGAAAAAGCGTGGGGTGGGGATATGGCTCAGTAGTAGAGCTTTTGCCTACCATGCATGAAGTCCTAAATTCAATCCCCAGCACTATAAACAAACAAGATGGTGGGGCCAGGGCAGAGGATGGTGGACAGAAAGGCAGTCTCCTTAAATCCCTAGGGCCAGGGAGAGGGAGGAATTCTCCAGTCACTGAGGATGGGAACGGGGTGGCTAAAAGCACATAATAGAAGGCCATGATTGCTGTTGTTCCATAGAGAAATGAACACTTGGTTGTGCACTGGACAGTTGCCTGGAATCTTGGGGAGATGGGCGAGGCCTGAGGATCTGCCGTGGGAGGTGGTATGGGGAAAAGCTGGGGGGGGAAACTACCCAGGAATGCTGGATGTGAAAAAAGTGGGCCTTGATGGCTGCTCATGGAGGTCAATCGGGCCTGTCTCCTCCCCGCACTGAACATGGGGCTGAGAGCAGCCCCAGGGCAATAAGCCATGACCTCTTGAAGCACATGCTGGCCACGGTCCTGGATCCTGCCTCTCCACGCTCCCACAAGCCTGCCACACTATGCTCCCCGTCATGTCCAGTAGCTGCAGTCTGCACAGCCAAAGATGGGGGTGGCTGAGGGAACTGGAGCACAGAACCTGCTTCTCATGCATGGAAAAAATTCTTCAGAAATAGAGCAAAGCCCAAGTTGCCCACGGCCTTGTTACAGGCTCCTGAAAACAAGTCAATAATTACCCTCTGCCAGAATTCTTTCAGAAGCGCAAGAAACAGGGCCAGGGATTAGCTCAGTGGCTCAAGCGCTTGCCTGGTAAGCACAAGGTCATGAGTTTCATTCCTTTATTTTATTTCCAGTTGTAAAACATGTTTAAAAATCCAGGTTCAAGCCTAGCTTTGGCCAATGAGGAGAGCTGTCGTTAGAAACACCCAGGCTTTCAAGAAAAACAAATGAAAGTCATGTGCACAAAAAAACCATAAAAACAAAAAGCCTGCCTGTTACTGAGATAGAGACTGAGAAACAATCAATAGGAAGGAACAAAAACCACAGCAGACCAATATGGCTTGATTTTCTAAAAACAAGAAATTACATCTCCAATATTTAGCTGATTTTAAGATTCACTTCTTAGGGGTGGTAATATAGCTCAGTGGCACAGCACCTGCCTGGCAAGTGCAAGGTCCTGAGTTTGACTCCTGGTACAAAAAACCACAAAACACCTAAAAACAAATATGATTCACTTCTCTCTTTTTCTCATAGTAACAAATAGAAAATAAGAAACAGTGCATTTGACAATGAGGAACACGAAAAGATCATTCCTGGGTACTGGAAAGAACACAACACTGGCTGGCCATGGTAAAGCACACCTGGGGCTGAGGCAGGAGGACCACTGCAAGTTCAAGGCCAGTCTGGGCTACACAGTGAGTTCAAGGTCAGCCTGAACTACATAGCAAGACCTCCAACACAAAACAAAACAAAACACCCCCCCCCCAAAAAAAACAAAACATACAATACTGGATAATAAAAATATGCAAATTATCTCTTTTGCCAGCATTTAGTCTGTTTGCTTGCTTGTTTATTTATTTATTTTCAAGGGATTGAACCTAGCTAGGGCCTCTACATTGAGCTGCCTAGTCCATTTTAAATTATTTTGAGACAGATCTTGCTAAGTTGCTAAATTGCCCAGCTGGGCTCAAATTTATAATCTTCCTGCCTCAGCTTTCCAAGAAAGGTTGGATTACAGGTATGTATCACACTTGGCTCATCCTGTTTTTACAGACAAATCACAATGCCTCACATGAGCTCCTGCATCATATATTCATGTTGATTTGACTGTTTATATAAACAAGGGATCCCACAAAAAAATATTTGGTCAGGGCCCTGCACACCCTGGGGCAGTCATAGGCGTTGGCTATAGTGGTATTCTTTCCACTGCTGGGCACAGGGTGGCACCAGTTGTGTTTGGCTGAGGACTGGTCTGTGCAGTGGGAAAAATAATGGTTGGCGGGTTTGGCTCTATGTGGGCTGTGGAGGTTTGTGGCTACTGATGGAGAAGTGGCTGGAACTGGTGCTAAAGCCACGATGTTACTGTCCTTGTAATTGCTGCCCTACAGGAGATCCAGGTGAGGTATTACTTGGTGTGGGCAGAGCTGGGTGGCAGCTGTTCCTAAGGGTCCAGCTGTGGCTGACCTGGTTGCTAGGAGTGGTATTCCAGTTGTTACCCCATAGTACCGGGGTGACTGCTACTCTGCTGGTCTGGACCTTTCAGTTGTGGCTTCCTCTACAGCCTGCCTATAGACTCTCCTCAGTCCCTCATCTCTCCGTCCAGCTGTCCTTAGTGGGCTCTGCGAGTCTGAGGGGTCACCAAGCAAATAAGAAATGATACAATGCAGGGCTGCCTACAATGCAACACAAACAAAATGACTTATCCTGAGCGGTACAGCCAGACATCAGAGGTTTCCAATGAAAGTAAAGCTAGAAAGAGAAAGAGTCTTTTACCTTATAGGGCATAGATTCAAAGAAGATGGATGTAGCAGAGATTTTCTTCTTGTCTGTCATGAATCCGTGGGTTAGATGGCCCCCATCAGGCAGATCCAGGCCCATGATGCGCCCATGAGGCTCCACCAGGGCAGTGTACACTGCGAAGTTTGCAGGGGAGCCTGAAATGGGCAAGCCAAAGAAGCCATGATTATTTCTACCAGTAAGATTGGTCACTAGGTGGGGACATGTCTGGTCATCACCATGACTTTCTGAAGCCTCAGGAAGTGACCCTGCACCAATCCTTACAACAGAAAATGCAGAAGTTCAGGGGCAGGGTCCTGCCTGGGAGGAATGTGCCTCTGCAGGAGTCCCAGGGCAATGGAGAAGGATGCACCTACCCGGGTGGGCTTGGTTCATTCTTTATGGGAAGTCCTTCTTAGGACTCTTCTTGGTGGACGCCAGCCTGAGGAGCCAGGCATTGAGAGGCTGCATGAGACTGGATGTGGCAATCACCTGAATAGGGCTGGACGTTGACCCCCCAGCATTGTGGGTCCAGACGATAGGCTTGCAGCGCTCGCTTCTGACACAGTATCTCCAGTTCATCAATAAATTCAGTTCCACCATAGTATCTGTAGGAAAAAGCAGAGCCCCACATTCATTGTGATCCCCCAACTTCTGTGCCCAGCAGAGGCCTAAGCAGCTTAGGGATGGACAGAATATAGTAGAGGGAAGTCTCAGCTTTGCCACCTTGTGCCATAAGGTTGCTGTGAAGATCCAATGAAATATTAGCTAGACATGGTGGCATATGCCTGTAATCCTAGCACTTGGGAGGCTGAGGCAGGAAGATCACTGTGCGTTTGAGGCCAGGCTGGGCTGCACAGTGAGTTCAAGACCAGTCTCAATTACATAGTGAGACTCCATCTCAAAAAACCAGAAAAAAATAAAATTTAAAAAAATCCCACAAATGTAATCTAAAGCACAATTCAAAAGTAGTTATTCACAGTAGAGAAAGACAAGACAGGCCCATTGTGTGTGGTTTTTAGAGGGGGCTGGATCTGAAACTGCCAGCATTAGCCCAGAGGGCTGCCTGATTCATCCATCCCTCCTACCCCTGCTAATATCCAGCATAGAGCTCAAACAGTCTATTTGTTATTCCCAGCTACCAATGCAATCAGATTATTTGCGTTGGTCTGAATGGTTGCCACAGCCTGAGGTATATGGACAGAGAGACCTCTGGAACAAGGTGGGCACATCAAGGTGGGCATCCATAGGCTATAAAGACCGGCAGAGACAGCTGTGACTCGGGGTACACAAAGAGGCACAGAAACTGGGAGTGGCCGGAGTGAATATAGCCTTAGGGTGGAAACAACTAACCAAAGGCAGGCAGGATTCAGCATTCACAAACAAAAATCTGAGTGTGGAAACAGAATGGGTCTTAGTGACTCATTATTCCTTTCCCATATCTGCTGAATTCCAATGCTGCAGATGCTAGAAAACACCTGGAAAAACAAACAAAAAAGAAGTAGCCACTCATTTAGAGCCAGGCATGCTGGCATGTCTGTAATCCCAGCGCTTGAGCCTGAGGCAGAGGGATCATGCAAGCTTGAGGGTTTCACAATGAGGTCAAAGCCAAACAGAGCTATGTAGTGAGTCCCTGTCTTCAAAAAACAAACCAAACCAAACCAAACCACTCTTCTGTTACTTTTATCTAACTATATTAATTTTCTTTTACACCTTAATAGAGTCCTTTAGCTCACTTTTTTTCTCTGCCTTTTATTTTTCAAATTTACTTCTTTCACTAACCCATTCACGTCCTAGCACTGTTAAACTTTATTTTTATTTAGATATTTAGGGGAAAAAAGATATTTAGTTGACTATGCTATTAGTACTGCATTCTACTATTAATGGTGGTATAGTTACATTTAGTATGCACTTACTGAATACGTCAATATTTGGTTTGTCTTTGTGTCTGTATTATAATTAGAGATGTCTTTTCTATTGTCAAGGCTGGTATAGTTTTATAGGTTCTTATGGTATGTCAATATCCAGATTGTTTTTAAATCCATTATTGCTGGTGATTTTGTTGCTGTCACTAGTAGGGACATAGTTGTTGCCACTAACTGATTTTTATTATATGCCACTATCTGGTTTGTCTGTAAGCAACAACATTTCCAGACAACTAGCTGGTGAGCCAATCATATGCACTTTCCTTGTCCCAAATTAACGAAGGTGGTCAAATCTTGGGACAGAGACAAAGGTCTCTAATTAGCCAAATCCAGAAAAGAGTTCCCCATACTAGCAATAAAGTCCACTATAATCGACTGGCAACCCTCAGCACAAAGCAACGAGAACTTCCATTCCCTGCAAATAATAGAAACATGAGAAAACAAGCTAATAAAATGCCTCCAAAAATTCCCAACTCCCCCAAAACCGATCTATGGGGCACTGATAGGGAAGAAGTCAAAAGCAAGACAAACTATATAAAATAATAAAAGAATTTTTAAAAAATTAGATCAATAAGGTACTCAATGAGATCAAAGATATAAATAAAAAGATAATGAAATAAATACTCAAAATAGTGAGCTTACAGAAGACATTAACAGTTAGCTGAGCTAAACAAAGCATTACAAAACAAAGTAAAACATGAATAACTTGTTAAGCAAAGAAGTAGAGTTCATGATACAAAACAGAAACCCAGGAGACAGAAAGTTCTATTGAAATGTATGGGAAGCAGAAGTGATACAAATAGTCACTTTTAGTATTGAATAGTCACTTCTAGTGTCTAAACTACAAGATAGGGCTGATGTAGGTGACCTTAAAAAGAAGAGAACATGGAAAATGAATCAAAATGCTAGATGATGCAAACAAGACTAGCCTAAGATTAATTAGAATTAGTGAAAGAAGAGACTCAGGAAGGGGGGAGAAAAGAGGAGACTCAGGGAGGGGAACAGGATGAATAATTAAATGTGTTATGTATTTGTACTAACCCTCCCATGATAAATGTATTCTGTACTATATAAACAATTACAATTAAAAAAAAGAAAAAATCAGAAGCATAAATGGCATTAAAAAATGTTTACAGAAATAATAGCAGAAAACTTTTAAAGTATGGGGAAAGAATTTAACATACACACTGAGGCATTTAGAACCCCAAGTAACCACAATGGGAAAAGAGATTTCCACAACACATCATACTAAAAATCCCCAAAGTCCAACACAAAAACCAAATCCTAAAAGCTGGTAGAGAAAAGCAACAATCATCTATAAAGTAAAATCCATTAAATTACAACAGATCTCTTGATACAAATTTTAAGGCTAGGAGAGCTTGCAGTGAAGTATTTCAAGCCCTAAAGGGGAATATCTTCCAACCCAGACTAAGATATTCTGCAAAATCACCTTTCAAAATTGATGGAGAAATAACATCATTTTATGACAAAGAATACCTTAAGAAATTCATGACCTGAAAGTACTCCAAAAAATTTTCAAGGAAAACTCAGGAATAGACAATGAAACCAAAGATGCCAAGAAGTCTAATGGAATGAATCCTCTAGGTAGGTGAACATTGAGGCAAAAGGGGATTAAGATAAAGGGGAGGGGGGAATCAACCACCGTAAAATAATGCAATGACAGGGACAAATTAAAAACTTTTAGTAATAACACTCAATATGAATGGTCTCAACTTCTTGATCAAGATTGGCAGAATGGATCAAAAACCAAAACCCAACAGTATACTGTATACAAGAAACACATTTAATCTAAAAGGAAATTCAGAAAATGTCAAAAGGTGGAAAATAATATTCCATCTAACAGGAGCCTAAAAACAAGAAGGTGAAGCTACACTATTTTCAGACAAAGTGGACCATAAGCCAGTACTGATCAAAATAGGCAAAGAAGGGTAACGAAGGGAACAATTCAACAGGAAAAGATCACAATGATAAATATATATGCACCTAACACCAATATACTCAACTTCATGAAACAAATATTACTGGACACAAAAGATCATGTAAACACCAGAACAGTCATAGCGGGGGACCTTAACACTGCACTGTCACAAATAGATCAGACAGACACAACAACAACAAGAAATACAACTGAATCAAACCTTTGAACAAATGGACTTTATACAGGTAATATCTACAGACTGTTCCAACAACAGAACATACATTCTTCTCATCAGTACATGGAACTTCCAAAAAATAGATAATATACAAGCCCATGATGGACGCTTAAATAAATGCAAAAGCATCTTAATTTTCCAATACATTTTATGAGATCACAGTCCAGTGAATCTAGGTATCTATGACCAAAGAAACTATAGAAATCACACTAATAAATGGAGATGAAATAACACACTCTCAAATAATCAATGGGTCATAGAATAAATCAAGGAAATCAGACCATTTCTAGAATCAAACAATAATGTCAGTATAATGTGCCAGAACTTAAGGAACACAATACACCATTCCTAAAAGGGAAGTTTATAGCTGTGAATGCCCATATCAGAAAAGCAAAACAAGCTCAAATAAATAACCTAGTAATCCACCTCAAGGTCCTAGAAATACAAGAACAACCCAAATCTAAAGCTTGTATAAGAAAGTATATTATAAGGATCAGAGCAGAAAGTAATGAAATTGAGACTAAAATTAAATAAAGAATCAATGAATCAAAGAGCTGGTTATTCCAAAGAATAAATATAGACAAACCTTTAGCCACACTTACCAAAATAAGGTAAGAAAAAATTCACACCAATGTAATTAGAAACAAAAAAAGCATATCATAATAGATACTGATGAAATCCTTAAGATTATTAATAACTACTTCATAAACCTTTATGACAATAAATTGGAGAATTCAGAAGAAATGGACAGATTCCTAGATATGTATGAGCTAATAAAACTGAACCAAGAATTTAAAAACCCTAAATAACCAATGTCAGGTAATGAAACTGATGCAGTGATAAAAACAAAAACAAAAACAAAAACATAACAAGAGGAAGCTGGGAGTTAAGCACTTGCCTACCATGAGCTAGGTCCTGGGTTCAGTCCCCAGCACCACCAAAACAAACAAACAAAAAAATAAATAAAAGAAAAGCAAGCATAGGACCCAATGGATTCACCCCTGAATTGTAGAAAAACTTTAGGAAGAATACCATGCCAATACTCCTCAAACTCTTTAATGAAACTGAAAAGGAAGGAGTACTGCCAAATCATTCCTGGAAACTAATATTACTTTGATTTCAAAACCAGACAAGGATTTAACAAAACTAAAGGCCAATCTCACTAATGAACATACATGAAAAGATAAAACAGTATGCAACAAATCACTAAAAAAATCTCACATTATGATCAAGTAGTCTTCATCCCAGGGATGCTAAGAAGGTTCAACAAACAAATCAGTAAGTACATCACATAAATAGAATGTCTTTGACAAAATCCAATATCCACTTGTAATAAAACCTTGAAGAAAATAGGCACAGAAACACCATATCGCTATCTGATAAAAGCCATTGATGACATACTTACAGTCACCATCATCTTAAATGGGGAAAACTGAAACCTTTTGCTCTAAATCAGGAACAAGATAAGGATGTCCTATCACCCTTTCTGGTCAATACAGTTCTCAAAACTAGCCAGTTTTGATTTTATTCTGTTCCGGTCTGTCTACTCATACTATATTTGAGGGCATAGACAGCTATCCCCAAAATAGCAAGAAATATTATAGTAACTATCCTTAATTTCTTATTAACTTAAACTGAAGCCCTGTATTACTTACATTGTCTTACTATGACTGATCTTATTTGAATCTGGTTTGTTAGATCTCTGTTTTGTCTTGATTGATTTTATTTGAATCTGGTATGCTTGATAGTATCAAGTCTGAGAGTGGAGGCAACTATTCTGAAGATGACAGGATTCAATAGGATACCCATCCTGGTTTGATTATTAACTGCTTTTGAAGTCCTATAATGTCTCCAATGTTTTGTTTTTATTAATATTGCTATGTACTGCTTTGTTCAATTATACGATATCTGATGAACAATTCTATTGAAAATAACAAGAGACATCATACTAACTACCACAGATCACCTAGTATTGTGGTTTTATATGTCTTTTTCATTTCATGTTTTTCTAAGAATTTGTTTTGGTGTCTAGTTTTGTTTTCCCCTCTTATACAGAAAGGATAGATATACATGTAGAGACTCATACATGTGTAGAACTTCATAATGAACAGACTTTGAAGAAAAAGAGACACTAAGATACCCAGTGCTAATTCTGTAGCATGATGCTATAAAATCTAGCAATACTCTTATTCTCTGTTCAGAGTGATATTAGTCTGTTTTCTTTTAATTTCAACATACCTAAAGGTATGGACAGCTATTTTGAAGAGAATGAGAGACATTATGGCAGCCATCGTTGACTTCCCTATTGTCTGATTTTGAAGACCTAAAATGGCTTCATCATCCTATTCTGATCAGTTTTATACTATTTCATTCAGTATGAATTAACTGTGTGTGAAGATATGGACAACTATTTGGAAGAAAACTAGAGACAATATGATAGTGAAGATCTCCGGTGGTCTGGCTTTGAAATCTGTGTTTCTTAAATTGTTTTCTTATGATCTGTTTTGTTCTGTTTAATTTTACCCTCTTAAAAATAAATTAAAAAAAATAACTGTAGCCAGAACAATCAGGCATGAGATATAGGAAAGAGTCAAACTATCTTTTGCAAAAATCGCACCAAAACAACTCCTAAAACTAATAAATGCAGCAAGCTACCAGAATATACAATCAACACACAAACACCAATAATATCCCTGCATACTAATAATGAACTCACCAAGAAAGAAATTAGAAAAATACTATTCACAATAGCTATAAGAATGATTAAATTCTTAGGCGTTAATCTAACAAGTAAAAGACCTCTACAATGAAAACTGTAGTTTCCTGAAAAAAGAGAATAGAAAGAATATAAGGAAACTGGAAACTGGAAAGGTATCTCCTATTCCTGGATAGGCAGGACCAATATTGTAGAATGGACACAGTACCAAAACTGATACACAGATTTAATGCAATCCCAATTAAAATACCAATGTCATTTCTCATCGAATTAGAGAAAATAATTCTATAATTCATATGGAATTAGAAGAGACTCAGTTTAGCAAAAGCAATCCTGAGGCACAATAGTAAACCAGAAGGTATCACATCCCAAATTTCAAGTTACACTACAAAGCTACCATGATAAAAACAGTGTGGTTACTGGCACAAAGACACATGGATCAACAGAATAGAACAGAGGATGCAAACACAATTCTAGGCACATTCAGGCATCTGATTTTAGACAAAGAGGCAAAAAAATACCTTGGGGATAAAGCCTCTTTTTAATAAATGGTGCTGAGAAAACTGGTTGTATACAGGTAGAAGATTGAATACAGATCCGTATCTTGCAGCACTTACTAAAATCTAATCAAAATGGATCAGAGATCTAAATATTAAAACAGAAACAATCCTCTGGAAGATAAAATAAGTGAAACTCTTGAAGATATAGACATAGGCAAGGACTTTTTTGGGGGGGGGGGTATCAGGGATCGAACTCATGACCTGGCAGGCGCTTATGCCACTGAGCTAAATTCCTGGCCAGGCAAGGACTTTTTTTTTGTCTTTTTCTTTTTTACCAGTACTGGGGATTGAACTCATGACCACACACTTGCAAGGCAGGCATTTATGCTGCTGAGTTAAATCTCCAGCCCCTGGCAAGGACTTTTTGAATAGAACTCCATTTGTATAAGACATACCAAAACCCAACAAATGGGATTATATCAAATTAAAAAGTTTTTGCACAGCAAAAGAAACAACCAACAGAGTGAAGAAACAATCTGTAGAATGGGGGAGGAGTGATGGGAAAAAAGCTTGTCAGCTATTCCTCGAACAGATGACTAATATCTAGAATACATGAAAAACTCAAAATAATTACACCCCCAAAATAAAAACCCAGTCAAAAAATGGGCACCTGAAATGAATAGACAATTATCACAAATGGCCAATAAATCCATGAAAAAATGTTCAACATCTCTGGCCATTAGGGAAACAAAAATTTAAACACCACTGAAATTCCATCTTACTCTAGAAAGAATGACTACCACCAAGAAATTAAATAATAAGTGCTGGTGAAGCTGTGGGAAAAGCAAACCCTTTTATATTATTGGTGGAAATGTAAATTAGTATAAATACTATGAAAATACTTGTAAAAACTAAAAAGAGCCAGGCATGGTGTTGCATATCTATAATCCCAGGACTCAGGAGGATCAGGCAGGAGGATTGCCACTTTGGTTCCTTTGAGGGCAACCGGGGCTACATAGTAAACTCAAGGCCAGCCTTAACTACATAGCAAGATCCTGGCAAAACAAAAACTAGAAATTCCATTTGACTCAGATATTCCACTTTTAGCTATTTTCTCAAAAGCTAATAACATCAAATTACATGCATAACCATGTCTTTAGCAGCACAACTCATAATTGCTAAATTTAGGGAGCAGCGATATGTTCATCACTAGATGAATGGATAAAGAAAATGTGGTATTGACACACAACAGATGTTATGGTTAATACAGTGTCAACTTGAGAAGTTTAACTGAGAGACTCAGCAGGGAGCCAGGGTTCTTACTTTGTAAATTTCCTCATCCTGTGCAAAGGAGGGCAAGGAGATTTTTGAGAGTGTTACACCCACCCTGAAATGCGGGGCGAGGTGATCTGTGTACAGCATAAGCCAAGAAGAAGAGGCTTGTTTTCTTCCCTTTTTGCTTTGAAGTTTTGTTCCAGTGCCATGCCACCCTGCCTTGGATTATGATTATGGACTGAAACCTTCAAAAACTGTAAGCTAAATAAACCTTTCCTTTCTTCCTTTGGCTGTGGTTGTTTTGTTCCAGCAATGAGAAAAAAATAAACAAGACAATAAAGTACTCATCTGCTGTAAGGAAGGATAAACTTTAATTATTTGTAGGAAAATGGATGCATCTTGAGACCATAATGATTAATGAAAAACTCAAGAATAAATAATTTAAGAGCAAAATAAAAGACAGGATTATAGAAAGCAGGGAGACAGACTTTGGAAATGGAAAGGGGACCAAGAGAGGAGGGCAGGGGAAGGAAAGAAGAGGAAGGGGATGTAAGAAGAAGTAAGATGTGTTATGTACATGAACCAACTCCCCATGATTAATGTAATCATTACATACTGTAAACATACACTAATAAAAATCATTTTTGAATAAAGAAAAGCAGCAGTATATAACTTTGGCTCTTAAAAGGGTGAAAATTCTGATGGAGTATCACTGCATATGTAATTATAATATAGACTCAATTGCCAGTGTAGGTGGACCACTGTTAATCTGAAATTCAAAATTGGAAAATTTTTAGCACCAACGTAACTCTCAAACAGTTTTGAGGGGCTGGAGATGTAGCTCAGTATAGAACCCTCATGTAGTATACACAAGGCCCTAAATTCAAACCCTAACAAAAAAAAATCAAATGTTTAACCAGTGAAGTCTATGTACATATTTCAAATATGAAAAATGTAGAGACCTCTGATCCTAATCAGATTAAGGGACACCCAATCTGTATTATAGGTTCCTTTCACTTACTGGCTACTTCTGATATAGATTTAATGACTTAGAGCAATAGCTACCTTCCGTGTCACCCTTTAGAAGACAACAGCCTTTCCTAGACAGACAGAGGATGGATGTATTCCTTACACACTGATTGCTACTACAGAAGTCTTCCAAAAGGGCTGCTCCACGAACAGTTACCATGAGCAGGGATCAAAAAGGGGTATGGTAGAGAAGCAAGAATGGAAGGAAAGGCTTCTTATTTACTGCAATTCACATGTAGCAATTCTACATTGATTAAGGACTTCACCACGTTTGAAGCAGGACTTTGAAGATACTCACCTCTGGCCTGGGTACCCCTCCGAGTATTTGTTATTTAAGCAGGAGCCCAGGGCCTCCAGAACTGCCCGGCTAGCAAAATTCTCTGAGGCAATCAGTTCCAATCCCACTCGCTGCCGGTTACTCTCCTTCTTAATGATGTTGTACACCTTACAGAAAGAGAAAAGATGCTGAACACTGATATACTTTAGTTTAAAATTCTATTCTGATCAAAGCCATAATCTCCTTGTAACCCCAGCACTCTGGCAGGATGAAGCAGGAGGTCTGCAAGTTTGAGACCAGTTTGGGCAATTCTGTGAAACACTGTCTCAAAATTAAAAAGGGGTGGGGAAATAGTTTATTATGAAGACCCTGGGTTCCGTCTCCACTACAACCAAAAACAAAATATAATCTCCTAAAGAGAAAAGACATTATTATAGATTAAGGTTGTGCTCTCAGATGCTGAATGGAACCTATATAACCTGGAGGACTCTTGAGGGCAGAATAAGTTTTCCTCAAAAGCTTCAACATTTAAGAAAGAACCGCTGGGGATTTAGCTCAGCGGCATAAGCACCTGCCTTACAAGCAGGCGGTCGTGAGTTCGATCCCCAGTACCGATAAAAATGAAAAAGACAAAAAAAAAAAAAAAAAAAAAAAGAATCAGAGTAAATGAATTAAGAAAAAACTGAAGAGAAAATTATGTATCCCACCTAACTTGTAATTCTACACCAACATATTATCTTTATTCCTATATTTTGGATTTCAAATGCTTCACTATGAAAGTCTATGCACATATTCCAAATCAAAAAAATCTGACGACCCATATTCCTTGTTCCTTTCAAGGAAAAAGATGTTTGTTTGGTTTTTCTTTCTTTTTTTTTTTTTTTTTTTGTCTTTTTCTTTTTTATCCTTACCAGGGATCAAACTCACAACCACACACTTGCAAGACAGGCGCTTATACCGCTGAGCTAAATCCCCAGCCCCGGAAAAAGATGTTTTGACAAATGCAGAGAAACAGAAAGTAGATTAGTGGTTGCACAGGCGTGGGATTTTGGGGAAGGTTACGGTGACCCCTAATGGGCTCTTGGACATAAAAATGTTCTGAAATTATGAATATACATATTCCGACTTAAAATGGCTTGACTTTACAATGACAGAGAAGTGATATATATTTGATAGAAACTGTACTTCAAAGTATAAATTGTGTATTTCCTCGGCTAGAGACACACAGTACTATTTTTTCTGCTGATACCTGGCAGTGGCATTGCACCAAAGCTCATCATCAGCCCTGCAGTCCCTGGGGAAAACAATTGGTGCTCTGTGTTGCTAGACCAGGATGTGTGGCAGGTTAGGCATATGCGTTCTGTTTTTTTTCCCTTTTGTCTTTTTGAGACATGGGTTTGCACTGCAGCTCAGGCTGGCAGTGATCATCCTACTGGCTCAGCAGGGATTACAGGTGTTGCAGGTCAGTGCATTTTTTTTTTTTTTTTTGTATCAGGGACTGAACTCATGACCTCTTGCTTACCAGGCAAGCGCTTGAGCCACTGAGCTAAATCCCCAGCCCCAAGTTCAGTGCATTTTTGCTTAACTGCATTTTCTACTTACGATAGGCTTATTGGGATACCACTACAAAGTAAGTCAAGGAACCTCTGTATAATAAACACCACTCAATTATATGGTGAGTGAACAATATCTTAATAAAACTGTTACCCCCCCCCCAAAAAGCTCCCAATTATTTAAATAGATACATTCCCTATGAAATGCAAGGAGAAATCAATTATAAATGACCTCTTTCTCTGCTTTCCTCCACAGCACCCAGCACAACACTTTGCAGGAAGTCAGACATATTGCAATTCACCTTCAAAAACTTTTAATAACTTTCTCACCACTGTCCTTCATTGTGGCACATTCCATGCAGTGCTGGGTAAAAGAACCCAGGGCTTCCCACATGCTAGGCAAGTGCTTTACAACACTGAGCTGCATCCCCAGCGCCACAAGCTGGCACTAAATATATACTGCATATAGACATCGCAAAGTAGTCTGTAATAAAATTAATTCATGATTAGAACTAGAGATTTAGGAGCTATAAGTGTACCTCAGAGGTACAGCACTTCCCTAGCATGTGTGATCTCCTGGATAAAATCTTCAACACTGCAAAATAATAACAAAAACAAAAAACTAGAGATTTAAATAGAGGCCTCTGACATGAACATACAATGCAAATACCTCACAATTCTTACCTCGATGTCACTGTCCTTGAGGGGTTGTGCCAGCATAGCTTCATGGGAGGACCACAGGGCAGCATCCTTGTGGGTTCCGTTGACTGGAGTTGTCATCACACTAGTTCAAAGCTGCCTAAAAAATGAGAAAAGCATGTGTGAAGCCAATGATAAACGTAGGCAAAGCTCATAGCAACCTATAAGTGCTCCTGTTGCTAAGTGCTGGCCTACTATTTTAGCCTTTCCTGCAGAATTACTTGGTAAACACAAGTATAATCCATTGCAAAACCACCATGCAGAACTTCTAGTTTCTTTCTGACTGTAGACCTGGCCCTCTTCTCTCCAGCCCTGTCCAACCTCAAGCCCTGCTTCTAAGAGTCAGGTGGTACCTACGGTGAGCCTGGCTCAGGGCCTTCATTGTTTGGCTTCTCCTACTGCAGCTTATCCCCCAACTAAACCAAGTTTCTGAAGGCAGGACTGAGTGTTCTTTTTAAAAAACTTCTCCCACGGTACCCAATATAGATATCTACAAATAAGTAATATTGCCAAGTGACTGCACAGGTGAACTGTTAAATTAAAATAATTCTGGCAGCAGGCAACTGGTAAGTTATTTTTGAAAAAGGCAAAAATTTTGTATTTAGCAACTTTTCAGATTTTTCTGGGCAGATACACAAATTAACAAAGAACAGAATACAAGCAATTGGGATGGTTCTTCTATGATGCCCATTAGCAGCATTTTATAATGTGAGTAGAGCAGATAGCAACACTATATTCAGCTTGGACACATTTCTCCGGCACTCCAAAAAAGGGTACTTGGAATTTTTGCTGTGAGGAACTCCTCTAGGAAGTGAATACAGTGTTAATTATATCATTGTAATCCCAGCAACAATCTCATGTGTTCATTTTTTTCATGTTTCCAGCAATGAAAACAAAGCTCAAAAAAGTATCTTTCTTATTTTGGTACCAAAAATTGAACTCTGGACCTAATGCTTGCTAGGTAGGCCCTGTGCCACTGAGCTACACTCCCAGTGAAACTTTCTTTTGTCTTTTGTTTTTTTCTTTCTTTCTTTTTAAAGTATTTTAGCCTAGGGCTACACAAGCAGATTGGGCATGAAGGCAAGGCTCAGAACCTGACTCAAAACAAACAAACAAACAAACACAACACTATACAAAAAAAAAAAACAAGCAAAGGAACAAACAAACCAAATCAAACCAAAAAAAACCCAAAAAAACACTTGGAATTTTGTGATCCGTGGCATTTTCCCCAGTGTGAAAGTTCAAAGATTTATAGGAACTCCCTTAATCAATAGTTGTCAGGTTTTTTGTGCTTTTCCACTGTTTTGGTTACATTTTTATGTGAACATTTTCTGAGGGCCTTCCATGTGCCTCCACCGTGTTTGGTATTATAGTGAACAAATCCGCCAGGAGCCTAGCCTTTTTGAGCTTCCCAAAAGGTGCTGCAACATAAGAGAACCAAACAAGGGCACTAAATGATTAAGGTCAACGCTGTTAAAGAACCGGGTGCTGGGGCTGGGAGGGTAGTGAGAAAGACTCTCGTTAGTAGCCGGGTCAGGGCCTGTTTGAGGGTATCTAGACTGCAAAGGAATGAATTGTGACATTCCTTTTTCCATGGTGTAATTTGCTAGACAAATAGAAACTCTAAATATTGTCTGGAGGCTGAGACAGGAGGATCACTGCAAGGTCAAGGGCAGCCTAAACTACAGAGTGAAATTTTGTCTCAAAAACAAATAGACAGAAAAAGAAAATAAAGAGAAATGCCAAATAAATTGCCTAAATAGACCTAAATTACAGTGATCTTCTTTTCTCTGGCAGAGGTCAAATAAGGAACTATCAACCATCTTTAGAAAATTCCTAATTAGGGCTTTCAAAGTAGTCATTCTAACATAAGTATGACATTATTAGGCATACAACCACACCTGCAAAACACAAAGTGCCAGTCCAAGCACTTGCACTCAAATGCCACAGAAGGTTTCTGCGGCCATAGCAACAGCACCTTGCACAGGCCACATCTGCTTGGAGCATGTGCAGGTGCTTTGGCATCAGGCCTCGTGGCTTCTCCCTGCTGAGCCTGTATTCAGGCACCATCAGTGCAATCCTACAAACTTGCCTCAGAGCCAAACTAAGCCTGCTGGTCCTAGACTCCTAAAGAGCAAAACTTCTTTTAAATATTAACTACTGAAGGTTAAAAAAGGATTCCAAAGTGGCCAGCAACACAAAGAGGATACTTCCTTACCACCAAAGAACTAAAGTCCACTTGGAAACCTCCTCACCAGAGGGTCAGTTCTTGAGTTATTTGACAAAAGGCATTCAGTTCAGGTCACTGGAGGTGGGGCTCACCCTCCCCCATTCTGCTTGAGGACTCTGCTGTCTGCCCACACATAACCCTTTACTGATCAGTGATAACATTTCCCCCAGTACTACAGTACCAGGGCCTTTTGACTGTGCTACATCCTCAGCCCTTTTTAAAAATTTGAGACAGTGTCTCAGTTGCTAAATTGCTCAGGCTGGACTCAAATTTGTGATCTTCCTGCCTGAGTTTCTCACAGTGCTGGGATTACAGGCAACATTTATTCAATGTTTCTATTTGTCTAGCAAATTACACCTCGTAAGGTGTTCTGCAGGTTTTCACAGTATTTCTGAGCTGCAATGATTCTTAAACTCTGGTGAGAACCGTCAGTGTAGCCATCTCTTGGCTCCTCATTCCAGCAGTCTGTTCCTGGTTTCCTAGTTTGACTTTTTTTTTTCTTCCTCGTTCCTATTAACATATTATAGGATCAAAGATCACTTATGGCCCTCTGAATCCAAGTATTACTTAACTTTTACCAGTACTATATCCTTATTAATTAAATCTATAATCTTCCTGAGTCCTCAATAAGCTTTTTTTCTGAGCCATGAAAAAGTCTGAGTTTATTCAAAAAGTTCAAGATTCATTGTGTCAGCCAGGTGTGATGGTCCATACCTATAATCCCAACACTCTGGATGGCTGAGACAGGAGGATTACAAGTTCTTGCACAGCCTGAGCAACTTAATGAGACTCTACCTCAAGAAAGTCTGGCAATGTCCCTTTGTGAAAAGGTCCTGAATTGTCTTATTTCAGTTTATTATATACTAGGGCATTCTTATTTATAGTAAGAAAGAGAAAGATCCTGAGATTATATACTTTTTAAGATGCAAAGAGAAAAAAATCATTTTTATCTAATATAATATTTAGGGAAGAAAAACTCAGCATCTTAAGATCTGGAGGTTGGTCAGAATTACTTTCTGCTATTTTTAGATTGCGGTAAAATACATAAGACATAAAATTTACCATTCTAACCATTTTTTAGGGTATAGTTCTTGGTACTAAGTGATGTTGACTATGAGAACAATAAATGGGTGGGGGCTACTTTTGATTGGGCCATGAAAGCACCTGAGTTGAAATCTGAAGCACGGAAAGGAGGCAGGTATATACAATTTAGGGGTAAGAACAATTGAGGTGAGGCCAGGCATGGTGGTACATACCTGTAATTGGGAGGTTGAGGGAGGAGGATCACTGTGAGTTCAAGGCCAGCCTGAACTATATAGTGAGACACTATCTTAAAAAAAAAAAAAATCCCAAACACTAAGTGCAAACCCCTAAGATAGGAAGACATCTGACTCCCAAAGGTTAGAAGTCAGGTTAAGCCTGGGAAAAAAGTGAGTGTCCACAGGAGATGAGATTCAAAGTCAGTCAGAACAGAATAGATTTTTACCTTGATGTTATATATTTTACAAGTTTCAAATTGCTTCCTAGGAACCTTGGCACTGAAAGTAATGAGTAGCAAAACCCAATAGTGGGTGGACATGTCACAGGTCCACACCTCAGATTCTCCTAACAGTAAGAGCTACAGTGAGCAAGTGGGTACTGAAGCTCACTTCTAGAAGGGTGAAGGTGCTGGCACTGACTATGGGCTCAGTCCTGCTCTGCTACTTCCTAATGTGTGACCTTAGTTGCTGACATCTGTGTCTCAGGCTCCTCACATCTAACACAGGGATAATGATATTCTGAAGCCAGTCGTGAGAGTTAAACCAGACATCAGGTCCAATGCACTCAGATCAGTGCCAGGAAACTAGGGATCTTAGGGCCACCTTCACTAACTTTACCAGTGACCCCCACTGAGCAGCCCAGCCCAACAAAGCTCACTGTAGCATCCCTGTCACTATAGTGTTGCTATTTTTGTACAAGCACTGTCACTTGTATGTTCTACAATCTTCACCACCCCAGGGAGAGACCTAGTCATTTACAATTCACCAACAATTCACCAGCTTCGCCAGATCCCCTAGTCCTACCATACAAGTGATCCTGTCAGGAGTCTGACAACAGAAGTACCTAGTGAACATCTGGCTGTCACACATGAGTCTTGAGTTCTTTTCTTTACAGAGGAAGACCTGAGGGTCAGAGGGTTAACTTGTCAAAGGTTATGTAACAATAGGGTCAGACTTTGAACTCTGGGTTACCTTTAGTTCCTAAGCTTCTTACACTGTATTAGACAAAAGCATAATTAATCATTCATTTATTCTCTCAAGTAAGAAATTTAATTCTAAAGGACCCCAAAGTGGTGTTTCCAGTCCAGCAACTTCCTGACTAAATGCATCTGAATTTGGCCTCAACTGACCAACTGGTCACTTAACTTTTAGAACCTCAAAGAAGAGGCATTGAGCCAAGAATCCTAAAGTGGTCGCCTGCTTCCTAGAATAGAGGGTGGCACTACAGACAATGTGAGCGACAAAGTAAGGTGTTGGTGGAGAAGCAGGGACCACATAGGCGTGCAGGCTTTAACGAGGCTCTCTATTCTGGGTTCTCCCCTTTCCACGGGCTGGGCTCTTCCCTTATTGCCTCACCTCCCTCATCTGCACCTAGAGGAAAATGCTAGCCCTTGATTTGCAGCCCAGCTGGGAGGGGATGAAAGTGCAAGGTGTGGAGTAGTCCTCAGATCAAAAAGCTTAGTGAAAATCCCCTTAGGAAAGAGGCTTCTTATGCCCACAATAGGCCTTCGCATTCACGCCAAAAGACCAAGGCCCCCACCCTCATTACCCCAAAGTGCCCAGGACTTGAGGGGCTGTAGCTAGCTGCCGCCGACCTTCAGTCTCTCGGCCCTTAGTGATCGCCCGGCAGTCACTCTGCCAGCCAGGAAGCATGGCAAGCGTGGCGGGAAACTGAGGGCACCAGAGCGCCCACGTTGCCGGGACGTCGAGGTGCCTGCACCCCAGATCACTCACTCACCTACTAGAACGCAGCCTCAGACGTACTGGCAACACGTCGGTCTTACACCGTCTGGGGTCCCACAAGAGCCAGGCCCCGCCGACTCGCGCCCCGCCACGTGACTCTCAGCGCTTCGCTAACCCGAACTTGGCGCCCAGCCGTTCGCCCTTAACTAGGAGCTCCGTGGAGCTCTGCCTCTAGCCTGGCTCCGCCCCCCCTAAAGTGTCCAATCAGAATGAGCACCCAAGCAGAGCCCGCCTCCAAAATCCCGGGTGCTATTGGCTGCAGCGGAGCAATGGGAGGGGTTGCATGGTGTAACTGCAGCTTTGTTGAGGAGCGCTAGTTTAGGGCTGCCCTGGTTTGGAAAGAGCGGTGGGGTAGTCAATCAGGGTCTTCTGGAAGACAACGAGATTCTGTCCCAGTTATAAGTTGTGTGGGCCACTTCGGCTGCCAGGTTATGGGCGAATTTTGCGACTTATATTTAACTTTTCTACAGTTAGCACGGTGTTCGTTTAGGTCAAACGTGAGTTCCAAGAGACAGAAATGGAATCCTACATCGATCTCTTCGTTCACCCTCATCCTCGTATTGGGGATGTAATTCAAGGGTGCACCCTACTCTAAGCTACATCCTGGCCCTTTTAAAAAATTATTTTATTTTGAGAGTCCAAATTGCCCAGGCTTACGTGTAACCTTGAGGTCCTCGTGCCTCAGCCTTCCAAGTAGCTAATACCATATTGCAGAAATGAGCTGCTGTTGTCTGGCTTCACTTTGTTAGGGTGGTAGTGGTGGTGGTTAACAGACATATCTAAAACACTGAGCTTCCTAAGAAGTTTAACACTTCTTAGGTCTCTCAGGATCATATCAAAGGACGTAGGGTATTTTGGTGGAAAGGTAAAAAGGTTTTATTCAGAGCTCTGTGAAGATGGAGAGGCTGTGCTGGTTTTTAATTTGAGACAGGTAGATAGACCTATGAGTAAATATAAAAATATAAAACTTAGAAGAAAATATAGGAGGAAGTCTCTAAAGCCTAGGCTTTTAGTGTTTTATACGTGACACCAAAAGCACAATCTTTGAGAGGAAAATATCAATAAATTGTATTTTTTTAGAATTAAAACTTTTGCTCTGTGAGAGACACTGTTAAGAGGATGAAAAGATAAAACTACAGGAGCTGGAGATGTAGCTTAGTGGTAGGGCTTGTGCTTAGCATGCACAAGGCTCCTGGTAGTATCATCACAATGCCCACCCCCCAAGAAGTTACAGATGAATAGAACTTATTTGCAAATGACATATTTGAAAAAGAATTTGCATCCAGAATATGTAAAGTATTTACAAAACTTAACAGTATAAAATAAGCAATTCAATTAGAAATTGGGCAAAATATATTTAACTGAAGAGCAGACTTCTGATAGTCACATGAAAAGTTATTCAACATCATTAGTCATTAGGTGAATGAAAATAATCATAATAAAAGTCATTACACACCTATTGGAATAGCTTTAAAAAGAAAGAATAAGGCATTGGGGCTATAGCTCTGGATAAAGTGCTTGCGTAGCAAACAGCACTGAAAAAGAAAATGTCAATATCACATGCTGCAAAGATGTGGCAAAACTGCGTGTCATAATTGCTGGTAATAATGTAGAAAGGCAGAGCTGCTCTGAAAAAATAGTTTGTCAGTGACTTAATGAACTAAACATATACCTTCCATTATGCCCAATCACACTTCTGGGCACTTACCCTAGAGAAGTGAAAATTGTCCACATAACCTATACATGAATGTTCACAGCAATATTATTTGTAGTAGTCTGAAACTATAAAAAACCAAATGTTCTTCAATAGATGAATGGTTAAACTGGTGCGTCCATATATGGACTGCTACTAGTCAGCAATATAAAGAAATGAGCTATGGATACACATAACATGGATGGATCTCAAGAGTGTTATGTAACAGAAAAAGGACAATGTCATATGTCACAGCTGAGCATGGTGGTGCACTCTTGTAAGCCCTGTACAAAATCAAGCTACAAAGCTAGCTGTGCATAGAGGCGCATCTCTGTAATCTTAGCACTCTGGTATTCTGAGGGAAGAGAATCACTAGTTCAAGGCTAGCCTAAGCTGTAGTGACTTCAAGGCCAATCTGGACTACATAGTGAGGCTCTGTCTCAAAAAGTCACATACTTTATATCACATTCTTCAAAACACATAAAGAAATTTGGAATAAATTTCTTGGTACTTGTTTTTTTTTTTTTTTTTTTGTCTTTTTCCTTTTTATCAGTACCGGGGATCAAACTCATGACTGCCTGCTTGCAAGGCAGGCACTTATGCCTGCTGAGCTAAACCTCCAGCCCCTGGAATAAATTTCTTATTAACAGGAGTTAGGGTTATGACAGGTGGGGGTAGGGTTATGACTAAAAGAGACAGAGTTTTATATCTTTGTACATTTTTTCCACCCTATACTGGGGATTATTGAACCCAGAGTCTTAACACTGAGCTATATTCCATTTTCTTTGTTGTTTTCTGTTTTGAGAAGGTTCTTGATAAGTTGCTAAATTGTTTAGGCTGGGGTTGAATTTAGGAATCTCTTGTCTCAGCGCCTCAGATAGCTGAAATTAGAGGCATGCATCTCCATGCCTAGCTAGTTTTGTATCTTGACTTGGATGATGGTTATATGAATCTACCCAATGTCATAAGATGATATATAAATATACACATGTTTTATCAATACGAATTTTCTATTTTGATATTTACTATAATCAGGAAAGATGGGACTGTAGGAATGTTGGCAAAGGGTATATAGGACTTCTCTGTACTGTTTTTGCAATTTCCCATGAATCTATACTCATTTTGAAATTTAACAAATAATTCTCAAACAGCTCAAACAAATCCATAAATAACTGCTGTCCAAAATTAAGTCAACATGCTTTAAAATAAGGTAGCAACACTGGGTAGTAGCAAATACCTGTAGTTTCAGCTGCTCAGGAGTCTTAGGCAGAAGGATGGATTGAGTTCAGGAGTTCAGAGCCAGCCTGGGAAATATAACAAGATCCTATCTCCTAAAATATAAAAATTCACAAGCGCAAAGTTGTGAGTTCAATCCTCGATACCAAAATAAATAAATAAATACATACATACATACATACATAATAGCCGGGTGAGTGGCTCATGGCATCATCCAAGCATTCTGGAAGATTGAGGAAGGATGATCCCAAACTTGGGCCAGCTTGGGCAACTTAGTGACTCAGAACCCACCTCAAAAGAAAAAATAAAAACAAGTTGCTGGAGATGTAGCTCAGTGCAAAGGCCTTGGGCTTATTCTCCAGCAAAACACACACACACACACACACACACACACACAGGTGCAGAAAAACAAAAAAATGAAGGGGGCTAAGTCCAGGTACTAAATAAATAGTATCTGCAGTGTCCTGTAGCTAATCAAATTAGACATGTCAAGAAGCAGAAAAATGTGATCATAGCACATAGCACTGACAGTGAAAACACTGTCAGTGAATAGAAAGATGCAGATGTGACGGGGCTGGGAATTTAGCTCACAGCATAAGCGTCTGCCTTGCAAGCAGGCAGTCGTGAGTTTGATCCCCGGTAGCGACAAAAAAAAAAAAAAAAAAAAAAAAGATGCAGATGTGACGGGGTCAGCAAAGATGTTAAAACAGCTTTTATAAGTATACTTAAGTACTTAAAGAAATATATGAGCAGAGTGAAAAGAGAAATCAGTGGAAACAAAAGCAGTCTTAAAAATTAAGCAAATTTGATAAACTGGGATTTTTACTATGTGTTATGATAAACGTCATCCTATGTATGATAAACATCTTTCTATATATTTATTTGCTATCTCTGTATCTTCTTTAGTAAACATCTGTTCCAATCATTTACCCATTAAAAAAACCTTGTTGGAGTATTATTAATATAAAACTGTATATATTTAAAGTGTATGATGTGGGGCTGGGTATGCAGCTTAGTGTTAGATTGCTTGCCTGGCATTCCTGAAGCTGTGGTTTCTATCCCCAGTACTGCAGAATAAATAGATAAATAAATAGGTGCAGGTGGAGGGCCTTGGATTTAGCTCAGTGACACAAGTACCTGCCTGACAAGTGTGAGTTCGTGAGTTCAACCCTCGGTTCCAAAAAAAAAGAATAAGTACAAGTGAGTAAGTTTTGAGGTAAATATCACCCATGAGACAACCAGCACCATCAAGGTAACGAGAGTCCTTAACAGTCTTTTTTTATGCTCTCATGTAAATAATTCTTTCTTGTTCTTTCTCCCCAGATCCTAGTCCCAGGAAATCACTAATCTGCATTCTGTCACTGTACACAAATTAGTCCATCCAGTGTATGGTCTTTTTTGTCTGTCTTTGCCTATTTGGTATAATCTTTTTTTTTTAGTACAGTACTGGGTGTTGAACCCAGCCAGGGCCTTCACACTTAGCTACATGTCCAGACTTTTAAATTTATTTATAAACTTTTATTTATTTATTTATTTGAGACAGAGTCTCACAAAGTTAGTAAATTGCCCAGGTTAGGCTCAAACTTAAGAGCTTCCTGCTTCAGCCTCCCAGAATACTAGGATTACAGATGAGTGCCAATCATCCCAGCTCAAAGTCAGTGATTTAAAAGTCAACCAAAAGCAATTAACTAAAAGCAAGAGAAGCCAGGCTTGGTAGTGCACATCTGTAATCCCAGTACTCAAGAGGCTGAGGCAGGAGAATTACAGCAAGTTCAAGGTCAGCCTTGGCTACACAGTGAGTTCAAGATTAGCCTGAACTGCATAGCAAGGCCATGCCTGAGGAAAACAAAAGAGAAATCTAAAAATTAAAAAAATAAAAGCAAGGGAAGCTGAAAGTTTATTTAGATTTTCCCTAGGTTTAAGTGGCTGGGGATTTAGCTCAGCGGCATAAGCACCTGCCTTGCAAGCAGGCGGTCGTGAGTTTGATCCCCGGTACCGATAAAAAAAGATTTTCCCTAGGTTTCATGCCCAGCATAGTCATTTTTTTAAAAAAAAATTTTAATGTTATATAACTAAATATTAATAAAAAATATTCAAAAGCATTCTTATCTCTATGAACAAAAAATTTCATAACAAAATAATTAGAGAATCATACTGCATATTATAGTCTTAAAAGAATGGACAAAAGGTTACTCAGAGTACAAATCATAGACAAAAAAGACTCTTACA